CAGATGCCGTAATTTCTTTACAACAATTTCAAGGTATATTACCCTCGGTATCACCGGCGATGCTTAGGGGGCTTCGTACGTTTTTGTTGGCTTTTGAGTCGCAGTCTTGAGAAAAATACCTTGAAATTGAGGTATGAAATATCACATTTTATAATTGGATTGAGCACGCTTGTAAAATCTCTAGATGCACAATTTCATGGGCCTTGTGAACCAACTTACACCGCCACTTCACCCATTAGATCCCACGCTGAAACAGGATGATGTTACAATGAAATGATGTTCAATATAAAAAACTGAAAGTGAAACAGATGTCATATCCATGTACTATAAATGATATGTTTACAGCATGCAAGGAACTAAACGTACGGTAATGCTAGTGAAAGGAAGGTGCTATTACATAGATATTAACTTTATGAGAAAATAGGAATGTATTGCTGGGAATCGTCGAGTGTTAAAGTTATGTATGTATGTTGAACTTCTTTCGCACCGTACATAGTCAACCGTGCAAATCGGTGTTGTGGAATAATAACAATCTGTAGGAAATAATCCCGTCCGACTGTATTTGTAACTTAAGGCTACCCAAGCAATGCGGTCTGGCCAGGAAGACTCCCGGCATCAGAAAGGCTGTCTTGTTATCCCGAAATTTGAAGAAAAAATATATTTTGGCCCCATCATACATTTTCTGGCATCATTTTGGACTCATTATACGGGAATGATTGGGTACAGAGGGCGCCTTTTTGGATTTGGCGAGACTATTACTACATACAACACACGAGGCTTCACTATTTAGCTGTCATCCCATCACTTTGTGGAATCGTAAACTCTTTGGAAACATGTCATTCAAATACGGAATGTGGTTAATTCACCAATATTGGTACAGGTATAACATTACAAAAAAATGCTAATTGATTACAGAAACTTCTCTATACGATCTCTGTACTGTATAACACCTCTGTAACCAAGCATTGCGGTTGCAAAACATTGTTGGAGGCAGGGTTGGTGGACCATGCAGATTCTGTGTGAGACTCCTAACCTATAGCGAGTGATATGAGATGGCCAGTACAGTGTTGTATGATGGCAACACAGTTCAAATTCTATGGTCTTTCTGCACATTCAAAACACTGTTTAAATAATAATTGTATACCATCAATTACAGAACCCTTATAATACCAACATAATGTAACTAAATAATTACTTTTAGTTAAACGTTACTAATATTTTGTGTAATCTACTGATGTCTGGCTGGGGTGGTGCTTGAATCACAATAAAATGTTAAAACAATAGCAAGGTTACAAGTTAAAATCCCAGTAGTCAGTTAACTAAGCCCATCATCCCTCCAGAATCAATAAAACAACTACCAATTTGTATCAAATCAAGACTGGCCATCCATTGCAGAGATGAGTGATGATCAGCTCAATGAATGGCCTGGAGAAGTGGATCAGGGCCATCAATGAAGATGATCATTACCCATTTGTTTTGGGTGTGGAGATCAAACCTTGACTTGCTTTGCCTTTTAATTTACGAATTAAACCGCATGTATGCTTAAATACACGACATCTCGCACCCGGCAGTACGAGGACAGCTACAGCGACGACCTGGAGCTGGGACAGGAGGCTTCCACTGGAACGACGAGAGAGGCGGCCGTACCATATCGCGAGCTTCCTCGGAAAGTGCCGCCCCAAGTCCCCCCCAAGCCAACCGTCCCCTTCCGGGTAACCACATTTCCCTTCCTACCACGTTACCACCAGCCCGTGGCGAGATGTTAACTCCCTCGCCTGGTATACGGGAGGTTTGTGGGTTCAACCACGACCCTGACGCCTGTATATTTGGAGTTTGTATGTTCTCCCTGTGGTTGCGTGTGTTTTTTTCGTGGATTCTTTAATGGGTCCTCTGGGTCCTCCGTTTTTTCCCTCCACATTTAGAAACATGCGTTTAGAGTATTTGGCTGGTATACATTTCCACATGATAAACCACTTCGTTGAGCAATCATTTGCGGCCAGGTCACTTCTGAAAAAGAGCTATTCAGCTCAGTGAGCCTTACCTGGAAAAATAAACAATAGTTTAGTTTTAGTGTAATTTTTCGTAACGTGCAACTTCAAGCAAGCATACATGCGTGGCGTAGGGTGTCAGATAGGGGTCAGAGGTCTGGAAGCGATCATACCAAAAGTTAGTCTGTCACAACGTTCAACATACGAATGGCGTATGTTGTAAGTGATGTTATTGTTGATAATTTCCAGTGTGTGTATTTTAAAACATGACGGCCGCGGCTGTGGAAGATGCCCATGGTGTGCATTACGTCACCGCCGTTTGCTGGGTCGCCTCGGCTCTGCGTGGTTGTGTTCGAGAAGGCGCCTCTTGCATGGCAACTGCGGGGCGTGAGTGTCCTGTCGTGGGGACGTGGGCCCTTGTGCACAGGCCGGTGTGAGCACCGTGCCAGCACGGCCCACGCAAGAGCGCAGAAGTGTGGACACCACATCTACGCCTCTATATAAGGAACGAAACAGTTAAGACTTCTCCACAAATATGGCTGTCGCCTGATGAAGCTAGTTGTAATTACTGGCAAAAAGTCGTACTCAGATAGTAAATGTTGTGGCTTGGCTCTCCAACACACCGATGTGCTGTACTAGTGACGAATTGGCCACGTTCTGTTTACGTGACAACCCTTACTAGTTGGCTGTGTCGGGTGGTGGCGGGTTTTAACGACACAATGAGACTTCCTTGAAATAATTATTGTGTGAACAAATGCTGGGGGGCAAGATATTAATTTGGTAGCCAATTGATATCTGTAACTGGCAATGGTGGTTATGACATAGGGTGACAAGAAAAAGGTCTCCCGTATAGCCTTAACAGACTGCAGGGGCGAGTGCTGTTGGCGAGCACCTATGAAGGCCGGCACGGCACACGGGGGGGTGGGTGGCCAGCACCACACCGAGCCGCCTTTGTCTCCCCAGTAACGATGTTTACACACCGTAGCAGGTACTCATTTGAGGCTGAGTTGACCTAGAGGAGGTCCAGGACAGGTTCAGATAATCGTCACTTATGTTGGCTGGGAGGGGGAATCGAACTCGGGTCACCGGTTTCGTAGCGCAGGGTGCTGACGGCTACACTGCCACTCATCGGGTGACACACACCTGATTATCGTCGAAAACAAAAGTCCTTCTGTCAAAACCACTCGCTTATGATGATGTAATATTTAGAGGTCACTATGCCAATGGCTGCCGCATTGTCTGAAGCCACCTTCATTCACAGCAATTTAGTGGCGACTGAAAAGGTGTGATGCTGTCACGTCCTCACGGTTGCCTTCCTATGTTTTGTCACTGCATGCCATAAACCACCCCACTCTCCCCCATCTCATTGTGTTATGGGGTGAGTATGAAGAGGGTGGAGCAGTCTCTTCATTTTTTTTGCGTGTTTTTAGTTAGTTGTCCTTCCCCCGCACCTCTGATTAGCACGGTCGGCTAGGTATGGTGCGAAAGAAGTTCAACATTCATACGTTACAATGTGCTCATGGCCAGCTTTGGTAGAGAGGTCTCGCTACATAATCTGCATCAGTGTGTGACGTCGCTCATCAACCTGCTCTGTTTGTCATTCCACACAAAGCGCCGGGTCTTCTCAGCCATAATCGTAACCCCTCGTCCGTATGCCTGTTCAAAGTGGACCACCCTACGGCAACATTTGTGCTTGCGTGAAACATTCATGCTGCCCAGCCTGTGATCCACCATGGTATCCAAGTTGAATCGTGCGAGCATCTCACGGGCACGTGAAATAAGAAGCAACGCTTTGTCGGTTGGGTCACGTGAGCCACATGTCCAGTTACTGTACACCCAGGGAGATCTCGTTTCACCAATAGACCGGACTGAACGGACACAGCACATGCTAGCATGGCAGCAAATGGGCTGCTGTGGTTAAGGGGGCCCTGAAGCTGACTTGAATGGCTGGTACCAGTCGTGTGAATATTATTTGAAGACAGTACCTGGGCATCTGCAATCCCTCAGCGGTGACAGGAGGCAGAGCGTCACAAATGAGCAGAGCAATGGGAGCTAAAACAACAAATTGGCTCAGTGGGGAGCGCGAGTGATGCATGTGGCAATCACCCAAATCTGTTCTTATCTGAGTCTGTCCCATAACCTGGCAGGGAGCCTTCACCAATACACGTGGCCTCAAAGTGCACTTAGTCTGGCAGAAATGTTTGTGGTTATATCACCATTTCTATTGCACCCAGATCTGAAAACAAACTGTTGAATTGTTCCAATTTCTCGTGTGTGCAATGTAGAACAAATATATCAGGCACAATACTCTTCTTTTCTTTTCAATAGTTTCAACTATAGTCTAACGTTTTGTATCACTAGTAACCAATCGGTTGTGGGCTTCGGCTACTTTTGATCGGCTTTAGTGTCACAGGCTTCAAAAAAAGTACACTACCCGAATGTTAAATCCTTTAAACTCTGACTGAATTAGTACAACCCGTTTATAACAGACCTCTTTATGGGAACCTGTCTTTTCAGCCATTCATCACTTAATATGCTTCATACAGACTGGCTCCTGCCATATGAATGTGGAATTTTCACTGCTGTCCCAGGGACACCAATATTGACAAGAACTGCCCCCCTCTCTTTGAGGCAACGGAGACGCTTTGATATTTGACCTGCGCACTGTGTATTGTACTTTCACGTAGTCCACATGTGTTGGCTGTCCACAAATAGTCAATGGAACCATCAGTCATGGATAGGCAGTGATAAATAAAAAAAACGTAGCGATACATTTGAACGCACCTGTGCACGCCAGTTGGCTTTGACACATTGGAGAAAGCAAGTGTTTATGGTACCTCCTGCTGAAATAAAAAGCACTCCGGTGACTTCGATAAAGTTTGTGAGCCACAAGTGATAATGTCACGCTACTGCCTTTGCACACTGGACTGTTTACAGCTTAGCCGTGTGCTCGAGCCCGCATTAAGTGGCGGCATCACACCCTCGACTCATCTCCATGTTTGAGCACCGAATGGGCAGATCCCTAGTCCCCAGTGCCGCTTGCCTTCTGACTTGCCTTTTTATAGCGGCACAAGGTGGCTCACTATGGGCAAGGAAGGGGTTTTGCGAGGGCCAGAATTTAGAGCGGCGGTTGATGGGAACTCCTGTGGGGCAAGCCCAAAGAAGGATGGGCCACGCTATAAACGACCATAACAGGACGTTGCTAGCTCCTTACTGTAAGCTGTAGTAGATCGGATCATTCCCGACTCTGTGGATCTCATAATGACGGTAGCTTAAGCGTTTTGGGAGGGGTTGTAGGAAGCAGAAAAAAATAAAACTGGAATTAAAACGTGCTCATCAATAAAGAGGATTTGATGGAGGTATGTAACATCTTGTTATACGTGTTCGTGTGAATATCCTGTTAACGTGAGTTGGAAAACCTTTGTGTGGCGTCCGTTTGTGGCTATCGAAATGCTCTAATGGGAACGGTGCGTGAGGCACATCGCAGAAGTGAGGAGTGTGACGATGGCTGAACAAACCATGACATCGTGGAATCGCGTCTAATGAATGCTCTTTGTGCGCCGTCGCCTAAATCTCTCGCTGAGGTATTTTTCCACAAGCTCCACCTGTGCACAGCAATAACGGAAGCCTCGTGTCGTTGTAAACACACCTAATAGTCTCCGGTATGGTAATGCACAGAATAACGCGAGTGTGCCCACACACACACACAAAGAGGTATTTTTAAACAGGGACTCACGCCAGGGACCATTGCTTCACTTGGGAAGAACACAGACATTTCAAGGGATTGTACCAACTGTGAATTATTCAACTTTGTTGATTTTTATTGAAAACTTTAGTGACTGCAGGAATTCATATTGATTTGAAGCTTTCGTGTTGCAGGAATCCATACTCTTTGGTGCAGTCGGTAAAGTCACGTAGGTAGAAAAATAATAGATCACGTGTTGCAATCGAAACGTCGTGATCTATTATTTTTCAACTTACGTGACTTTACCGAAATAACCAAAGAGTATACAGTAGGAATTCATAATCTTTCTAGATATCTACGTGACTTTACCGAAAGAAACAAGGAATATTTATTTGTCGATTTTTTTAATTCAGTTATTGACAATCGCTGCGCCATTCAGAGGAGGAAATAAAAAATGGCATCTAGTTGCTGATGCCGAATGTTCACATGAGAAGATATCATCAAGCATTGCCATCGTGACCCCCAACGCTGTCAATGCTAAGTCACGTGGATCTTTGTCGCCAGAGCTCCAGTCGTCCCCTGCGAATGAATTCGCACCGTGTGTACTTTAAGGAATGCAAGCCATTCGTGGTGATGTACCCATTAATTGCATTTAAAGGATACGTTTTGAATGTTTCAACTCGCTGGCGCTGTGTATATTTTTAATACATCAACTAATATTATTTTCCATTCCAAGCATTTTACGTTTACATTAAACTGCATTGGATAACCGAGTCCATACCATTCTCCATGCACATAACTTATTAATTTTTACATATGCTACATTATATATGACTACTACTATATGCAATGTCTGTTAACATACTTATCGATAATACTGTATATGATTGCCTTATAATTTTAGGAGAGGGAAGGTAAGCGTTGCTTCCCAATTATATGTTAGAATTGTACCATACTTTATAACATCTGTACTATCGCAGGACTCCCCTGAAACAGAAAGCTATCGATCTGTCTATCATGTCAAAGATACATATACACCCTCATTCTGAACACCTCACACAGTGAACAGTGAACCACATTGTGTCCGAGACCAGGCCCGGAAGATGATGTAACAAAACTGTATTCGTAGTCCCTTAAATCAGCCTTCTAATCCTCACTCGGGACATTATATATATGTATGCCCTGCAAAAAGTGTCATTGCACATTGGATCAGAGTTTTGTTTCCAAAGCTGTCGGTAGCTGAATTAAGTGGGAAATCAAATGTTCCGTAATGTGGTGTTTTTTTGCATTCATTGGTGACTAAGACCATGATCTCACTGCAAATGAAAATCCAATTTAACTCTGTGTGTCTTGCCTGAATGCCGGATTGTATCGGTACTAACTCGGTGCAATGACATGTCCTTAGCCCCCTGTGATACCCATTCATCTAATTACATATGCTTTATTAACCAAGTGATGTTCCCGCTGAGATCACAAAAAGTATATGCTGTAGCTATATTGTATCGCACATAATTACTGGCACAGTGTAAATTAATATGGCACGAGTTACATGATAAGAGTGTCCCTTAGGAGATTGTGCCCAACCTCATAAGATAAATTAACTTTCATCTCTGGTTATTTTAGATTCCATTTTCAAGGCTTAGTTCCAACATCAGGAGGTAGTTTCCCTCACAGTATAATATCCCAGTTCTCATAAGCAAGGCAATCTGTAGCTCCAACCGGTTGGATCTGAGTGGTCTAATTCGGGAATAGGAAAGGGAGGATCTGGAAAAACTCATAAAACTTTGGCGAAGCACCTACAGCTGTGACCATGATAACCATGATAAGGGCTTGATCTTCAAGGAAAGGAAGAACGGGTTCGAGTAATCGATGTTAGTCACAGAAAAGTGCATTATTGGTGTCACAGATGCAGGATAGCTTAATTTGATGGGAGTTTGGTCTTCATTGCGGATCTTGAGAGTGCAATAACCTTCATAGGGAAAGTAGCATTCTTTGATATATGTATAAAATGAAACAGAATGTTTACACTGTTTTATAAATATATAACATTTACGCTCTTTAGACTATTGTAACTATACATACAACACTTATAGACACAATAGAAGGATAGTTATTGCAAGTACTATAATGATTTTATAATGCAATTGCATCAGCACTTATTTTAGTTGTTGTCTGGCATGCCATATAATATATGTTGTGATACCATTCCAAACATTTACCCAAATCTAAATTCCGACTGTGCATAGCAATAAACAAAAAATTGGCATTTAAATCTGGCCCAGTTCTCGTTCAGGTTGATTCAGCTTTAAATGAGTCCTGTAGTTGTTTGTAAACATTTGCACTCGGTGAAAATAATGTTTGACTGGGGTGGTCTTGGATCTTCACCGTTTCGCGGTGCTGTAGCTGGCCTTAGTAGTTACCTTGCGAACAGCACTTGCCTCGGTACTCTGTTCTAGCTATAAGGACAAGATATTCTATACACAATGACACATTTACTAAACAAGATAGTGTCATGATCATTTCTTTTTTACCCTTCTATCTGGCAACAAAACTGACACCTTTTTTTACAAGGAGTCATGTTTACATAGACCACAATACCTGCAGTCATAATTCAAACAAAACACATAACTCTGATAATGTGCACTGTCCTTGAAGTTGATTGGTGCATTATGACTGCAGGTATTGTGGTCTATGTAAACATGACTCCTTGTAAAAAAAGGTGTCAGTTTTGTTGCCAGATAGAAGGGTAAAAACCCAATTATCATATTTTTACTGGCAAATGAGGTTCCAATGGTGTATAAGATAGTGTCATATTCTTGGTTCTTTCGGTAAAGTCTCGTAGATAGAAAACAAAAATAAAAATGAGAAGCAAAAAACGCACGACGTTTCGATCGCAACACAAGCAGTCTTCATCAGGTGATCAGGTTTAAATTTAGATTTTTGTTTTCTAAGTGGCTTTACTGAAAGAAGCAAGAATATGAATTCCTGCAGTCACGAAAGTTTTAAGTCTAAAAAAGATAGTGTAACTTAATGTGATTATTATTATTGGGATTAACACGTAGGCTTTCGCAACCAATATCATCCATAATACAGGTTTTTTTGGGGTAGATCGCGTAAAATATAAATGTGTCGTTAAACCCGCCACCACCCGACACAGCCAATTAATAAGATTTGTCACGTAAACAGAATGTGCCAATTCGAATTTGTAAATTATGTCAATTCGAATTGGCATGTTCTGTTTACGTGGCAAACCTTACTAATTGGTTGTGTCGGGTGGTGGCGAATTTAAAGACATTTATATATTTATGCGATCTAACCCCCCAAAAAACCTCTATTATGCATGATTATTAATATCCACATCATCCACGAGTGCTCACTCATCCCTCACGCATGCACGCATGCAAGCATACTCGGTCTCCCACGTGAAAGAAGAACACGTAACTCTCCCGTGCGTACCCTCTTCTGAAACTTCACTCACTCTCTCGCACGCTGTCACACTCCTCCGACATTCAAGGACCGCTCACTTACCCAGTCTCGTACGTGCGGACACACACGCTCGCTCCCCCCACACGCACGTTTTTCTTTGGCTCATTCGCTCCCGCAGGCATCCCCGCTACAAGCTTCGATGGTTCAAACGATATTTATCTCAAAATTTGACCATTTTTTGTGTCCAGTATCAAATTATGAAAAAATATCTATACATAACAATAAGTTGTACCTTTTCTGGCAATAAAACAGGTGTTAAGATGTTCAAACACCAAATAAAAACCTTCTTTTTTACATTTCACGAGCCAATATCGCCTCTCAATAAAGTCGGCATCGGTGCACGTCACAGCGGAACGGGAACGGTACTTGGGGCATAATAGCCAACAACAGAGATGACAAATACAGAGAGACCCGTCATGCCCTCGGCGGCTAACACCGGCTGAGCAAAGTAAAATTGGGGGCGCAAAATAAAGTGCAACCGGGCGCAACGGATGGCATAAGAAAGTGGTGAATACAAATTAATGAAAAGTAAACAAGACAGTTTTTATTTAAAATTTTCGATTTTATCGGAAGGCAACTCTGAATAGATTGTTTGCTCACTCCTCCTGCTTGCTTCCCCCCTCTCATGAGTGCACACTCGCTCTCCCACGTGCTTACTCGCTCGATCACAAAGACAAAGATCCGCCGTGTAGCCTTAACAGACTGTTGGGGCAAGTGCTGTTAGCGAGCACCTATGAATGCCGGCACCGTGGCACACGAGGGGGTGGGTGGCCAGCACCACGCCCGGCCGCCTTTGTCTCCCCAGTGGCGATGATTTTCACACACCGCACCAGGCACTCATTCGAGGCTCCAAATGCACGCGCGCTCACTCGAACTCTCGCTTGTCAGATGCGCGCTCACATTCCTTACACTCGTGTGCATTCTCACCCCTAACTCGTAAACACGCGCTCACCATGCGCTGTCACATGCGCCCTCACACTCGTCAACACGCACGCTTGCACCATTCCCCAAAGGCACGCGTGCACTTTCACGTGCTCCACGATGATGACAGTGAATGACAAACATCATAAAAATGATGATGGTAATGACAGGCGATGGCGATGAATAATAATGATGATGGTGGTGGTAGATGGTACAGTAGTATAACAGTGATTTATTAACAATAATATAATACTCGTGGATGAAGATGCCAGAGATTAACATGATTATGATGGAGATGTAAATGGACATTTGCAACAGGATTAGCAAGCATTGGTAACAAGAAGGCATATTCTTTGGGTCTTTCGGTAAAGTCACGTAGATAGGTTCAAATAAAATACAAATTATTTTAATAATAATGATTCTTTGAACCTATCTACGTGACTTTACCGAAATACCGAAATAATATGAATTCCTGCAGTCACGAAAGCTTTAAGTCAAGATTTAACAAGAAGGCATTTTATATAATATTGGCACATTTCTATTAATATGTACATTTATTCACACGCAAAAATCCGGATAAGTTACTTTATTTTACAAGTAATAGGATAAGACTGCCCCTCTTCCACAATGTGTTCCATCACAAGCACTCCACTCTACAAAATTACATATAATCATCGTTTAACAATTATATTTTGAATGCACTGCATTGTATGTCAATATTAAAGTGGTGTAAACCTGCCTGAATTGAGCTGTGACGTAGCACTGTGTCCTCAATTACAAGCTGAAAAGTTCATAGCTTGGTAGGGAGTCAGCTTCACCTATCCTCCTTGAGTCAATGCATGAGTCACAATTACTGTGGTTGTCCTAGTTCCTGTCAAAAAGAATACGAATTAATACCACTGCCCAAATCTCGTTTGACAAAAGTTGTACATATGGACGCTTTTTAAAAAGAACAGTAACTTTGAAGCGATCGTCAGTACATTCCAAAAAAGGTTGCACTCTTCTGGTTCAAAAACCAGTCGCCACGCTGTGTGAACAAGTCTTGGTATTGGCTGGTCAGTGAGTGGCCACGTGGTGGCAACGCCCCATCCACGTGTTGTGCCGACGCCACCCTGTTACCTGCAGGCCTCTCGGAGCGGACGCACCGGTGCCGTGGCCACAGTGGTGGCAGCGGTGGACCAGCCCTGCGGGCTGCCTCTCCCGCAGGCACAGCCGCACGGCCCCCTCCATGTCTTGTCCCCCTCGTCAGCCGCGACGCAGGGGCCCAAGTGGGGCAGGTCTCCCCTGTCCTCCACGGCCTTCAGCCCACTGCTCGTGGCACGGCCAGCCGTCATACGCTCTGTTTCCTGCCCCATGTCCCACGCCCGCTCTCCTGCTCAGGTCCCCCTACGTGGTGGTGTCTTGCATTCTGTTTGTTTTATTTACCATACCCATAACACTCGTGCAAATATTGTGACAAACTTACATACGAATCACCGGCATGTTTAAGTCAGCTCTTTTGAGAAAATGTTAAGAGCGTCACTCGAGATAGTAGTACTATGTTTAACAGAATGAGGTGGCAAGGCCCACTCAAGACTGTCTATGGAGCTGCATAATTGTATGCCCATAGCCAGATGAGATAGAGCAAGTAGGCATTACACTTCAGCAGCGAGGTACCACTGGTGTGTGACAGGGTGGGATGTGATCCTGGCAGCGTGCAGATGTTTCTTCAGTCATTTGTCAGAGTCGGATGAGGTGGCAGGAGTTATGGGCACAGAGTAACCCTCATTTGAGAAATTCAATGAGAACAAGAGCTCAGGATCAATGGTGATGCAGGGCTTTTTGGAAATCATGTTGAGTTTAAGCGATGTGCTTTCAGTGGACAGGAAGGAGGCCCAGTTGGAACGATGACAATAATATTAAAACGCAAGGCCACATTAGTTTTCAGTGTATTACACAAGTAAGTTCCATTGGATGTAAAAATGACTATGGGCCCATAGTTTAGTTAATGCTCTCTAGTCATCGGATTATCGTCATAGTTCATGGTCCAGTAATCAACTTAATAAATGCGACGATAGTTCAGAATATAAGTGGGCAAAATAAAATGCAATCCTAGAGGCCTACAGTCAACAGTGGTTGTTCTATGGATAACTTGACCCCCACCCTCGGGATCTGGGATCCCCACCACTGACTCAGGGCCACCAGAGCAATGATCACCACAGTCGTGCACATTTGTGCGCAGAGATACTTTGACTTCACCGCAGTTATTATTTGGCTGATGCAAATATTTTACAAAAGGTTGCCATTACCATCTATATGCTCCTTACTATACAAGTATATATCACTTTAAATAGACCCATTCCCACATTCACCTCTCTACTGTAAACGCCTAACGAGGAATTCAGAGGCCCCGTAGCATTGGCACGCTAAAGCCATGTGAGTGAGGGCCACTTAGCAATCAACGGCATAAGTATAGCTCACTGTTTGTGCAGCTCACTTTGAGTGGTCTCCACAGCATAGCACTAGGACAAGTGCAAGTTTCCATACATAGGGGCTACCACTTACAAATATCGCCACTCTGTTGTAGCAGCACCACCACACTGCATGTACACCCGCACGTTTTCTATGCAATTCAATTGCAGCCTTCGTTCATTACCGCCGTGACAAATAACCCTCTCTTTGCTTGGGCGGTATACATCGTAGATTCACAGGAGTACAGCACTGCCCTTCCAGATGGATGGGGCACTTACAGGCAAAAGCGCCCACCTTTTCACAGTGCCAAAGATCGCTGTGCATAAGCAGGCAGTGCGAAAGGTAAGCCCGTTGTTTATACACGACAGCACACCAGACTTTGAGACTATACAAGTTGGCAGTGTGCATAACACACACTTTTCAGGCCTCTGCGTTTTCTCCAGTCAATTCTTGGCTGAGGTTATTCACAATCTGCCTTGGACTTGACATTAATAAGTGACGGGCCAACACAGATGCTTCCCACACCACCGTCGTGGGCTGCTTGCTGTTATTTGAGAGTAGGTTGGAGGCTAAGATAATCACTAGAGAAAACTCTTAAGAGTGTGCTGATGTATTCTTGAGCGAAGAAAATCATACGATACATCGCTGTGGAAAGTCTGAAAGTCAAGCATAACTGATGAGTTTGAACTACGGATTTGTGTTGTTAAGGTCAGTCCATCCCAGGAGAATTTCCTATCAAAGGAATATAATCTTTAGTCTAAGGCTACCAATAATTTTAAACATCTTCATAATGTATGAAAGATTATTGTATTAATTATTTAACTCCTGGTTTAGCGTGACAATGGTTACAGTGCAAAATATAAAAACCACTTCTCTAAACGTTTGGCAATGAGGACATTAGTGTTGAGTAAGACTACCACTGGTGCATGAGTACTATTTGATGGTTTTATTATTAGTGTGAGCGTTGGCTCTCCTAGAGGGATGTGTAGAAGATCTTTGAACAACATTTATCAGGAAAAAAGCTCCATCTCTTGTTTTGTGGCACTTCCTGATTTTTTTTTCACTGGAATTGTGCCTCGCGTAAAACTCATCACTCACGAAAAAAATCCAATTTAGTCTGACGTTTTTGGTTACTACATTTGGAGGGGAGGAATTAAGAATTGTATTTTTTAAGCAGTTTTGTTACGAACAAAAATATAAAATGAACGACGTCCATTTTCGTTTAGATAATGGTATTAGTTGTGTTTAAGGTTATGGGAAAACACGACAGGGCTACCGTCTACCATACATAAATAAAATATAAATAATAATAAAGATACGTGTATTAAACCCCAATTGGAGGCCCACGTTACCAACTGAAATAGAATGGAAATAAATATAAACGTGGTGCACTATTGAGCAAATTGGGCAAATCAAAAGTGAAATCATATCACGAGAAAAAAACGTATTTGAAATACCATATATATTGCACTGGAATAGTTTAATATGAAGGTATACAGTAACTGTTAAAAAATATTGCAAAACGGGACGGGACATTTAACAACATTTATGTAATTCTAAGTATTCAATTTAAACTAATTACAAGTTGAGTATGACATAGTTACTTGCATCCGAAGCTCCGAAAATATTTACTGTCAAGATTATTAAGATTGTTAAGATTATTAAGTTGTCATGGCCAATGCTGTTCGTGTCTCAGCTGTTGCAGTCGACCCCTGACCTCCAAGGGTTGCTCTTACAGTATACCAGTATCAGGCTTGAGGTCTCCCCCTTGGTCGTTGAACTATATCGGCACCCACTACTCTTAAGAGCTGCCTTGCTAACTCGGCACTTTTCATTTTGCAAAAAAATCTCCACCGATTTAGACCTCCTACTCCTGAATACATTGGCAATGCTTCGTATGTAAATATCCACGTTATAGATTCGATTGGTGCCACATTGCTCAATTACGTTAACACTTACATGACACATATTCTGAATACTAGAAATTCCCGTGGAGTCGGCAAAGGTGTGTTAGAGCAAGACATTGTTTTCTGCCTGACGGTCACCTGGATCTTCAGCCATGACGTGTACCGTATGTCCCAGCATGCGTGTGGAAATTCAGTGCAGCGTTACATAATAATGTAATAATTATATATTTTCGTTATATTTTATGTATATGCTTATATTAATTGTAAACTTTAATTGTATTGGACATGGTATAAAGAGGCATTCCTGATCACATTTCAATGCAAAGTGTAAGTGTGTGTGCAATATGCCTGGTAAACCATGTCTACAATATTAACAATAGAGCAGCTCTGCATTTTACGAAATTACAGAATAAATGTCTGCCATATGTGAAAGCATTGTCCCAGCAATAACCCCATGATTGTTATACTTTCTCCATGCATTGCATGGAAAAATAGGACACTGCCTGGAGTAAGATGCTTCACAGAGAACTGCAGCACTTGGCAAAACCAATTGACGATATCGCATTCCGCACACTCATTCTGCTCAGCTGCTCCACGGGCGTTTAAAGAGACGCAGGCCGCCCAGAGAGAGAGAGAGAGTCAGCTAAATAAGGGGTAACCCTGTAAGCCATTTTCTAGAAATAGGCAAGCATGCTTACAGCAGGAATGTGAGTGTTGAGTGCGGTGTGGAGAGCCTTGTCTGATACATCCACGTGAGGTGGGTTGCTGTGGGCATGGACGGGAGGCAGTCCACAGGAAATCGTTTAGCTGGCTTACGTTACTTCACAGCAGGCGTAGGGAAAATGATCCTCGGTGGATCGCCCCGTGGCTGCATTGTGACAAGAGATAAAGCTCCTGGGTGTGCCAAGTATGTGGGTTCATGCTCTCTCTCTCCTCTTCTAGTTGATCTGATAAACATCGTGTTTTTGAATTGTTGGTGGAGGATAGATTCTCTTGTCGAGGACAGCTTTTTTTTAATTTGATCAAAGTCTGTTTTTTAGGATAACATTTATTTAATTAGAAAATTTAACGTGGCATTGTTTTGGGGCGTTATTATGAACAACCGTATGTATCCTTTTTGTTGTGTTCTATATTCAGCATGTGCAACAGAAAATACTTAGAAAATGCATTCTTTATTCAGAATGTTTAATGCGGTATTGGTAGTTTTTAAGATGCATATGTGAATAGATTGCATTAATGTGGCTTTGTATAGGAAGTGTAATAGAATTAGAAAAATATAAATCCCTACCATCTGGCAAACTAACAAAAACATTTAAGGACCTGACTGATAATGAGAAAACAGTCAATTGTTTTACTTCTTAAACAATTACTGCTGGAAGATATTGGTCCAAAAGGCTCCTTGGCTGTGAAGTGAAATGTTATTTTGGTTTAACACGTAGGCGTTCGTGACCAATATCATCCATAATACAGGCGACAGGTTGATGAAACTAGTTGTAATTATTGGCGAAACATTGTAGTCAGATTGTAAATTTTGTGACTTTGCTTTCCAACACACCGGGGTGCTGTACTCGTAACGAATTGGCATGTTCTATTTACATGACAAACCTAATTGGCTGTGTCGGGTGGTGGCGGGTTTAACGACACATTTATATATTTACGTGATCTAACCCCAAAAAAACCTGTATTGTTATTTTGTTGTATTTTTACGTGACGAAATGCACTTTATTGTTTTATTCATAATTGTCCATGGCAGTGGATATTGAATATTTTTGGACAAATGTCCTATTCTCCGCTGAGCAGGCCCCACAGCAATTGACAGAGTGCACTTTTGCCTGTAACATCTGCCAACTGGGCAGGATTCATTGGAGAGACTTGTTGATGAGATGGAGTCAAGCCTGTAATATCGGTCCAGGGTTTGCCTACTTAAACAAATGCTGCTGGAAAACATTTGTCCAGATTATCGATATGTTAATGGACTTGGTTATCTGTTTTTTTTATATGGAGAGATTGGCGAATGTCTATCTATTATTATGCTGAGGTTTAACATAGCTGATTATCATTATGGGCCAGATTGGTCATCCTCTGGAGAAAGTGTCCCCTGGTAAGGGACTGTATACAACGAGCTCATACAGTGTTTACCATTTAATACAAAATGGTTTTTGATGTACACACCTATTTCTATTAAGTGTACACACTTATTTTGTTGCAGTTTTTTCAATTACTTATATGTGCTGTGTTTTTCAGTTTTTGTAATAGTTATTCACGTGGTTATGTTTTGTTTGTTCTGAACAGAATCTTGAGTGGTGAAACCCTATGCATAAATGTGTGAAACAAGTTGCAAGGAGTTTTCCTATATACCTTTACATATTCCATTAATTACTCGTAAATACATTACGCAGAGGTGTTTGTTACCTCGTTCCATACATTGCCATATCTTTCATCTGCCTTATGATTATCTTAAGAATATTGAGCATAAGTGTTGATGCAGTGCGATGTATATGGTTAGATAACATTTTACATGAATTAAGGTGTCTGAAAATTGATTCCAATCATTCTACTGCACAGTAATTCCTCGTTTAACGCGACAGACGCGTTCCTGGAAATGCCACGTCAAGCCAAAAACAGCGTTAAGCGAGGAATTACTCGTACTTTAAAAAATATGGTACAAACAACATTATCGGTTATTGCAAGAATGTAACTTGACCTGTGATTAAAGTGGCTTACTTATTAAGCCAGTGTCGTCGCCCCTGTGCATGTTTGCGTTTAAGTCATCTCTGCTTTGCACGAGATTGGCACGTGTTTCCGACTTCACGCAGCGGCTCTCACTCAACACGCTTCTCCACCACCAGGGATGGGTGACTAAACAGATTCTAAAATCAATACATCCTTTTACAAGTTCGGCTGGCAAAAGCGTAATGACCGGCAACTTGATCTAACAATTGCGCGAATCACGCTGTCGTCGCTTCCAGAAAGTTCTACCCAGTTTAAACGGAGAGTTTGTGGCAGGTTGTCCTGGATGGTCTCTTTACGATGGTGTCCTCTTTGCTCACGTAATTTCATAAACCCTGTTACTCAATAGCATGAATCTTAAAAAAAACACATGTATCTATAGCACACATCCATGCAAATATTACTGTTTGCCGATGGTGGTGTCTTCTTTGAGGACCATAGTCCACAGAATGGATAACGTTACTTTCAGCCACGAACACGGAGCAAGATGACGTGTGAAGATTAGGATCTTTCACGGTTGTGCATTCGCAGCCCGTTTGTCAATCCACTGCAGAACGGGGGCCTCCTCATACCTTGCAGGTAGCACGGGCTATTTGACCATACTTCACCACGCTGGTCCATGCGAGTTACGGAATAGCAGACTACGGAACAGCAATGGTTTTTTTGCACTGCCCCCTACTGCTTACAGCGCCGACACTGCATTTGTTCTGGACTTGGTGTTCACCCCATCTACGCGCTATGCAGGCACAAACCTGCTCAGCTTCTCATGTCTGATGGAATCCGGCACATTCCGTGTGATTTGGCCAAACGGCGAGAGGTTTAATACACGACAGAGGAGCATAAGCGCGAATGTGACAGCGTAGGACACGGCAGGCATGTTGTGCAGACAAGGTGGGGGATTGTTCATGAATAAAGCAGTCTCTGGCTACTTGGAAAGTTCCACAACACCAATTCCATCTCCTGTCCGTGAGCACACTGTGGCTCTGCACTGCCCTGTGGATGGGGGGGGACCAAACACCAACCAGAGTAGGGGCTCGTTAAATTACATAGCAGAGTAGGGCTCGTTCAATTACATAGCAGAGTAGGGACACATTCACATTACATAGCAGAGTAGGGCTCGTTCAATGACATAGCAGATTAGGGCTCGTTCAATTACATAGCAGAGTAGGGCTCATTCAATTACATAGCACAGTGGGGCTCATTCAATTACATAGCAGAGTAGGGGCTCATTCAATTACATAGCAGAGTAGGGGCTCATTCACATTACATAGCAGAGTAGGGCTCGTTCAATTACATAGCAGAGTAGGGGCTCGTTCAATTACATAGCAGAGTGGGGGCTCATTCACATTACATAGCAGAGTGGGGCTCATTCACATTACATAGCAGAGTAGGGCCCATTCAATTACATAGCAGAGTGGGACTCATTCAATTACATAGCAGAGTAGGGCTCATTCAATTACATAGCAGAGTGGAGCACATTCAATTACATAGCAGAGTAGGGGCTCATTCAATTACATAGCAGAGTAGGGGCTCATTCAATTACATAGCAGAGTGGGGCTCATTCAATTACATAGCAGAGTAGGGGCTCATTCAATTACATAGCAGAGTAGGGGCTCATTCAATTACATAGCAGAGTGGGGCTCATTCAATTACATAGCAGAGTAGGGGCTCATTCAATTACATAGCAGAGTGGGGCTCATTCAATTACATAGCAGAGTGGGGCTCGTTCAATTACATAGCAGAGTGGGGCTCATTCAATTACATAGCAGAGTAGGGGCTCATTCAATTACATAGCAGAGTAGGGCTCATTCAATTACATAACAGAGTGGAGCACATTCAATTACATAGCAGAGTGGGGCTCATTCAATTACATAGTAGAATGGGGCTCCTTCAATTACATAGCAGTGGGGCTCATTCAATTACATAGCAGAGTGGGGCTCATTCAATTACATAGCAGTGGGGCTCATTCAATTGCATAGCAGAGTAGGGGCTCATTCACATTACATAGCAGAGTGGGGCTCATTCAATTACATAGCAGAGTGGGGCTCATTCAATTACATAGCAGAGTGGAGCACATTCAATTACATAGCAGAGTGGGGCTCATTCAATTACATAGTAGAATGGGGCTCCTTCAATTACATAGCAGTGGGGCTCATTCAATTACATAGCAGTGGGGCTCATTCAATTGCATAGCAGAGTAGGGGCTCATTCACATTACATAGCAGAGTGGGGCTCATTCAATTACATAGCAGAGTGGGGCTCATTCAATTACATAGCAGTGGGGCTCATTCAATTACATAACAGAGTGGAGCACATTCAATTATATAGCAGAGTGGGGCTCATTCAATTACATAGCAGTGGGGCTCATTCAATTGCATAGCAGAGTAGGGGCTCATTCACATTACATAGCAGAGTGGGGCTCATTCAATTACATAGCAGAGTGGGGCTCCTTCAATTACATAGCAGTGGGGCTCATTCAATTGCATAGCAGAGTAGGGGCTCATTCACATTACATAGCAGAGTGGGGCTCATTCAATTACATATCAGAGTAGGGGCTCATTCAATTACATAGCAGAGTAGGGGCTCATTCAATTACATAGCAGAGTAGGGGCTCATTCAATTACATAGCAGAGTGGGGCCCATTCAATTACATAGCAGAGTGGGACTCATTCAATTACATAGCAGAGTAGGGCTCATTCAATTACATAGCAGAGTAGGGCTCATTCACATTACATAGCAGAGTAGGGCTCATTCAATTACATAGCAGAGTGGGGCTCGTTCAATTACATAGCAGAGTAGGGGCTCATTCACATTACATAGCAGAGTAGGGGCTCATTCAATTATATAGCAGAGTGGGGCTCGTTCAATTACATAGCAGAGTGGGGCTCATTCAATTACATAGCAGAGTGGGGCTCATTCAATTACATAGCAGAGTGGGGCTCGTTCAATTACATAGCAGAGTGGGGCTCATTCAATTACATAGCAGAGTGGGGTTCACTCAATTACATCGCAGATTGGGGCTCATTCAATTCCGTGGCCCCGCTCTCGTTGTATCGTAGTCGTGCCCATTCTGGGCCATTCCACCATGTGCCCGCCATCGAATAGCACGGTTGGCTACGTACGGTGTGAAAGAAGTTCGACATACAGTAACATACATAAGTGGCAAGTTGGAGTTGTAAACGACGGACCAGTTTCCGCAAATTTAGCTGTCATTCTGCCAAAATGGGGTAATCAGTGACTCCATCTAAATGACATCTCTATAATCCACAGCTTAATTTAACCCTTAACTCCAGTCATGGATTATCGTCATTTTAAATCATGGTTCAATGTCAACCCGTGCATTGGCTCTGCCTCACTCATACAGGGTGACCCAAAAAAACGGGCCCCAACTCTAATAGGCCCCGTGTGCACGGGGCCCGTTTTTTTGGGTCACCCTGGTATAAAGCATCGGGCAGCTTTTCTAAATATGAGACTAAAGTACGGGGTATTTACCACAGACTCGTATGGGTGGGGTGGTTCGTTCATGGCTCACATGCTGTGAATTCAAATCCGAGGCACGAGTTGACTCACGCTATCGTCCCTCCGGGGCAAATATAATGAGCAACACTCGATAGGAAATCAACGATGGCCCGATATAGAGACTGGCACCTGCAGTGGAAAACGTGAAATTTACACCTCTGCCTGAGGGGTGCCAATTTCGCTAAGTGGCACTTATTTCTCATTTGAGCACGGGAAAGCGTTGACTTTTACCTCACAAGATCGAATGTACTGTTTACTCACCTGGAATAACAAGCCATTGCCTTTTTAAAACGATACAGTTGCTGCTTCTGTGAACTTTTTTTTTACTATCATTTTTTTAAAAATCTAATCCTCATATTTAGCATGATTTCATTCACCATCATCATGAACACCACCCATGACCCGGCTCCACGGTTCATTACTCATACGCTTGCTTCAGCTGGGGCACGCGTGGCGGTTGGTGTAAGAGATCTGCTCACCCCCCCGACCCCTCGACCCCCCGGTGCCTTCCTCCCAGAGCCCTCAATTCTCCACTGAGGGAGGCGCTATTGCCTCCCTGGAGAAGGATCTCGCAGAGTGCTCGCGAGAGCCCATCACACGCCCAGTGCGGGCCCCCGGGCCAAAGTACGATCAAGCTCAAGGAGAGGATGGCAAGGGAAATGTAGACGTCGCCGGTCAGCCTGAGCTACGGAGATCGTACAGCGTTCCCGCTGCCGCACCAGCGCCGCCGCCGCAGCAGCAGCAGCGTCAGCCTCAGCATAGGATGATGATGATGACAGCTGAACGTGGCTCTGACGTGAAAGGCCAGAGAATGGAAGAGGTCTGACATCTTCGATGGCCTTCATGGTTGTTTGTCACCATGGATGAGAATATTTTCATCCCAAGAGTTTAAATTGGATGCCGAGTGTCGTAGATATTCTGAGAAGCCTGTTTTTTTTTTTAGACACCAGAAACACGACTTCCTGCTTGTTTTTAGGCGGGTCGCCTTGTCGCAGAATTTGGCTCCTGTTTTTCTACCGCTGAGTGAAATATTAATGTGCTCATATTCCCACTTGTGAGGGTGATATTCTGGAGATCCAAAGTTTGTTTCGTTGGACGAAAAAATGCGAGGGAATACATGCAAGAGTGCAGACAGTTTTTTTAATGTGGCTTAACAAACGTGGATTGGCTAGCATCCAATCAAATATTATTGTAAATTATCACAAGCCACGAGACTGCTATTGGTAGCACACATTTCCCACTGTAGCACATCAACCATTTCTCTTACTCCAAAGCAGCATGTCTGTTTTCAATTCACTTCAAATAATGTGCCAAGTAGCACGCTTCACGTCAGCCACGTAGAAACACTCCGCTTAAGGATACTTAAAGATCAAACGGAATCCTTAACGCTGCAAGGGTCAAGCTGAAACACACTAACAGGATGGAGAACAACCACATTATTCATGTACCTGTCAGCAATGGTGCGTGTGGATTTGAGCTAACTCAACCAAATACTGACATCGTTTGACTTTATTAAAGTGTATTACTTGTGATTTTCTCCTAATTATAATGATCACATCAGCCTCGATAACTCAGTGGTGAAATTGTTAGTTGCTTATCTTCGATAAAAAATCTGAGTTGAAGATTAGTAATTGGTTATGTAATAATCCCCTGAATTAAGTTCCATTGTAGTTTGGCCTCATGTTGTTGTTTGTTGTTGTGGCATCCTATCATTGACATTAGTATGCTGCTTTGGTATTTGTAAAGGTGAACACTGCGAATAAATGTATGGTTATAGAGGGGTAATTTGCTTAAGAAAGAGCATTTTTGGTGAACAAGTTGCGTCTTTAGTTGGAGAAGACTCATGTGGCATTACTGTATTCGATTTAATAGTTTTAACTATTAAAAACCAAACGTGCTTTACAATAACATGCGGCGACAATCATGCTCAGAAGTTGGGTTAAAATTCTGAAGCCCCTTCCCATTTATGATTATTAACATTGGCCTGCATGACTGCTGCAGACCAAATTGTTGGTTTTGTTGGCTCAGAAAATGAGTTTATTTTCTATAAACACAATACGTGCCATATTGTTTGAGTAAATACAACTGATGTTATCCAAATACGTGGCTCTATCGTTGGTGTACAAATAAACATAATAATTGTGTCTTCAAAACCATTTGTGGTGGGAATGATAATTACCACGATTTGGGAACACAACTACAGATGTCCTCTGGAGAGACTGGCCCCTGCCATAGGAATGCTGAATGGCTACCACTAACTCAGGACCACAAACAGCGATAAACACCAACCCATGCCTTCGTGAACAGAAAGATATTTTAAATTTGTTTCCAGCTGATCTTGCAAACTCACGGTCTGAATGCCACTTTTAGAAAACGTGTATATGAATGATACAACGTATGTTTATAGTGGTATTCGGAAATAATAACCTATTGTATTATTATTTTATGTTCATCTGGTAGATGCCTGTTATTGAACCAACAGCAGACTACCTTACGGAGATGGCCATGACGCCCCCGGTCTTCACAACGGTACGTTATGGTGAAGGGAGGATGCGCGCCTTGTTTTGTGTGATTTAAACTTGGAACTTAAAGAGTTTGGTCGATAACACCATTTTTACACCGCGTAATTCATGGTTGAAATTTTGCCTTCATTTTTTCTTTCAGTTCTATATAATTGCATTTATCCCCCCTCCCAAAAAAAAACTTTGGAAGACATCAAATCGAAACAGTTTGTAATGTAGGTAAACAGAAATCCTTCAAGTGTTGTGAAAAACATTGTGCTGAAGTGTCCTGCTCTTGTTTTCATTGAGATTGATCGTTTATATCGCGATTAGCTGCCACTGCATGCACTTTACCTGTAGTATTACACGTAGCACATTAGGAAGGTGAATAGAAAATGTCATAACTCATTTTGTAAAGTGCTTGCAGTGTCTATTTAAAATTGATATCTGTGTCTTGGGGGGGATGGGGGGGGGTGAAGGGGCAGCACAGTGGTCAGTGCAATGTGCTACTAGCCCAGCAACCGGAGTTCGACTCCTGGCCACGGCTAACAACACCAGTGGCGAGTGATATCTAAAATGTTCCTGTCCCCCGTTCCTCACTTCACCAACTTGCAACGACCGGCGTGGTGAAGCGAAGCTAGGTCAAGCGACCCCTTTGCGGCCACCAATAGTTTACGGGGGAAGGTCTCACAGTTGGCCGTGTATTTCGCCGGGTTCAGTGCACGTGCCCGAGCTCTCTTCTTCCCCCTCCAACTCCGCGGCCGCGCAGGATCTGCAGGACGTGGCGGTCATGGAGGGGGAACCGGTGCGCATGCAGTGCCACGTGACGGGGACTCCGCCGCCCGTCCTGCAGTGGTTCCGCGAAGAGTTCCTCATCCACAGCTCCGCCGACTTCCGCGCGACATACGAGGGCGACGTGGCCACGCTCGCCATCAGCGAGGCGTTCCCCGAGGACAGCGGTCGCTTCACCTGCCGGGCCTGCAACCCCGCCGGGGTCAACACCACCTCCTGCTTCCTCACCGTGCACAGTGAGTGGCTGCACCGGGGGGCGGTCGCGGCCCCGTCCGCATGAACCCTCTCGTGTCAGGGGAAAAGGGAAGAAATTAAATAAATTCCAGCGGTGTTTGTTTTGATGGCGAGCAGGAGCAAATTGTGTCGTTGCATTCGCGCGCACCTTCGATTAGCGCGGTTGGCTATGTACGCTGCGATAGAAGTTCAACGTACATGCTAAAAGATGAGTAGGGAATTTAAACACTGAATACTGGTAGTGTTATGGTTACGGTGCTTGGCTCGCATTTGTAAGATTGCAGGCTCAAACTGTGGTTGCGGGGTTCAACATGGATGAGCATCCCTCCGGGAACCATAAAACTATTGCCACTTAGTAGGAGGTCAATAATGTAGTAATTGGTTTTTATCCTTTCAACTGGTACAAAAACTGACACCTTTATACAAGGCATCATGTGAGGTCAATAATGATTGCCCTATAGAGAGAGAGGAAGAGGATGGAGTAGTGGTGCAGCGGTTAGCTTAGTGCACTGTCAACTCGGCCAGCGAAGTTTATGAGACGTGCCAATGAATAAATAGAAATGAGCACAAAAACTAAAATAACTATCACCTGAGCAATGGAAAATATTGCACAAACATAAATCAATGTTAAATCTAAATTAAATATTAAATTCCCTGTGGCGCCAATTTGCTCGGGAAGACTAATTTTACATTGATCACAATAATCTGCGTCGTACACACGTGATTATTTTTGCATGACCCACCAGCCCTGCCTTGAACATACCAGACTACAGGCATGTGCCTCCCAAACTCGCCCCAAGCGGCCTCCCGCGATGACCTGTGACAGGCTCTCGCCTTGCTGTGTGCCGCTTTCTGTTCTCTGGCCCACAGTCTCTGAAGATGACGAGGGCTCCAAGCATCACGTGGACAACTTCACCGAGACTGTGCTCACCCAGGCCAGCATGCAGTGCGTAGCGCACTGCCGTGACACCGTATACTGCGTAAACAGATTATTTTGATGCTTTTTGTAAAAAAAAAACTTATTACACGCTTTTATTTAACTCACTTCATCTGTTGTATCCTAAAAATAAAATCTTGTAACTCCATTTTTACACACTTTCCAATGTGCTATCGACTGCAAACTTCGTATAGGTATGTCATACTGATGACAACACGATGTTCTATCATAAAAATCCAAAACATTAATTTGTTAACTTTTTACACGCTTTTATTTAACTTACTGTATGTGTCGTATCCAAAAATCTTGTAACTCAATTTTAACCGTATTCCCAATGTCGTATCGATTCCCAATGTCGTATCGACTGCAAACTTGGTATAGGTATGTCATACTGATGACAATACTATATTCTATCATTAAAAATAATATACATATTTTTTAAACAATATTTCTAACGGCTCTTAATTGTCCACGCTCAACTGACGTTGCCTGTAAATCACCACGGTCCCTTACGTCACGGCAAGCCTCGGGGAGCCACGCCCAGGGGCGGGGGATGTGGAAGGAGGGGAGGGGCGATGGGGGAAGGGGGCAGGGGGAGGGGCAGCTCGGACAGTACATCTCATTAAAGCGTATTTTAAAAAAAGTATTTTAAAATATTTTATTTACATTTGGGGCGATTGCCCAGACCTGAATGAGAGATGTTAATACAAAGACTCCATCACATTTGTTGTGAATGCTGCCTTGCAGTGGATACATACAAATATTAAACAGGCTGTTGTTTCCAGATATTACCATTATTTCAGACCAAGAGGACAGAAATATTGACTGACTTTATCGTTGGAGATTACTCTTTACACTCTGGTGCCCTGAGAAAAGTGGGACATTTAAAGACAGTTGATAAAGAAATAGTTTTAAATTAACAATCCAACCATTTTCCCCACATGAATAAACACTCGACAATAAACAAAGCCATAACACACACACACAGACGTAAACATAACTGAGTTTAACATGTAATTACTGGTAAAACGTCGTACTCAGGTTGTAAATATTGTGGCTTGGCTCTCCAACACACAGGTGTGCTGTACTAGTAACGTGGCATGTTCTGTTTACGTGACAAACCTTACTAAATGGCTGTGTCGGGTGGTGGCGGGTTTAACGACACATTTATATTTCTAACCCAAAAAACTGTATTATAAACATAACTGTATGAACGTTTCCTACAAAACGATAAGCATTTTTTTCAACCCTGAAAAAATAATCACGCTGAGTTGTCGCATATTAACCACGATACCTTGCTAATCCTCATCAAAGAGCATGAACCGTCACGCGAACTCCGGTCATCCTCGCAGCGAACAAAGACGGTCAACCGCATCGCGCGCGCCGTCGAGACCTCTGACGAGGCTTGCTTTGTGACGTGCGGATCGACAGCGCGCGCCGCCTGGGTGACTTGAAAACCGATCTACCCATCCCCGCGCGTCGTTTCCCCTGCCCCCCACCCCCCCTCGCCGCAGTGGAGAGCGCACGAGCGTGGCTTCGCCCACCCAGGCCTGCACGGTCGACTTCCCCGGCGAGGAACCCGTGTTCGTGCGCCTGGCCGAGCCCCAGCTGCTGGTGGAGGGCGACCGCATGGCGTTCGTCTGCCAAGTGCACGGGGAGCCACCGCCCCACGTCTACTGGAAGAAAGGAGGGATCCCACTTTCTTCCGGATACAGGTCGGGAATCCGGTCGCGCTGCTGCTGCTGCTGCTGCTGACTGCTACGATTGCTGTGAGAAACTGAATCCGTTTGGGAATTTCGAACAGTTGACGTCGAACAGTTCCCTCCCCCAAAACCGACGCGCAAAAACCTTGCGGCCGCTATGACGTACGACAGGCACGACGGCAGAAGCAATACGAAGATGAAAGATTTGCAAATGAAATCGTGTCCCTAAATTGTGACGATACGTCACAGCATGGAGCGGGTGAAATGTTATATCTCTCCTGTTGAGTGCTACTTTGATGCGTACCTATCAACCCCTTATCAGTGCCCTACCTTATTACACACCGATTCAGACCTTATTGGTCACCCCGTGCCCCTTATAAATCTCAACGTTCATCCCCCAAAATTCCATCACAAGGGAGAAACAAAAACAAAGAGACATCTTTTTTTTTTTGACCGTATTGAAACGGCTGTACGCCAGTATGGACCTGAAAACTCAATTTCCCTGTACAAGAATACGGACGGGTAAACCGTATGGGTTAACAGCTATGTTGATGTTGGCCATCCCAACCATGGTACGTCAACGCCAAAGGGTTCAAATCAGTGAGACACCCCCACTGAAAAGCTCTGGGGGGAAAAAAACCCAATAAAAACTGTTAGAGAAACCCAATAAACTGAGAGGGAAACACAAAACAACGTGGTATAGAAACATTTAACTGTCACACAGGAAGTCTACTTTTGGAGTAAAGAGGGGGGGGGGTCACTAAATGAGTTTAGGTAACAGCAATAGGCTAATGTATGTATGTTCAACTTCTTTTGCACCGTACGTAGACAACCGTGCTAATCGGAAGTGGTTTAATGTACACCACTTAGTGAACACCCCCATCGTAAATAAAATTATAATGACGTCGGATGGTTGTTATCAGTTTCCCACTTGCTTCTCATTGCACGGCTGTAAGTAACTTTTGGAGCTGACCTCTTACACGGAGACCTGGACCATCAGCAGCATCTGCCGGTGCACTGCAGTAAATAGGTCTGAGCGACTTATTTACAGCAGGTAAACAACAACAGTGTGAGGAGCAAATAAGAGGTAATTCTTGAGGCTTCATGCGTCCGTGCCGCAGAAGAGCCTCCGCTCGTCTTGAACTTGTGCGGCCGCTCTGCGCAGGTACAAGACGAAGTTCGACGCGCAGAGTGGGGAGTGCTGCCTGGAGATCTCCTTCATGCTCGCCGACGACGCGGGAGAGTACACCTGCGTGGCCCGTAACCCCCACGGCGAGACCAGCACCACAGTGCTGCTGCTGAACCACAGCAAGTACACGCACCTGCATGGCGGTCAGGCAAAAAAAACGCATGCACATCCCGGTGGTTACGGTAACCATGGAGGTCAAGGTCAAGAGGTCGCCACGGCAGCGATGGCATCAATGCCATCGTGCGTGCGCATCCACGTCACTCTCTTTCCCTTGCCAGACCATGCACCTCTTTACACAGTCAGCACCAGAGCTACGATTTCATCCCAAATGATTCAGGGGGGAATATATAGTCTTATCTGCTTCAGCATCAGGCCCTTTTTACTCGTTGTCAAGTCCTTTTGCAAGCCCAGGCAACTTACTAATGGTTTGATAATCGACAAACCGGCAGACTTAGCAATATCACAAAGTTGAAACTCGCTCATGATAACATTTGCTTAACCATGTGGTTGAATGTGTACCCTGTACTGCTCAATAGATGACTATCAAGCGCACCTGCATCAGACCGGGAAAGCAAACCCAGTGAAGAACGGCATTGCCCCTCATGCAGCACCCCCAGCCACACACATGCCGGAGTTTCCGCGGGCACACACTGTGCTGAAGAAAGTGCCCAGGCCGACTGTGGACAGACAGGTGAGTTCCACGTGATAATGGAATACCATAGAACACAGGGGTTGCGTTTTTCAAGGTGCATGTCGTGTACAGTAATACCACATTCACGGCTATGTGAGTGATGTATTTGTCACATATGGTAAGCGTTTGCAAAGTATACCTAACTTTGGAAATTTGGATACTTACACAGTTGATAGTTGAGTTTTACATGCACCTGCACGTCTATTTTCAAGCAGCCAAGAGCCCATCAACTGGCTCCGTATGGAAAACGGGCTCAAGCATATATGCGTGCGCTTTCGGATGCACTTCTGCAGCCATCTGTAATGCTCTTCCTTCCGATATTCGGAAGCCACTGAGCGATGCACTTTTAAATCAAGATTGAAAACGAATTTCTTTAAAACTGCTTTTTTTGTGTTTAGTTTGCTGTCCTTGTCCCCGCACCTCTGATTAGCACGGTTGGCTACATACGGTGCAAAAGAAGTTCAACATACATATGTACACACAGGCAAGGTGACACAGTGTCACCCGACAGGCCCGGTAACCCCTGTGCTCCCATGCCGCAGGATTCCTGCCTCTCGTCTTTCGAGGAGCGCCTGATGCGGGAGATCGAGTACCGCCTCGTGGGCCTCAGCCTGGAGGAGCTGCTGGCAGAGGATGGCGAGGGCCCCCCCCGGCACAGCGAGGACAGCGGCCCCTCTTTCGAGCCGGCCGTGGAGAGCAGGCTCGTGAGCCAACGCGTCCAGGAGGGCTTCCCCGCGGCCTTCTTCTGCCAGCTCTCAGGGCATCCCCTGCCCAAGGTGCGCTCGCACCCTCCTCCAGACAGGGGTGGACTTACTACGTCCCGAGACCCAAGTCCTCTTGCTAAGCCGTGGATGCCTGTGGCATTGAGTATGATTGGCCTTTAGGTAAATGCTTTGAGAAAATAAATAACTGGATTCGTGAATATGTAATTCCATTCTTAGAATTAACGCTGGTGAAAATCTGTCAGAAATTTGCGTTCTGTTGGAGTGACATTCAAACTAAGTGATTGCTCTTACGATTAGTTTATTCGAATTGATATGAGATTAAATGAGCACAATCAGTGGTTTTCCAAGAAATAATGAACCCTGCCATAGAAATGTGAAATCCCCACCACCAGTAGAATACTGCCAAGGGAGAAGCGCACCACACCAATGCTGATGTCAGCACATGGGTATCTTTACTTAAACTTGACATCACAATATTTCTCTAGGTGAGCAGTGCAGTAAATCGTGTCTTTAGAAAACACTTCGGCAAGATGCACCGGTGAACTGTGTCAACTTACCAAAGTTATCTGGAACAACAAAACATCGGTTTATACGCTTAATCGCTACATTGCTAATTGTTGCACAAGCTTATGCACCCCTTGGTTGACCTTCCCTGCGAACCAGATCCTGTGGTACAAGGATGGGCGGCGGATCTTCACGGGTCCTCACTATCAGCTGGTGGGCCCGACGAGGCAGGGCGAGGTGGAGCTGCACATTCCCAGCATCCTTCCCGAGGATGAGGGCATCTACACCGTGCTGGCCTGCAACTCCTCCGGCAATGCTGTGTGCTCCGCCAAGCTGTCCATTGAGCCAGCGGGCAACGGGGCTGGGGGGCTGCCTTCGCCCATGTCTCCGGCACGCCAGCAGATCCACATGCCGGCTTGGCCCGGCACCCAAGGGTCAGCCTCGCAGTCTCCTCCTGCCAATAGGTCCCAACGGTGAGGTCCACTCTTGCGTGTATGCGGAACTTCTTTCGCACCGTACGTAACCAACCGTGCGAGAGGGGGCATCCTGTGCCTCGATGGGTCCTGATTTGTCTTCTGCCCCCGCCACGGGACGCAGGCCCCTGTCCCCCGAGCGAGCAGAGCCGGTGGGGGCGCTGCAGGACACGAGTGCGGAGATCCTGGTGGAACGGCTGCACAAGCCCATGTTTGTACAGAAGCCCGAGTCGGCCAGCGTCACCGAGGGGCAGACGGCGCGCTTCGACCTCCGCGTCGTGGGCCGGCCCATGCCGGACACGTTCTGGTTCCACAATGGTACGCGCAGGACACGTGGGTTTGACGTGAGGGGTGAACGGAAAGGCGCACGTGAAGGATGTTGGGCTCAGCCAGATTTGAAGTGAAAATTAAAGGTCGTCTCAAATTGTTGGCCCTGAATGTACGTTCTGAGGCAGGAACCAATCCTATCCACAGTTGAACCACTGTAACCGTTCGGCAAAATGGTACAAATTTACATGGTCCCATACCTTGATATTCTACACTCGTTGCTTTTAGACACTAGGGGTTCAATTCATGTGTGGGTTACACCACATTTTGCACCTATTAGTGGCAGTTATACATACACGACAAATGATCCCCCGTATAGCCCTAACAGACTGCTGCTGGTGCAAATGCCGTAGCGAGCACTCATTAGGTTTGGGGTATTGTGGCAAACACCATGCCCCGACCACTTTTGTTTTCCTCAGTACTAAATTGTACACACCAAGTACTTATTTAATGCTGAATTGGCATAGAGGGGGGCCCAGAACCAGTTCCGATATCACGTGACCTATTCCAATCTTTAAAAAATAAAAAAAATTGAAACGTGATCGTTTGCAAGCCCTTGCAGTGTCCGCGTGATCGCGCCTTCATCGGTGGGTGGGGTGGTGGGATTTGCGTGGCAGGCAAGCAGGTGCTGAACGACCAGACGCACAAGGTGGTGGTGAAGGAGGACGGCACGCAGTCGCTCATCGTGGTGCCGGCGACCCCAGCGGACGCTGGCGAGTGGACGGTGGTCGCGCAGAACAAAGGAGGCTCCACGTCTGTGAGCGTAGAGCTCGTCGTGGAGGGTGCGTCGGCGCGCCACACAGCACACCGCTAACCCCCACCCATCCGTCCATCTCGATCTGTTCATCGCTCACTTTAAGAGGAAAAGTCAAAAGGTTACATTCAGGTCGTTGAACTGTGCTAATCAGAGGTGCGGGGGCAAGGACAACAAACTAAACACAAAAAACAGTTCTAAAGAAGTGTGTTTTCAATGTAAGATCAAGGTGTCTCCACACTCAAACAAGAATCCGGGGGGGGGGGGGGGGGGGGCTGCATTCAACTGTTTAGAGCCATTGGTAGAAATGTCTCTGACCACTCTTTTTATATCTATTCCAGTGCTGGGATGGCAAGGTTTTAAAAGCAGCAATTCAATGTAATTCCACAGTGATTATTTCCAGCTTGATTTAATCTGATTACTCACGTTATTTCACGATTGTATCTAATTCACGTACAATGCAATGACTTATACTTTCGAGGAAATCTACAGTGGCTATCCAATGGACTTACTGGCCACTGCCATCGGGAATGTTGCATATCCACCACACACTGGAGGCCAATTCAGTGAGATAAGTGCTGCCAATGTTGATTTAAGTATGGCAACTCTTTAGCTTTGGCTCAACGTCATTGTTGAGGTTTTCAATGACTCAATATTGGGCAGCGATCGTCGTCATTTTGTGTCGCTCACCGTTTGGTTGTCGCCGTGACTCTTGCGGCCGTGCACCGTCAGGCTGTAGTCGTTGCCGGCGCTCTATCTCCTCTCTCTCTCCCTGCTTTTGATTCTGCCGACAGCCAAAGAGCGCTTGGAGAAGCCTCGCTTTGTGGAGAAGCCGAACAACGTGTGCGTGAAGGAGGGCTCCGCCGTGCAGCTCACGGCCCGCGCCATCGGCAACCCCACCCCCGACATCGTCTGGCAGAGGAACAACGACATCATCTTCCCGCACAAATTCCCACACTACGAGTGAGCAATTTGCACCCTCTCCACGCACTCCGCTGGCTGGCCTGGTACGCACGCCCTTCCACCCCTTGCATTTCCATGTGACAAAATGCAGTGTGCACTGACGATAAGGTGTCGTGAAGACGCCTCGGCAGTGCAAGAGGGCTCATCAGGGCCATCGCAAAGCAACAGGTCGAAACTACTCAGGTCCAGGCCTTGAATCTAGCCAGCAATATGACTAAACCAGGTTGCATCTATTCACTTGGCTTTATCTTCAAATGATTGTTAGAAAGAGGTCAAATGAATATTATTACATTTCCTTTTGATGTCCACTCTTCTCTGGTCATGAAGGGTTACAGCTATAGTGACGGGAAAGAGAATCCTACTGAAGTGACGTTAGGATTAGCAGTCCATGTGAAGAGTAGTGATCGCTAATCTCTGTTGGCGGTCTTGAACCAATAGTGGAAATTTCACATTCCTGTGGAAAGTTTCAGGCATGCGCAAATGACGTATGTTGACTTGTCACAGGACGGTGCTCATTTTATAAACCTTAGATAAATGATGGACTGTGTTGACCCCTATTGGAATTTAGACACACAACCTTAGCATTGTATGTACTCTGCTACACCTTTACCCAGCTGGATACCCAGATGTGCCATCAGAGATTCTCTATGTAATTGTATTTATTTACGTGTCCTATATTCCTCCGCACAGGGTGGAAAACACGAAGGGGGAAAGCACACTGACAATTTACTCAGCGAAGCCCTCGGATATGGCCTGGTACACCATCATAGCCCTCAACCGGGCAGGCCGGACCATGGCGCGCTGCAAGGTGCAGGTGGAGGCAATGCTATCGGACCGGCAGCCCGAGCCTGAGCGCAAGCTCATCATCCCCAAGGGCGTGTACCGCGACATCGCTCCGCCAGTGCTGGAGCCGCTGCACCTGCGCCACGGCCAAGACCAGTGGAACGAGGGCGACCTCTACGACAAGGAGACCCAACAGAGGCCCTACTTCAAGAAGAAGCTGACGTCCGTGCGGCTGAAGCAGTTCGGGCCCGTGCACTTCGAGTGCCAGATGACGCCCATCGGGGACCCCCACATGGTGGTGGAGTGGCTGCACGACGGGCAGCCCCTGCAGGCCGCTAACCGCTTCCGCATCGTCTGCGAGTTCGGCTACTGCAGCCTGGACTACGAGGTGGCCTACCCGAGGGACAGCGGCATCATCACCTGCCGCGCCACGAACAAGTTCGGCTGTGACCAGACGTCGGGCTCGCTCATCGTCAAGGACGAGAAGAGCCTGGTGGAAGAGAGTCAGCTCCCGGAGGGGCGCAGGGGATTCCACCGCTTGCAGGAGCTCGAGAAGGGCATGGCGGGGACAGTCGTGTCGAAGGAGGATGTCCCGGATGCGAGGGAGAAGCCGTACTTTGTGATGTACCCCGAACCGTGCCGGGTGTACGACGGGGAGACGGCTCGGTACCACTGCCGTGTCACCGGAGTACCCCAGCCCAAGGTCTTGTGGTTCCTCAATGGGCAGCGGATCCACCGCAGCAAGCGGTTCCGGCTGCGCTATGACGGCATTCATTATCTGGAGATCGTCGACTGCAAGTCCTATGACACGGGAGAGGTGAAGCTTGTTGCGGAGAACTCGGAGGGCTCGGTGGAATGCAAAGTGGTGCTGGAGATTCTGCCAAAGCAGGACTTCAGGGCTGTGCTGCGCAAATCTGTGCTGGAGGGCAAAGCTGACGGTCACAAGGATTCCGGGAAGGCGCTCTTCGAGGTGCGCAAGCCGAAGGGACCCCTTCAGCACGTGCCCATCGAGGTCGTGAAACTCAAGAAGGCCGAGAGGATCACCCACGAGAAGCAGTCCGAGGAGACAGATGAGCTCCGTGGGAAGTTCAAGCGCAGGACCGAGGAAGGATACTTTGAGGCCCTTACGGCCATCGAGCTCAAGAGCCGCAAGAAGGACGCCGACTACCAGGAGATGCTCAAGAGAAAGCGGGAGGAGCTTGTCCACAGGGCCATAGAAGCCACCGCGGAGGAGCTGGAGCAAGAGAGCAGGGCCGCAGCGCAGGTCTACAAGGTGGAGCGCATGCAGCTGGCGCCCGGCATGGAGCCGCCGAAATTCACCGAGCGAATCCAGAGCCAGACGGTGCCCGAGGGGGGCGAGGCTCGTTTTTGCGTCCAGGTGAAAGGCAAACCCCAGCCCGAGTGCCAGTGGTTTCTGAACGGCGTTCTGCTGGAGAGATCAGAGAGGCTGAACTGGCATTGGCCCGAGGAGAGCACGTGCGAGCTTGTCGTCCAGGACTGTGACGGCGCAGGACTCGGGCAGTGTCATGGCCAAGGCGGTGAGCGCAGCCGGGGAGACCACGAGCCACGCGTTCCTGCTCGTGCAATGTAGGTAATCTGCCACCATCTGTCCTTCCTTTGCCCTGACGTGGGCCCCATTCGTGCGCTGTCGGATATGCCCTTTCTGTTGCGATTGAGAAATGCAATTGGCGGATTGCACTTTTCATAGTCTGAGAAAGACAAAGACAAAGATCCCCGTATAGCCTTAACAGATCGTTGGGGCCAGTGCACCACGCCCGACCACCTTTGTCTCCCTAGTACTCATTTGAGGCTGAATCGACCTAGGAGAGGCCCAGGACCGGTTCAGATAATTGTTATTGGTGTTGGCTGTGAGCAGAATCGAACTCGGGTCACTGAGTTCGGAGCATAGCATGCTAACTGTGACACTACCGCTCCCCACAAAGACATTCACCTGCATACATACATACATTGTGGTCTGCAATGTGAATGAATGGACTAATTTCTCTGTGCCTTTTGTTTTCTTTAATTGTTTATATTTTTCTGAGGGTCTTTGATTTGCTTGGTACAAATATATAATTTGGCCCTTCTAGATAATGTACAGCGCTGTGGGATGCAATTAGCATGAATGATGCGATATACATTTTATTCATTATTATTGTTATTTAGGACCCCCCATGGAGATAAACCCCACTGCATGGTCAGTTTCAGCAGGCAGACGCTCGCTTTCTGACAGCGAGTACGCATCGAGAATATTTGCGAAACAGCGTGTGCAAGGCGCCCCGACAATTAAAGCAGATGGGCAGGAAAGAAGTTATGCTGCCGTTTTCATCCTCATTATGTCAAGAGCTTTTAAGTAATTTGCAACCTCCTCGCTCCAAGGCACGCACTCCATCGCCAGGCCTGGTATAACAATTGTTATGACATTTTATCCATTAAAATGTGTTTCTAATGTGGATATGTTGAGTTGTGCGTGTTATCCCCGCACTGGTGTTGCACGAGTTTCTCCCCTGGTACGCTACCCTGCCTTCCACACGACACAACCAATAAAGAAAACGGGCAAAAGTAGCATGGCCCTATTGAAAAACATACTTATAGATCCAGAAATTATTTTTTAGGTTAAAGATGATTAAATTCATTATAGTTCCGACAAATATTTACATTGCACTGTAACTCAGCAATGAATACCGTTATCTCTTAAACGTGCATGCTGCAGTGTTTTAAAAGCCACCTTCTATAAAGTCAGCCAGACGTGTGTGTATGCGATATGAATAATTTACACTCTGATTTTTTAAATCACATACACAATTATTTTCCTGTGTCGTCAAAATAACATGTAATTTCATGATATTGATTCGTTGGGTTAAGTATATATTACTGTATCCTGATTTGTTGAACCCATTCCTGTGTTAAAGTGTTACTATCAGTCCTGTAATATGTTCTTATTAATCTTTGCATTTTATTTTATATCTATAACCTTGCTACATTTTTACTGTCAGTAATTTATCTCGGATAGTAATATAATGATAACTTTGAGTTATGGGCACCTATTTACTCTGTGTTATACTTAAATCTATACTCTGTAAGGGCTTCTGAACACTTAGTTTACAGTTTAACACCTTAAAACCGGTTTTCGTCGAAGCCTCTGCTGACTACTGCAGGGCCACGGCAACATTCAGAGAATCCATAAAAGGACTTGGCACCAGATTCGTGCCACTATTTTGGCCATGTTACCTTGGTTTTCTCTGGCTACTCTAGTTTCCTCCCAGCTGCCATTAAAAATAATCTTATGAATTGGTACTTTATCAAATGAGAAAACTATTGCTAAGAACTTCATCGAATGATGGGGTAAGCAACTTGGAAGTCCATTATAGATAATAGCAACAACATGCTGTAGATGTAATGAGCAAAAGGAGGTTGGGATGGGTGGGGTCACGTGTTCAGGATGCAAGAGAGCAGGTTACTGAAAAAACACGCATCGGAGTGACCGCCCAGAAGTCACCAAGCAAGGAAAAGACTAAAACCCAAAATGGGTAGGATACATTAAAAGCAGACCTTGAAGGGCGGATGTCAAACAACAGTTACGGTATTTAACGAAAGACAGAAGGCGATGTATATACGTATGTATGTTGAACTTATTTCACACCGTACGTAGCCAACCATGCTAAAATGAATGGCATAAATGGCCTTGATGATCTCACGTACTTGACACCTCTCTGCAATGGCACCCTTTTCACCTCCGCCCACCTCTTGCAGCGAAACAGGTAATCACCTTCATTCAGCCCCTGTCGGACGTCTTCGCCAAGGAGAAGGACACGATGGCTACCTTCGAGTGCGAGCTGTCAGAGCCCTTCTTCAAGGTGAAGTGGTTCCGGGACGGTCGGGCGCTGAAACCGGGAGACAAGTACCGCATGCACTCGGACCGCAGGGTCCACATGCTCTCCGTCCTCGCCATCGAGGAAAGCGACGCCGACCTCTATTTCCTGCGAGCTGGCTGAGGACAGTTCTGTCAGCTGTGCTGCCACGCTCATCGTGGAAGGTAACGACGCACGTGCCGTACGGCGCAGAACATGGTCGGGCAACGGGGATATTTGAAGCAATGTTTGTACACGATGGACGGCTTGCCCTTTCATTCCGTGATCAAAGCCCTCCCAACGATGCACATGGTCCAAGCTTCCCCGTATCACTTCTTGAGCTACTTCAAATGCATGTTGCACGAAGGAGGGTTCATGTTTTTCTGCTACGGTACCGTTTCGCCACTCCCCACCCGCTTCCTAATGCTACCTCAAGTGTGCTACCAGAGTTACATCGTGAGATTAGGAATCCATTCAGAACTCTAGCAGAGCAGTTCACCACCCTCGTTTGATCAATGTCAGTTTACTATGAAATGTAGGCAAAAATTGTAAAAAAAAATAAACTCAAGAAGCCCAACTTTGAGAAATAAAGACGGTAGTTTCATCCCCATGGGATAAATATTTTATTTGGAGCTTTTAACGTTACACCACCAGTTTGTTATGTTGCTTTTTGGGTTAAATGGGGTCCAATATTTTAGATGGACTCCTCTTGTCAATAACGTCTGATAACCCAGCAGCATTTAACAAGCCTTGCTCTGTCAATGAGACCACGAATCGTCAAAACCAGTCCAGAGTTCGTGTTTTCAAAACGAATTCTACTTTATTTTCTTGGGTATTTCGGTAAAGTCACGTAGATAGGTTCAAAGAATATAACAAAAATAACACAAAACTACGATGATTCGATCGCAACACAAGCAATCATCATCAGGAGAAAAAAGAGCAGGAAAGCTGCTGAGGCAGGCTGTTTTAAAGGTTTGAAATGGGTGTAGCCCAAGGGTCATGCTACTTTATAATATTGATCTTCAAATCCAATTGGCCACAGAACTAAAATATACATAAATTTATATGTGGAGACACTGATCATAATTCTGCAAATATATGGCAATGACCAATATGGGCGATGCATGTACTCGCATGCACATGCCCTCACACATTGTCTATTTACGAGAGGATAGACAATAGCGTCTCGGCCTATCATCTCTCCATATGCAAAATATTACAAAATGAGTACCACATAGTAGATAGCCATGAGTGGTCAGGGAGACTGGCCACTAATGGTATTTCTACCACCGCCTTGGGTGTGCCAGCCGTGCCGCTCCAATGCTCATTCAGGTATGGAGACACTTTGAATCAGAATCTCTATTTAATATGTTGAGCTATACAGCTCTTTTACGCAGATTTCCAGTAGGAGCAGGTCAGAAAGTTACAATAACAAACAATACAAAAATGATAGGAGTTAAAAGTATAGGAAAGGTAAGCGAATCACTCAAAATAAATACATAAAATAAATAAAGTATATAAGTTCACCAATCTCCAAGCTTGGCCAAGGCAGCAAAACAACAGCAAGAACAATCCCAGAACACACCAAGACAACATAAAATCCCTCAATAAAAGTGCACATTAAAATGTAACTATCGATGCGCAGGTAAGGATGAAGTTACAAATCACATTGGCAAATGCAGTTCGACTTGCCGTTTAGCCACCCAGGGAAAGTTTTACGCGACTTGAGTTTTCGAATTCATCTTGCCACCGCCCGTGCACGGCAGGGACGCTGTTGGAGATCCTGAAGGAGCTGGAGGACGTGGAGGTGCCCGAGTCTCTGAGCGGCGAGTTGGAGTGCGTGGTGTCACGCGAGGACGCCGATGGCGAGTGGTTTCACGGGGACCGTCCTCTCCAGCACGGAGACAAGTACCACGTGTCGTCGCGCCGTGGCAGACACACCCTGGTCGTGCGGGACGTCGTCCGCGACGACGAGGGGGAGTACAGCTTCCACGTGGACGGCCTGACGAGCACCGCGACACTCTCCATGCAACGTGAGGCTCACCCCCTCCCCCCCACCCCCCAAATTGGTGGTGAGATGTTAACTCCCTCGCCTGGTATGCAGGAGGTTGTGGGTTCGATCTCGATCCCGACCCAGATGCCTGCTATGTATTTGGAGTTTGCGTGTTCTCCCCATGGGTGCATGGATTTGTCTCCAGGTCCTCCGGCTTTTTCCTTCCACAGTTAGAAACGTGCGTTTTGAGTCTTGGCCTGCTATAAATTTCTACTTGATAAGTCACTTCGTTGAGCTATCATTTGTGGCCAGGTTACATCTGATAAATAACTATATATCTCAGTGGACCTTACCTGCCAAAATATAAAAAGAACTCATACTTTTTAGATTAGGTTTAAACGATCTGAACGCAACCACAACTCACAATGCGTACTTATAGGATGTCAGAGCAGCTTAAAGTCGAATCGTTTTTCTTTAGGATGTTTTTTTAATCTTTCAAATTTGATGCTTTTATGGGTAATGGACTACATGGTAAGAGGGGAAGAGGAAATGACGGCACGGTAAAGTGCCACTGAAGTCAGTTTGTAGAAACAGGCAGATGAAAATGGGAAACTCTTGAAATTGGAATTGAATAAGGGGAGAGAATCTGCCCTAAAGACCGCGAAACAAAATAGAGGCAGTAACTGAGGAGCGGAAATTTCCCATTGAGTATTGTGGTGTTGTATGTGTTGGGTTATGAAATTTTGATGAAAATAATAAAAAAATAATAATTTTCCGAAAAATGCGCAAATCGCATTAATTATGATAGTGTGTGTATTAATATGCATAAATTATGATAATGCGTGTGATTATATGCATAAATTATGATAATCGTAGTAATTTATGCGGAGGCTTGCGATTATGTTAATGTGTGCAGTTATGATAATTTGCTTAGTTTCGTTTATCCAGAGTTATCAATCAGGATAACACGATTATCATAGATTCATTTACCGATTATCCTAGTGTGTGTTATAATATTTTAGGTCTCCATTTTCATATCTCATCGCAGGATACAGCTCTTATGAATAAGATGGTTTTGCATGGACTTGGAAAGAACACTCAATATGCTTCTTGATTACAATTTTATTCTAACAAGCACGTGACATTCTATCATGCAGGTTAAACATGCGTCAATAATTCATGGGCAAGATTATGCAATTAACTAAATTGAATGACTAAAAATACTTCTTCATTGGCGAAATTATGCAGTTAACGAAAATGAATGACTAAAACATTTCTTATTCATGCAACTCGACGGCAGCAACTGCTTTGCACGATCAGTTGATATTGAACGCACCACCTCGAAATGGCAACCCTTTTTGAAACGCAAAGATCACTTTTTGAAAGTCTTATTCGTGTGCGTGCTGTGTGTGCGTTGTCCTCTCGTAATATTAATTGTGTCGTTAGCTTGTGTGGTGTGGGAGGATACGAACAGCTCCTGCTGCTCCCTCGCTCGGCGTGTCGCTCGGCTTTTGCTCTCTCTCTCTCTCCACTGCTGGATTGAGCGGCGTTGGCACGATGTTCCTTGAAGAAACTTGCTTGCTTGGCGCTTGATGGTTCCGGGGGCTTGGTGCTGCTCGTGCGCTCTCTCTTTCTACTGCTAGATGACGAGTTGGCACGATGCTGTCCTTGAAGATGCTCGGTCGCTCGTGTCGCTCGGTGTCGCTCGGTGGCGCAAGGTGTCGCTCGTTGTCGCTCGATGGCGCGCGGTGGCGCACGGAGGCGCACGGTGGCGCACGGTGGCGCAAGGTGGCGCACGGTGGCGCAAGGTGGCGCACGGTCAGCGCTCGTTCAGCGATCTCCGCCTTTCCTGCGGGTTGTTCGCTGGTCATCACTCTGACGAGGAGCGATGCTTCGTTCGTGGCAGGGTGGACGTTGGCGTCTTTGTTGGCTTCACTCGCAGCTCTGCGACTCAGGGTAGCGATTCTTCTCAGGTGGTGCAGACCTCGGCTTGTAGCTACGCGTCGCTACTCCGCAAACCTCGTCATTCTGAATGACAGGAGCTTCTTCGTTGGCGGCGACGAGGAGAGATGGAGCCACAGCCCTGGAGATCTGTGATGGGGGCCAGAGCCCCTGTCGATCTGAGTTGTATGGATTTTCCTTCGGTTTATATCGGAAAATTCCACTCGGCTTCCCGAGTTGTTCAAAAGCTGTGTCATAAAACCTTCCTGTGGGGGTGGACCATCTGCGTCCGTGTGTGTGTCCGTCCGTGTGTTTCGCGTGCGTGTTTGTCCGTGTGTTTATTAGCTTTGAAGACACAGCTGTGTGTGTCGTTCTGGAAGAAAGGGGGTGGGGGTGGGGGCCTCGTGTCGGCTGCTTCAGAAGTTATCCATTAGCCAGACCGATGATTCGCGTTGAGTTAAAAAAAAAACATTCGAATCCATGTTTTGTTACTGAATAATATTTGTCGCGAAAACCTACGCGTTGAGCGAGCTTAACTATTCACTCCCTTGCTCTGGGATCACATCCTTTGTCTCACACAGCTTAAGTTGGTTTGGTTTGGAAGTTGAAATGCGACTTATTTGCTGCTTGGTTATGCCGAAACCGTGTTCACGATGTTTCATCGTGACCCGATCTCCCATGGAAATGTCATTTCCTGGCTTGTGCAATTTTTGCTGTCCGTGTTGTGGGAAGACAAAGGCGGTTGTTTCCACGGTGGGAGCACCCGGCGTATGCTTATTTATTCGAAGGCGTGTGTTAATTTCCTTTGAGCCCTTGCCCCAACTTTTATGGGTGTCATTTCCTGGCTTGGTGCCTGTGTGTCGTGATCCTCTCGGAAAGACAAAGGCGGCCGTGTTGCTCGCTTCCCATGGGTGTTGTGTTTGGTTAATTTTGAGAGCCTGCTCCGCCCTTGATTTCTCTTCTACTTTAATTCCGTACTTATTATTTGACTTCTTGTGATTATTTGATCTGATATCCCGGCTAGGAATTTTGTTTTGGAGCGAAATCGATGCCATAATTATTCTTTGATGCTTCGGCCCGGCCGTGTAGATATTCTTTAAAGGTAAATAATGTCAGTATTTATTAACAATGATGGGTCGCGATTCTGGTTCAGATTGTCGTCTGGTTTTCAATTGGAGTGAGGATGGATACTGTTTGCTTAATCTTTATGGTTAAGTTGGTAACTTGTGTATTTAACATGGTTCAAAGACCCATCTGTGCTTTTTGTCGTCGATGCTGTTTCTTTGTTAAGAATATAATTATCTCTTCCTCCGTGTCTCCTGGTTCTGCAACCCCCCGCCTGCAATTCCCCCCCTCCCTTGTTCCTCTTGTGTGAATTTAGGGGAGTTTTTTTTTATTACCTTATTGCCCCCCCTTTCATGTCCTCTTTCCTTTGAAATGAGGTATGCGCGCATCTGTGGAAGTGTGGGGGCCTCTGTGGAAGTGTGGGGGCGTGTTCGTTCCCACGTGGCCCCGTGTCTATTAAAAAAACAATATTATATATGATGGCAGAATAAGCCTTAAAAAAATAATATTAAAAAAAATAAAAAGGGGGTACATACACAACAGTGGACAACATGGAGTGGGGAGGCCTGGGAGTTACAATCGTCGAGCTGAGATGTGACAAAGTTCATGTACAAGGATCTCATATCAGATGGAGCAATAGGGTGATGAGGTGCTACCATAATGTGACCCTGCAGAGAGATCAGGCATGAGAACCATAGCTCACAATCAAAACACGGTGGTGCTATATGCTGGAAGAATAAAACAGGTGCTGTAGGCTGTTGCGGGGCTACATTGTCAAGACGATGCAAGTACAGCAAAGTTAATTGTTGTACTGTACCATGCTGCAAAGTCTATGCCCTCGACTTTCACCAATCCGGCCTTGATCAACATCGCAAAGCGTGGTCAATTCACCACCCGTAACCTGCATTATAATACGTAGCTGAGGCTGTCATTCAGCAGCAGACTGGACAAACGGGGACTATGCACGTGCATGTGGTGTACGTCGCATCCTGACGTGCCCGTTTGCCCGTTGCTGCGTTGCGTGCGTTGCGTGCAGTACGCCCGGTGACGGTGCTGCAAGGCCTTGGAGACACGGCGGCGTGCGAGGGCGAAGCCGTCCAGCTGGAGGTGCGCTTCCTGCAGGAGGCGGTGGAGGGCGTCTGGTGCCGGGAGGGCCACGAGCTCACGCCCGGGGGCCGCATCTCCTTCTGCTCCAGGAAGCAGTCCCACCTGCTGTGCATTGACAATGCGAGCTTGGCTGACAGCGGGGAATACTCCTTCGAGGTCCCGAAGCTCCAGTTCGTCACGGCTGGACGGCTCTCTGTGCAGCGTAAGGATTCGGCTTTCATGGTAGCCGCCAGGCGGTCTGCAGCGCGACCTTATTCTGCCACTAACGTACCACATTTAAGGGAAAATTGTGCATAAGGTCCTCCCTATTAACCAAAAAAAGTTATGCTTGTATGATGGTCCCATAGGAAACTGACCACTGTCAAGTGAATGTGGGATTAACGTTCTGGGCTCAAGCCACTAACAGAGAAAAGTACTTCAGTGGTATTTTGAGCAGGAAAACATGTATTTAAACCAAACTGGGTAGCGCTGTAACAGTGTGCTCGACTCACAATTCAAAGGTGACAAGTTCAAATCCCCGTCAGGTGGTGACTCAGCCCATCATCCGTTTGCACTGAATGAAATTATCATCACGTTGTAGTAGGAAAATGTTGTTTGTCTTATGGATTGACTGGCCACTGCCATATGAATGTGACATTTTCACCTTTGGCTCAGGTCACCAATGGCGACGAGCACCCTTTTACTACTTACGACAGCATTTGAGACATTTTGACTCTGATTGTGATCGTATGACGTACTTCACGAGTGTGTGTCATTGCGCACTGGTTGTCACAGCTCAAATCTCGGACGTTTGGCCAATTTTGGGGTTGGCATGAGCTGGCAAAAAGCCTCCACAAAACCATTGCAGCAATCGCAACACGATAGTTAATTCCATCGACTGTCGAGATTAAACGTGGACGGGGTGCAACCCTAACCACATAACCCTTACATAAATGGACCGGTCTGTTCCACAGAGGCACGTTCTTTTGGACCCATGGGCAACCATAAATTTTTGCAGGAAGCCGGAATGTGGTCAGCGTCACACTCAACGTTACTTAAATTGGCCACCGCCTATTTAAGGTTTGAGATTTAACGTGACGGGGCCCACTTCTAGGATTGCTTTAACTCAGCAAACTCCCAGTTTGCCGATGACCCAGTCCAACCCTGGTCAGAGTTCACACTGTGCAAATTTTTTCTTGTTCACAACAGGCGTGGAGGTGGCAAGGGAGCTGCAAGATCAGGATGTGCTGGAAGGCACACGGGTGGTGCTGGAGGCCAAGTTGTCCATCGCGGACGTGCAGAGCCGCGTGTGGCTGCGCGATGGGGAGCCCCTAAGCCTCGGGGAGCGTGTGCAGCCCGTCGTCAAGGGAACCAAGCAGCGCCTCGTATTCTCTCGCGTCTTCGCATCAGACACGGGCGAATACACGCTGCAGGCGGGCAACGCCTTCACGAGCTGCGTGCTCGATGTCAGAGGTGCGTTGATGCGAGATGTCAATTACCTCGCCTGGTATGCAGGAGGTCGTGGGTTTGATCCCGACCCTGACGCCTGTCTATTTTGAGTTTGCATGTCTATAGAGTCAGAATCAGAATATTTATTTATACTGGAGGAATCCAATGAGCTATAAAGATCTTTTTCACAGATGTTCAGTAGTGAACGGTGAGCAAGCACAGTCCACGCAAGCACGCAGTGGACACGAACCGAACTTCCGTTGCGCCCCCCCCCCCTCCCTCTCCTACCACGCAAGACGTGTCCATCGTACGGGGGCTGGAGGAGCGCACGTGCTGCGAGACAGAGGACGTGACGTTGGAGGCAGAGGTGTCGCACGCCGGCATTGAGCCGCGCTGGACATTCGGCGAGCGGGAGCTGCGGCCGGGCGGACGCTGGAAGCTGGAGATCCAGGGCCAGGTGTGCCGCCTCACCCTGCTGGGCGTTAGCAAGTCTGACGAGGGCCTCTACACGTTCGCAGCCGGGGAGAAGCAGAGCTCCGCCAACCTCATGGTCACCGGTGAGCACAGCACGACGAGTGGCAAGTGGAACCGAATGACGTTGCAGAGTTAACTTATCTGGGTTGTGTATCCCAGGCTCGCCAGCATTGGTTTGAAGCATTGTTAATTTTAAAGGACATCATGAAAAAATTTATTTTCAGCAAACCGTCAAAAGCACATTCCAGGAAATCACTGAGATACAACTGTCTTGCATGCGTTATGTACTTACAGGAAATATGACCGATGCTGTTTGTGTAAATGAAAGAGCCTCTGATATTTTGGGTCACTAGGCTCATCGCACAAACCCCCACCGACATTTCTACCCACCCACCGCTCGAGCTGATGCGTCCCCCGCGGCACGCGGTGGGGCGGTGATCTCCCCGTCGCTCGCCGCTCGTCGTTCGCAGGCAGCGCCATAGCGGTGCCGCCGCAGGACGCGTGCGTGGTGGAGTCGCAGGCGGCCGTGTTCGAGTGCGAGCTGCACAACGCACAGAGCGAGTGCCGCTGGCTCAAGGATGGGCGCGAGATGGCGCCGGGGGGGCGCGTGCGCGAGGAGAGCGACGGCGCCCTGCGTCGCCTCGTCATCGACAACGCGGGCCCGGCCGACGTGGCCGAGTACTCGTGCCACGTGGCCTCGTCGCGGGCGTCCGCCCGGCTCTCGGTGGATGGTGAGCGTCGTTCCCCCCCGTCATCGGCTCGTGCTCACATGAAGACGCGGTCGCGTTTGGACGCTGCGTAAATGTTAATTGTACAGGCGTTGCATACGGGAGGAAATGACGGCAGACAAATAACGGTGTTATTCATGGTATCTATATTAGTATCACTTATTTGTATCTGTTTAACACGTATCTACGTCAATGAACTTTAACACTTGTCTACATCAACTACCTATTTGTAACTACGTCAATGACCTTGTGTTGTGCCTTACTTAGTAAGGTCGCATTCATTACACATAAAGTGCTTGCCAGAAATGAACCACAATACCTTGCTGAGCTCCTTAAGGAGCATAAACCATCACGCGAACTCCGGTCATCCTTGCAGTGGCTTTTGGCTAACCATCGAACACAGTCACCTCATTGCAGGTTTTCAGATGTGCTTCTGCGGTCATCCTGCAATGCTCTTCCTATACTAAGAAGCCACTGGAGCTATGCACTTTACATCAAGATTTAAAACAGATTTATTTACCACTGCTTCTTGTGTTTAGTTTGTTGTCCTTCCCCCGCACCACTGATTAACATGTTGAAGAAGTTCAACATACATACATTCTAAGCAATGATTTGACTGTGTCATAATATTATTTGGTTAAAAATAGTCATAAAGTGAATAAAAAAATGTAAAACCACGACGTTTCGATTGCAACACAAGCGATCGTCATCAGGTAATCTCATTAGGTAAAAACAGTGTTGAGCCTAGATAGTGCTTGGATAGGTGACCGCCATGCATTGACTGGCTGTTATTGGCCGCAGGGCTGCATAATGGGCAGCTGAGTGCAGTGTAGCAGCTCCGACGTCTATGCTCCCCACTTTCACCAATCCACACTGATCAGAGCGGTGCAGTACGGTCAATTAACCCTCATGACTTGCACGGCTTGGGGAGGCCCTCATCCAGCAGTGGATTGACGAAGGGGCTGCACAAGTACAAATGGTGTTAATTATGATGCGTGTGGTTTGGCCATTATGGCCTTATTTCCATGGCCCCTTAGAATATTAGCTCTGCGTTGGGCCATGGCCCATGCCATGGGAATGGCCCAGGGGATATGCCGACATCCGAGCCACGTCTCTCCACGCCCGATATTCTAAATGAGGCTCAGAACCCTTGCTCTATCGCTGTGTTCCTCTGACTCTCTCCACACGCTCATTCCTGCCTCCCTCTACCTCCTGTGGCCTAGTGACCTAGCCCGGGAAGGTGCAGATTGACGGGGAAGACATCTAGGTTATGTTTGGGGGTGATAGTCATCAGGCAATGTTTCAACAACGTTACAAAGTTAAATGCAGGCATTATTGTTGAGGCCATTTTAAGTAAAACAATGTGCCTTTGTTTTATTTTATGTGTAGTTTTATATTTAACACAGACGGGTAGTATACCTGTCAACCCCTTATCAGTGCCTACCTTATTACAGACCAATTCAGACCTTATTGATCACCCCGTGCCCTTATAAATCTCAACGTTCATCCTACAAAGTCCCATCACAAAGGAGAAACACAAACAAATAGACAACAAAAAAGTGCCCGTATGAACCTGAAAACTCAATTTCCCTGTACAAGAATACGGGTAAACCGTGTGGGTTGACAGCTATGGCCGGTAGCTAAGCAGAGCGGCTGTTGGCACCGGCTCACCGCCTGGCAGCCTTATAGCTGCTCGGTGGTTCCTCCAGCGATAGTGAGGGATGTAATTTGCATGAAAGACGCCATGTGAAACTAATCATTAGATTTGTTTATTTTTTCAGCGATGTCACGGTGACCTCGTGACATGATATTTCTAAAAGGGACTATTCATAGAGTGAGGCACCCCCCTGCTGTGTTATATATTGCGAAGATCAGACAGATCAGTGCAGCAAAATGCTCAGTGACCAATCTTGGCAATCGCGGGTCACTTAAAGAAATTTCACTTTGGGGGAGTCGCTAGTCTCTTCACAGGGCAACCATTGTTTCGTCCGCCAACATACATTATACATGTATCCACCAGGGCACCATATTATATTAGTAGTGTTTTGAAAGTGGAGAAAGACCGGAGAATTTGCGATGTGTTGCCATCATACACGTTGCACTGGCCATCGCATACCACTCACTGTAGGTTGCACAGCATCTGCATGGTCCACCAACCCTGCCTCCAAAGCAACGTATTACAGCCTGACTTAGACATCCCGCACCTCCGATTAGCATGGTACATACGGTAAGAAAGGAATTAATTTCCGAGCAGCGTGCTCACTTGTAAGACTCGCGTTTCCAAACTGTTGCTCTTTGACATGACGTTTGACCTTCGTTACGATTTTCCTTTGCCACCTGACCGTGTTGCTGGTGGGTTGCTGCTGCCTTTGCGCTTTACCACCGCCATAGCTGTGAAGATTAAGAAGACGCTGAAGGCCGTGTCGGTGCTGGAGACGCGTGCAGCCATCTTCACGCTGGAGCTGTCGCACGAGGACGTGGCGGGCGGCGTGTGGATCCGCAACGGCGTGGAGCTCGTGCCGGGGGACAAGCACGAGATGTGGGCGGAGGGCACCGTGCACACGATGCGCATCAACAACTGCTGTCCCGGCGACGAGTCCGTGTACAACTTCAAGCTGGGCAAGCTGTCGGCCAATGCACGGCTGCACGTGGATGGTAGGAGTCTGCACCTTTGTGCTGTGGGAAGTTTATTTTTTTAACCCAAATGAGATATCTGGTTAGCGTTTATGTAACATAATCCCATGTTTAGTATTTTCAAATACGTGCAGTATATTTACATGGCCAACTTATTCGAACTCTTCGAACTAATATATATTCCATTTTACCAATGAAAAAATCAAGTGGAAAAATCCTTACTGTAGGCTTTGTAGCGTGATCTACGATTATTGCATTCGTCTCTTTAACCAAAGCTGCTGCTATCATCATTTCTCCATTTCATATTTTCAAAAAAAATTGTGAAGTGTAATCAGCAACTGCATGCAAAGGAATTGCAATCTGATTACACATTGAGCACATGGAGTGATAACGTGACAAACAGTACCTTTAGAAACGTGGTTATAAAAATGCATTGTATAGATTTACTCCCCAAAACATATTGGGGGGCACTTACACACTCGTGAAAATTATGCAATGGTCAAACTTAAGAAAAAAGGGTCGTTTTCTTTTACTTAAGACCCAAACTGGAGGATTGTTCCACAATTCTGACTGTCGCCTAATGAGGCTAGTTGTAATCACTAGCGAAAGTCATACTCGAATAGTAAATGTTGTGAGTTTACTTTCCAACACACTGGTGTGCTGAACTACTAATTGGCATGTTTTACACTATGGGGACCTCATTTGCCAGTAAAAATATGATAATTGGTTCTTTACCCTTCTATCTGGCAACAAAACTGACACCTTTTTGCAAGGAGTCATGTTTGCATAGACCGCAATACCTGCAGTCATAAATACAAACAAAAGACATAACTTTGATAATGTGCACTGTCCTTGAAGTTGATTGGTCCACACCCGAGACAGCTTTCCTTCGAGCCTAGTCTCATATGGGTTGGACCAGATGACGCCAAAAGGCGCACAACTCAAGGACAATGCACCAAGCCTAGTCTCATATGGGTTGGACCAGATGACGCCAAAAGGCGCACAACTCAAGGACAATGCACCATCATAGTATGAGAGCTATAGTGTAGATGCTTGCCCCGAGCTCTCATACTCTGATGGTGCATTGTCCTTGAGTTGTGCGCCTTTTGGCGTCATCTGGTCCAACCCATATGAGACTAGGCTCGAAGGAAAGCTGTCTCGGGTGTGGACCAATCAACTTCAAGGACAGTGCACATTATCAGAGTTATGTCTTTTGTTTGTATTTATGACTGCAGGTATTGCGGTCTATGCAAACATGACTCCTTGCAAAAAGGTGTCAGTTTTGTTGCCAGATAGAAGGGTAAAGAACCAATTATCATATTTTTACTGGCAAATGAGGTCCCCATAGTGTAGATGCTTGCCCCGAGCTCTCATACTCTGATGGTGCATTGTCCTTGAGTTGTGCGCCTTTTGGCGTCATCTGGTCCAACCCATATGAGACTAGGCTCGAAGGAAAGCTGTCTCGGGTGTGGACCAATCAACTTCAAGGACAGTGCACATTATCAGAGTTATGTCTTTTGTTTGTATTTATGACTGCTGGTATTGCGGTCTATGCAAACATGACTCCTTGCAAAAAGGTGTCAGTTTTGTTGCCAGATAGAAGGGTAAAGAACCAATTATCATATTTTTACTGGCAAATGAGGTCCCCATAGTGTAGATGCTTGCCCCGAGCTCTCATACTCTGATGGTGCATTGTCCTTGAGTTGTGCGCCTTTTGGCGTCATCTGGTCCAACCCATATGAGACTAGGCTCGAAGGAAAGCTGTCTCGGGTGTGGACCAATCAACTTCAAGGACAGTGCACATTATCAGAGTTATGTCTTTTGTTTGTATTTATGACTGCAGGTATTGCGGTCTATGCAAACATGACTCCTTGCAAAAAGGTGTCAGTTTTGTTGCCAGATAGAAGGGTAAAGAACCAATTATGGCATGTTTTGTTTACGTGCCAAACCTTACAAATTAGTTGTATTTGGTGGTGGCGGGTTTAACGACACATTTATATTTACACGATCTAACACAAAAAAACGATTATCGTTTTGCTTTGTTTGATAATAATAATGCCTTTGATGTATTCAAAAAAGAAAAGTCTTCTGGCATAACTGCATCCATCCCCGCCGTTTCTAACAGCTGTGAAAGTGGTACGCAAGATGAAGGACGTCTGTGTGACGGAGGGCGAAGTCGGAGTCCTGGATTTGGGCCTCTCCCACGAGGGCATCGTCGTCAAGTGGCTGCACAAGGGAGAGGCCGTCAAGTCCGGCCGAAAGTACCGGCTCAGTGCCGAGGGCAAGACCTACCGCTTGGAGGTGCTGGCTGCGAGCGACGAGGACACAGGGACCTACACGGCCGTCATTGGGCAAACGGCAGTCTCAGCTGAGCTCTCTCTCTGTTGAAGGTGAGGTGCATCCTCATTCTGTTGGTAATAACGAGTCTTTTATTTGCCCCCTAAACTTAGGAGTTTTACGAATTTTTCATGGTTCCTGCTTTGGAAGGTTGATTCATTTTTGAGTCATTTTGCATCAAGGAAGTAAGACTGAATACCCAGCAAACACCCATGTCCACGAGAGGATAACACTGATACTCATGGGCGTATATATCTTGACATTGTTAATTGCATTTTTTGGGGGGGTGTTATTTGACTTTGAATTTGAGGTTCAATTTGAAAATTGGCAATCTTTAGCAGAAAGACCCTTGTCCAAAATGTAAGCCTCCTATATGTGTTTTCTGTTATCAGGCAGGGTTGACGATGAACACGGTATTCAGTATTCCTGTCGCGCCTCTCAACTTCCTGTAAATTGGTAATATTTGTATTTATGCCAGGGGGGTGATCGGCTAATTATGCCTTTGACAGACATTTAATATTTAAACCCCAGTTTGGGAGCCAATATAGCCCGTCATTCAGTCACAATCGGTTTTGGTGTATTATAGCAAGTCCTCATTTAAGGCAGTAGATGCATTCCTGAAAAGTGCCGCGTCAGGCGCAAAACGCTTTCAGCAAAAACTGTTTCCCCATAAAGAATGTAACGATGAAGTTTGGCGAGATACAATGAATGCACATACAGTGAGATGGTGGGACAAATAGCTGAGGATAGGCCCCAGTGGGACTGTATCACTCCACGTGCCGTATCACTGCACCGCTAAGAAAGTAGTTCGTCATCGACCACTCAGAAACCGCAATATAACAGGGTGCGCATTCCGCGTTGTGTGAAAAACATGTTGCGTGAACACCACATGTGAGCGAGGACTACCATATATTCTTGGTTCTTTCGGTAAAGTCACGTAGAAGGGAAATAATAAAGTAATAAAAATAAAACTATAAAATTCTCACGACGTTTCAATTGCAACACAAGCAATCATCATCAGGTGTGAAAACCACAGCAAGAATTTGTATTTATTTTTATTTTTAAATTGCTGTGTTTTTCACACCTGATGATGATTGCTTGTGTTGCAATCGAAACGTCGTGATAATTTTATTGTTTTATTTGTATTATTTTATTATTTCCCTTCTACGTGACTTTACCGTAAGAACCAATAATATGAATCCCTGCAGTCGCAAAAGCTTTAAATCGAGACTTACTATATGTTTTATTAATTCATTTATATAATGCATTTGGTGAAACCTCTTTAATCTGGCCTTCAATAATTCAGGTGGATCATTATGTGTGACCTTAAAAATGCGTGTAAATAAAATATCAAACCTGCGCTTACTATTGCAATGTCGATAAAAGTGTCATTGCTATTATGTCCTTGTTTCTGGCAGGTTGACTGAAGAACAAATCACGTGGTCACGAAGTGTGAAGTTGGAAAGCGCGATGTCAACGTTGGTGGTGGAATAAAATGAATCTGGATGTTGTTTTTGAATAGTGCAGAAAACATGAAATGAACATTACGTTGGCTATAAAGGATAACCCCCGAATGAAATGTGTTGACCAAGAAGGCAGTGTTATTGATGTCGAATGATTGACTTTAATGTGGCAGTTGGGTACTTTGAAACCTTGCTTTGGATCACAGCACGGATGTCCACTATTTTAAGATTGTAGCTAGAGTTGTAACGTGGCAAGGAGAATCGCGGATTGCGTTCAACACTACTAAAAACTAGAGGCAGATACGTATTGTATAAGCATGTGAGCTTCCCGAGCGCCTGGAAATGTAGCGGACATTTTCACCACATATGGCCCATCGGCTGTTTTACTCGGACAAGATCCACATGGCTTGATGTTTGTTTCACCCACTGATGCACAAGAATGTCCTTGTTAGCATAAACAAATGAATGATTAAAATATGAAAATGTGGTTGCATTTCTACGTGGAAGAGTGAGTGAAGAGACCGTTCTTCCATTCCCTCATAGCTGAAGATGATGTAATAAGCTGGCCGTGAATTCCCAACACCTTAACGTACTGATGGACAAGTAATTACAAAGGACTTTGAATTCCTAGGAGGCCCTCAATGTATTTTACTGCATGAATACAAGCAAACAATTAAACCGATCTTGTTATAGTATTTACATGATTACAAATTCAAGACTGTTATGAGGTTGGTTTTTGGTAAATGATTCAGCTAAAAGGTATACTTTGCAAACAGTAAATACTGTGTGCATTAGTAATGTCCTAAGATTACTTTTATTTGCAAATGAAAGCCTATTTTATGATAATTTAAAGAATAACACCTAACTCACTACTTGATTTAAAAAACACAAGGATTAGTCGGTGCTCGTCTGCATTGGTGGTCAGTCGCGGAAATTCCACATTCCTGTGGTGAAAAGAAGTCTCTCCACAAGATGAACACTGTTGAAATCCCAACACCATAGAGGGGTGATGGGCTAAGTCAACCCCAAATCTGAGTAAAACTCACATACCTCGAATAGAATCGAGCACTTTTCCACAGCACTACCGGGCAAGATGGCCTCCACAAAGCATATGCAAAGTAGAAATATTCACAGCACCTTATCTATCTGCTCCTGGAAGGCCTTCCCCATTCTGTGTCAGTCAGTGGGGTTATTTGACCCTTTCTTAACCTCGCTGGCCACGCAGATTTGGTGGAGAGAGAGCCTAAGACTGGTTCAGATATGTTGCATTCATATGTGCAGGAGATTAAGCGAGCCACTGGGCTTGCAATGCTGGGAGTGGCCACCTAATGAGTAAATAAAAATGGCAATTATGTGCAACCTTTATATTATCAATGACTGCCAGGAAAATATAGCCCTGATACAGCTTTGAGTGTACTTACAGGTACTGGTATACAGGAGGGCCCTTACAACAAAACTTAACTGTGTTGATCCCAACCAATGAGATTAACAATCAAGTAAAACTATTTTCATCAACTTGTTTTTTTGTGAAGCGCTAACTAGTCATCTTGAAGTCCATTTTCAACTATATATGTGCAGAAGATGGTCATATGATTGACCTAAATGAGGTAAAGTATTCAATACCATTGTATTACTTAACGAAACACATGGTAACCCATAAAAAAGATTTAACAAATGTAAAGAAATTTAATCAACTTCATGGTTATCCCATCTCTTTTGGATTAGAGCATCATTCATGGAATGGCATGTACACTGTAACAAGCACAGATGAATAACTGATTTTAATCTCATGATATTCTCAGAACATTTCACAGTATTTCGAAAGGCAGACTCTTCCAAAGTTCTGGAGCTCTCGTGTCGTTTTGAAAGACGTACTCCCATTTTAATACCAAAACAAGTCTTAGTGGCCAAACCGTTTATTAATCTTGCAGTGTTTTCTTACCGCACTAATGCTCAAGGGAGGATGTAGTTGTAAGTTCAAATTAAATTCACCTCGACATTAAAGCCTGCAAGACCATCCCTTTCTTACCACTCAGAATAGTATTGCACCTAACGTCCTCGTGTTACACCAATTTTCACCATGCCTGACTTGATGAACATAGAGTGGCCCACATGCTTATTTAATTCCCCAGGTGTGTAGTGAGAAAAAATGTAAACGTCCTTTGGATTGTCAAAGATAATTTAATGGGTCTTGTCTTCATCTCTTGGATGCGCCGACTCAGCTGGCCTCCTTAGCCCCACTCAGTCATGAGCTCTGGTTGATATTCGTTACAGGTTAAGAGGTGATTGCTCAAAGAGCTGCGTGTACGATACATTTAGTTTAGCCTTTAAAAAAAGAAAGAAAAAACATGTCATGGAATGTGGTAGGAAAAGGTGCAGCGCAGAGTTGTTGGTCTACTCCACACTGGCCAGACGTCTTGTAAGATGTGTGAGTACCCACACTTTACTCCGCCACATGCGACCTTTTAAATTAGGGACCGTCCATAAATGACGTCACGCACCTAGGGGGAAGGGGGGGGGGTCAGACATTTGTGACGATGTGTGACGATGAGGGAGGGGGGGTTTGAGAAATGTGACGTCACATCAAAATGCACAACTTCAAACAAATATAGACATGTTCTACTTAATTAAATAGACGTTTTAATAAATGTTTTCTCCTACAACATCAGAGTGCAGCGCCACATTAAATACGCACAACAATGACAATAGTTTAAAGCGATTTGAAGCATGTTTTTTTTTGGGGGGGGGGGGGCAGAGCTTTGTGACGTCATATTTGAGGGGGGATTTGACTTTTTGTGACGAGGGGGGGGGGGGGTCAAAATCGTCCAAAATCGCGTGACGTCATTTATTGACGGCCCCTTAAATTAGTGGCGTACCCATTTATACTGCTGTTTGGTGGATAGAAATGGTGGAGGTGGGGGGGGGGGTTAAGAAACTTGCACCTGTGTTTCAAGTGACGCGTCGGGGGAGCAAACTGGCAACATCTGGATTCCAAGTCCAGCAATCGAACCATCATCACGTCACGACAGCATTCCAATGGAATGTGGTACTCTGCTGGTCTTTTGTGGTGAGGGAATAATTGTCATAATTCCACAGAAAACCGATGTGGCTTTTAGCAGTGACTACCTCCTCCTACACTTAACGAAATGTATGCTTTGGAATTTAAAATACGATTATTTTGCAATATATGCGAGTGATTTTATTGTAAATGAGAATACACACATTTACCCTTTTATCTAATAAAAACAGATGTTTGTGTTAAGGCGTGCCAAAATGGCATCATTTGTGCGTCTTCTTGATTTCGGGAAGGTGATATGCCCACGCCATTTATAGGGCAAGATCTTAATAGCAACGCAACTTCAAAATAACTCCTTATTTACATACGATCATCTTTCGATAGTTCTCGTGACCCCAGCCTCAGACAGAGAGACAGAGCTAATGCAATAATTCAAACTTAGTTGGGAAACATAAACAAATGTGAAGCTAAACTGTTGAGCAACGTGGGTTAGTGCTGGAAAGTCACCAAACGAACATATAAAAGTCACTAGATATACCTACGCTATTAAACAAAAGTAAGCTCAGACTAGATCCTAAATAATTCCTTCTAATTGCTCTTAAATCTACGCTAAGTTCTCGTCCTGTAAAGTCGCTGGATTTTTCACGAGTCGCTTTGATAAAAAAAAATTTGCGAGGAAAACTCAAAATGAGCAAGTTGCCAACTCAAAATCACTAAGTTGGCTCTGCCAACGCGGGCCTCTGTGCTGCTGTGACCACGTAACCACCGATGGCCACTGTGGGGGGCAAGGAGAGGAGCACAAGGGACAGGAGTGGTGCTGGAAATCCCCCAGAAGACAGAGCCTCAAGCAGAGGTCGCAACCGGGTACCCGATACCCATACCCTACCCGAAACCCGGCTACCCGTACCCGGCCGGGTACTTGTACCCGTTTGCGACCCTAGTGCGACGGGTACGGGTAGGCCGTGAGTCACTGGTGAGTAACCGTTTGTCACTCATTTCCCAACGTCTTGTCTCTTCTCACAATTCAAGTTCCTAGAATCAACCCACCAACGCCTGCAACATGGCCTCATCCCAGAGGCCGCAATCAGTTACCCGATACCCGTACGGGTACGGCCGGGTACGGGTACGGCCGGGTATGGGTACCCGTTTGCGACCCTGGTGCAGCCGGGTACGGGTACGGGTAAGGCATCAAAACCCGTTTGCGACCTCTGGCCTCAAGTTCCAATCAGCTGAGAAGACGTGTGAAGGTGTTTTTTGTTTATGCATTTAGCATGAACACATGTTCATTATACATTTACCACATACATTCAAACAACTGGATGATCTGTCAAAACAAGTGCTAGCTGAGCATCGACATTTTCATGGACTACATGATCAGTGAGTGTGAGATGGCAGAATATGGCAACATAAGTTGTAAAAGGTCGGTGTTTGAGCCATAAGTGATGTCTGTGATATGCAGGTTAGACAGCTGGACATTTAACAAAGCGACTTGGAAAGAATGCCAACTTGTCCCCGGAATACCAATGTATGTAGAAGACGCCAGAAAAACATTTTTGCAAGTGTCGCAGATGTCAGCAGCACGTGGAATTTGAAATAGGCGAGGCACGGGTTCAGAACAGAATCGGGCATGTTACATCAGCAGGCATTGGTGTGGCAACCACAGGTTGACCACCAGACCCAGCCAAATGGTGGTATTTCGTAAGAGTTTACTTTGGAAGTCAGATGTTGATTTTGCAACAACAGGATCTAGCAGAAGAGATGGTAATGTATGGTATCAAAGGCATGCGCTGATGACCTTTTGACCTTGTGGCCTGCAACGTTACTCTGCAACACTGTAGGTACTCCACTGAAATTATATTTACAAATTACATGAGCAACAGGGTGGCACAGGCCCTGTTTGTTGGTTCGCCCCCTATTTGCATGTTCTTCCCGTGGTCGCATGGATTTTTCTCCAGGGTCTCCGGTTTTTCCCTCCACATTTCGAAACATGCGTTTAGAGTATTGGGCTTGCTTTAAATGTCCACATGATAAGCCACTTCGTTGAGCTATCATTTGTGGCCGGGTCACTTCTGAAAAAGATATGTATAGCTCAGTGGGCCTTACCTGGTAAATTAAAAAAACAGTTTATAGATCCAGGGTCTAGTACGTATAGCAACATTGCCCCCTACTGCAAAAAAACTTGGCAGGACCCTTCTGCAAATCAGTATTGGGACTCATTGGGGCTTTCCTGGGTAAACAAGCATAATATAATATGAAGAAAAAAACGAAACTTTTCAGTTAACGAACACGACTTCCAATTTGAGGGACAACTTTTACAGTGTAATGTTATTGTGGAATTTATTGCAGAAAGTTAAAGTATGCATGGCAGACAATCAACATCGCTTAATCAACCCAATAATTGTTGAAGAACGAGTGGCATTGAAGACAATCGGACAGATCGAGTTTGGCACGATGCCACGCATGCCAGGGGTGTCCTATTGTTTCAGGTAAAATGTAAAATTCACATTTACGAAACCATGACAGGTTGGTCATAAACCACTGTAGGGCAAGTTTAACGTCATGCAACAAATACAAAATTAGTTTTTTTTTAAACGGAATGCTAGAAAGCATCTAAAGGGCATCTACATCGTTACACAAGTTGACAGAATTTACGCTGTAATAAACATCACCAAGATGCAGGCCTTTGTGCCATGGTTTGTTTGCAATTTGTGATAAAACATCATTACAGGGTTGTCATTTTAAACCTCCATCCATTTGTGACATCTCTGTTTAAAACTATTTACATATGACCAAACATGAATATTGCGCCAAGGAATTTAAATGTTTGCATTGAACATAAACTACCATTACAATGTTTATTTTCTCTTTAAAACACAAGTTCCATAATCAAATAAGAAAATATATAAACAGCATACCAGGCACACAAAATCAAATTTTTATAAATATCACACTGTAGTCATATTTATCGAACATCAGGATGCTATTAAGATTTAACTTAAAAAATGACATTAAGGGATGGCATTTATAATAAGTTACCAGTAATCCACCACGTAGTCATTTCAAAGCAAGGATCGCTCAAAAACTGATAATCAAAATACCAAGGCTAAAATAAGTACTCGAATGACATTCACCACTGTTAATAATCCTAAACCAGAGGGAAATTCAACATTCCTACAGCACAGTCCAGTTTCTTCACAGGAGAACCACTGCTGCCTTCCCACAAGGTAATACTTATTTTAGCAACCCTGGAAAGATGATCTTCAAGTCCCCACCTATGAGGATTTGAACTCACGGCCTTCGAAGAATAAGTTGAAATATTTATCACCCTGCCAAATATAACAAATTTGAAGTTAGTTCATTTTTCGTTGCCGAAACATCCACAGCTATGGCCTCAGCATAATGTACGTGCATATGCTGACAATTATATTTATTGGACAAATGACAAGTACAGAACCAATAAAAAAAAACATTACATCTGAATCGTGGGGGCCGGGGTGAAGGGATACACTCTTGACACTGAAGCATTGTAGTAAGGGCCTAACTACCTTTGCTCCTCGGACCTAGAGCAAATAAAAAAGGATAAACCCAGACATCGCTCTAACGTGTTACTTTGTTTCCTGTTGTGTTAGGTTACTATTATTCCCCTTCCTCCCCCTCTCCCCTCTTCCTCCCCTTCTCCGTTAATCTGCTGCGCCCCATCGTGGTAGGGCATTGAGCCCGAGTGCCTCCAGATGGCCCCCCATTTGAGGGTGTTATTTTTCCGGATTCGACCACATGCACGTCATTTGTATCTCCCGTGATGTCCGTGCTACATCTGTGAAAAATGGTGCGAAATTGTTCGCTTGGAGTGAACAAACTTATTTTTTTAGTTATACAGGTTACAGGGTTATGAAATAGCCCAGCAGTGTTTTTTTTAGGAAGCTAACGGCTGGCATCCTGCAGGCCACCCTGGTTAATACGGGGTGTATTGCTAAAAGTGCATGAACCAAGCATTTTAATGGCATCTGCATCACAGTGAACGTTTACAAATCCCGGAAGGTAATTTTAAGAGTAATCCATCGTGTGCTGGCGTCGTGGTGCAGATTTTCTCAATTTCAAAATATACCCACGAATTACTTAATTGTGATTACACACAGCAACATAGCTCCCTCCTAAACTACTGTCGACCAAGTATGTGAAACACAGTATCTTTGTGTTAGCATCGTGCTATAATGGCACAAATGCCAAATGTAATTAATTATATGGTGCCTTAATTGGTTGGCTATGACGTAAAAATGGTTGATTGAAAACAAAAAAAGCTTATTCACGCAAATGCTCTATTCAAATACAGACATATCTCTTGGAGCACTGCCTCTCATAGCGATATTTGTTTTGGAGGAATATTCCTGCGCGAATCATCCCATATATTGAAGTCGGCATGGCGTAACCAATAGGTGTGTCTTTGCCTACATATGGTCTTGTGGAACCTTAATCGAGGTTATTGTATTCATCCTGCTCAGTCGATCTGAAAGCGACGTTAGTATCGAATCATCGAGGGCTAATCACTGCGTCGATTAATTGGCAATCCATGGATCGAGTAATCGACATTAGGAAGTACTGTTTCGCTTCCCGCGGAACGTGTTACGCAAGCTCCGATTGCACTGGTGAGTAAATCATATTGGATTTGTTTATATCATTATAAATTAAGTGATTATTGTTATTTATAAAATGCTTTCATACATTTATCATGTGTACAGTATCATTATTAAGGCTATTATTGATACCCCAAGGAAGCCCTCATATCGCTCAAATGTAAAAAAAAATCACGGTCGGTAACGCATCTCCATTGGAACCATGTTATAGTAACCTCCTACAGCGCTGTGTCATATAGCGCTCCATTTACCAAGAACACATCCTGAGCACTATTAAAAGTTGTGCCTGTATACACACATTTGAAATGTATCATTTTATTAATCTTCTGTCAGGGTTTTTATTTTTTCAACTTAAAACTCACAAAAATTGTATCTGTAACTTGAGCCATTTGGACAAATTTTTTAATTATTTTTTTCTATGTTGCAGGGGTAGCAACAGTCACGTGAAAAAAAATATCCGTACAATGGAAATGAAAGCCTGAAAATCATTTTCAAAACGCTTCACATATAATCTGGGTTGGGTTGGTTTCACAAACACACGAGTTGTGAATTGAGATTTGTTAAAAAAAAAAGTTGTGTGTATGAGGCACACCTGTGGCACAGAGAACCGTAAAAAAGCACAGCGGTGCTTTAGAACGTCTCTACTTTATCTGAAATATCCTCCTTATCAGTCTTTTACAACCACCACTAAAGATAAACTCAGCAAGGATTATGACCCAACATCCAAAGCAGGACTTTCTACGACACTTTAAGACGCCTTCAAGATGATGTCATTTGGATGAAAACAAATCTCTCAAATGGGATATGGGTGGAACAGCAAAATATTGATGGACGATACTTACTGCTAAGCACTTTAGAAATGGCAGTGTAACTTTTTTAAAAGTGGCACAAACTTAAAACCGTATCCAGTATTCCCCCCCCCCCCACCCATCTTTATATGCAAAATCATCAACTTATTTGAGCAATTCTTATATTCATTATAAAATGTATATAATTCACATCCTGTATGTGCAAGTGCTATGAAATATAAAAAGTGCAACATTTCAATAGCAAACCCGATATTATGCATAAACTACACTGTACAAACAATATATAAATGCACAGTGCGCGTGAGTTACAAGATCCGTTTATAAACTGGGGCCAGTTCAAACACAATATACAACACTGCATGGCAAGGTAGGGGTTGTAGTGATATTATGCCATGAGCTATTCTGATACAAGTCACGATGGTCCAACTGATTTTTCCCGTTATCACAGGTAACAGTAGTTATGTAGTGCTATATATTGCATCACACCTACGACCAAATCACCCGGAATGTGCCCGATCCCACGATACCTCGGAAGTCAAGCAGGATTGAGCTTGGATAGTGCTTGGATGGGCCAACACCATGCAATACAGGTGTTACAGACTGTGGGTGCTACATGGACAGCAAAGGCTATTACAGCAAAACATTGTTGTTTTTGTATGTTCCACACATTCACCAACCAGCACTCCCCAGAACGAAGTGTAGTCAAATAACCCGTCGTGACCCACGCGGGTGTCCGAAGGCCCTCATCCAGATGTGGATTGACAAGAGATGTACATGCACACAGGTACATGTGTAATACAATGTGCTTCAAAGAGACCAGTACACTTGGTGTGGAAATGTGTAATCACGTTAGCAATGTAACAGCAACAAATACATGTTGTGGATGCACTCTTAAAGCCTTCATTTACCTTACCCAGCGACTCTAGACGTTGCATATACCAGAACATAAACTCTGTAACAAACACATTTTAGGGCTGCAACAGATAAAGGACTAGTTATTGACCATGAAAAACCAGACTGCCATAAATAGAATAAGTATTTATTTATATATGTATAATTGTACACGTATGCTTGTATAATATACGCATCTAGAGAACACATTATACATGGATATATGTATAAACTAAATGCATAAGAAAAGCCTCCATACATGGCTCGAGAACAGGTGATTGGCAAACACTGTTTTCAGATTTCTAGTTTCAGGTAATGCATGTAGAAATTTTAATTGAATGACTGGTGGTTTTACCCGATCCTACTTAACCAAACTATGATTAAGTCCAGATAGATTTACAGGAGAATCAGTCTGGTCACCACCTGGCATGGGAGAATTAAATATTACAGATTACATTTTATTTTGCTGTTTCACCTGATACTGTAAAATCTGAGAAAAAATGTGTGGAACCTCCAACCAAAGCCATGAGCCATAAGTGCTTTACAAGTACATAGGCTTATTTTATGAATTCAGCTCATAGATAGGCTTATGTTTGTTGGATTTACTTTCACCTAAATAATTTTGGCTATCCAGCTAGGTGGTGCTGTGGTTAGAGCGCTCACCTTACAATTGAAAGACTGCAAATTCAAATTCCAGCCAGAGGTTGACTCAGTTGATCATCCCTCTGGGGTCAATAAAATGAGTCCCCTTTGTGGGAAGTCAACAGAATTCTTGCAATGGGAGAATGGTCCCCCGACCATTGGAATGTGTCATTTCTACTCGTGGTTCAGAGCAATGCCCCATTGTTGGTAAAGCAGTGAAATGCTTGAAATGTTTTAGTTCTTGATGTCAAAAACAGCCGTTGATTGGTTGCAGCACTAAAATATGTATACAACCTATGAACCCTGAATAAAATGAGTTGACAGGACTCTAATATGTAATACACAACACACATGAACACCAGACGAAAAATGTGTGCCTAGATGAAAGTTCACATTTAAATTATGCTTTGTTTTGGTTTTGTTTTTACTAAAATACACTTATCCCTCTTAACACGGTTTATTTGGCTGAAGAACAATTATGAATTCACTGGGGAAAAACACAATAACTTACAATCTTCCTTTCACACACATACATCCTGTATGATATCACAAAGCTTCAATGGCAACTGCAAGTTCCAAAGCAGACCTGCCACTCTGACACAAGCATGGTAGAATATAAACACTCAGTGATGGTCCCATTAAAGCATTTACTTCTTCTATAGCTACACACCAATTGGAGAGTCGGGTTGTGGAAGTGCTTGCTCTGAAATCACATGAGACCCATTTAAGTCTCCGTTGGCATCCTTAAAATCGTGTGGAGATAGAGAGTCTTCAGATTCTTCTTCTGCACGCTCTGCCGAGCACTGGACACTGTCCATTTCTGATGGAGCGGTAGCCGAAATTGAATTCTGACCTAAAATGAAAGATACATGATAAGCGAATTTTTATTTCTTGTTATTACATTTGACTTTTTACAGAAAAACCTTGTTAAGATTGTCACAAAATAGATTTATTTTAAAAGCAGTTTTTGTTGTTACATTAGTGAAATAAAACATTATGCAAAACACTCACTTAAAATGCAAACAGATTTTTTTGTTCTACAGGATATGTCGACATAAGCCGGAGCCATTTGAAAATATTGTACATTTGTAAATGATTTAGCAGTTTGTGTAAAAAACAATAATGTTGCTGTTCATATATGTTGATGTAAAGAAGCAAATCTTTCCGAATCCACACACCTTGGCGATTGTATTACAATTCATCCAGAATCTAACATCCCACATCGTTCAACATCTAAGCAGGAATGTGACATTCCTGTTTCTTAATTAAGTTTCAGCCACCATGTTTAACATCCACTACGGTTAATTAATTATCAAGCTCTTCGGTATTTTATCCATGTCCCCACTTGTCACACTCATCTACTAAAAGCATGAGAACATGATGCATGGGCATCATATCCAACATACACTACATTTCAATATATAAATGCTACGTAACAATTTTTAACCATCTCAGTTGATGCAGATGGTTAAAAAAGCTTGCACATCACAATGCCTTCATGAATGTATTCTCTCATCCACTGGCAGAATATATTCTGCAATCTAATGTCTAAATAATTTCTAGATCTGTTCAATCCTCTATCCACAAAATCAAAGGGTGTAATTATCTATGACCATCAAAGTGAATCTATCCATCTTGTTGAACGTGTCTTAAAAATCATATTCTAAGGTACAAATTCTCTACCATGTGTACCTTACCCACTTGACAAACGGTTCACAATACTCAATATCCTTGGGTCTAGTTGAAACAAGGTTCAATAACACCATATTTGTATCCTCCAATTTACCTGAGTGGCCTGCACGGACCTGATTAATATCCAAACGTTTACAGCCTGACCAATTTGTTTGTTGCCCAAACAGCAGATGTACATAAATTTACCGCCCTCCAAATATTCTACATTCAGCAACTGGCGAGTAAAGTCAGAGTTAAATAAATATGAGTATCTCTATTGATGCAAAGCTAAGAGCATTGTATATGCAATAATATATGCAATGTGGTGGTCACATAACATGCATGCAAGGCATGATGGGAGTTGTACTTTACTGCTGTTTGTGAGCACTCCTCTGTGTGTTGTTTAATGTTTCCTGTCTGCACACATTTTCCTGTTTTAATGGATTTTTCATCATTTACGGAAAGTGTTGGATTTGAATAATTGTTGAATTTTAAGCAAGTGTTCACGGGAGTCACTAAAGTGTAGGTGTAAATCCTCTCCATATGTCGGGGCTACCAGAAGCAGTGAACAGTGATGGCTGTACTCTTCTGATGAGTCCTAATTGATGTGGTGGTTACATGACATGGATGCAAAAGAATGAAAGGAGCCATCCCTTCCCGTTATTTGTGAGCGTAACATTGTATTTTGTTAAACCTATTATCAGTCAGCCATTCGTATGGATTCCACATTCCTATGGCAAGTCCCAGTTTATTAACACGAAAATCGCTGCTAACGTATCCTGAATCTTGAAGGGACAAACTGCTCAATCAAACCCCCACCGGGATTACGGCAACGCTGACAACCTTCCGGATGCAAGTCGCACACTCGAACCACATCATCATCTGTCAATCCAATAAATGCAACATGTTCGCGTCACCATTTACCCTCTGGCGCAGTGGTGGCCGCGCGGAGGTGCTGCTCAGCATCTGACTGTGACGGGGATCGCTGCCTCTGGAGCCGCCTCAGGGATCGAATCGATGCCATCTCTTCCAAATCCCTCACAACTGTCGTGCCTCCATGCTGCTGATGTTGCTGCTTGCTGTCCATCCTCCATGTTTGAGTCGCGTGCCTTAAACAAGAATGCAAGCCAAGCAGTAAAAAATGCTAATTTAGGGAGATACTCCTGCCATATGAATACTGAGTTTCATCACTGAAACAAGGCCACCAGCTGACATGATCACCAATGCTGGAATTTACAGAGATGCTTATAATTTCTTAAATTTTTTGGCAAATACAGGTTAAGTTTTCCTGTCCTGAGAGCAATGCATTATGACCAAAGTTCACTGTAAAGTGCCTATGTTAAATAATGCATGACTTCAAAGCACCAGAGTTAAAAGGAAATATAAAAATCAATTACTGCCGCAGCAAATTGTTTCAAATTGCATTTACATTTTTCGCAAATAGGCATTGATACTTTTATTAATGCCTAGGATTGCTGGATGGATAAATGTCAGAATGGGAATCACATAGCTGTTTGTCATTGACAATCATTGACATGAGTGGTCAAATGTTGAGATATTGAACATTGTAGGAAAAGCTGCAAGCTACGCTTCAGACCCACAGTGAGGAAGCACATTCAACGTCTCAACTCAAGCACAAGCCATCTCAAGTAAGACAATTTATTAATAACTAGCTTTACTACCCGGCTTCGCCCGGGACTTGGATTCACGACGCCCGGCCGCCTTTGTCTCCCCAGTGGCGATGTTCACACCACACGAGTTACTCGTTTGAGGTCGAGTCGACCTAGGGGAGGCCCAGGACCAATTCAAATAATCATCATTGGTGGTGGCCATGAGTGGGAATCGAACTCTGGTCGCCGGGTTCGTAGCGCAGCGCGCTAACCGCTACACTACCGCCACACAAACGCACACGCGTCCATAGGTACACATACACGCGATTGCAGCAGACACACACAACTTTCAGAATGCGTACGGCAGTAAACGACTGAAATAATAAAGCAACGCTGTGCGAAGAACACCTTAGACCTGCAACACATTTGTATTTCACTTTACCTGCGATCAGCAGGCACACTCCGTTACGCTTTTGAAAAGACACACAATCACAAATTTCCTTTCATATATATATATATAGATGTAAAGACATTGCTTGTTATTATCAAAGCATGCCCGAGTACACATCCAATATAACAAAACAATAACGCTATGTGTAGCTTTCTCAGATTAATAAATGAATAACAATCATTTATATAACAACCAAAATCAAACAACATCGACTAACCTTTCAAGGGACCCAAAGTTTGGCTGGCTCGTACGTTTGATCTGGGGAAGACAATTTTAAACATATTAATGCATCATTTAATAACGTTAGCATGGTTATACTAACGACAATCCTTTAATCTCTGTATAATAGTTTTAGAATCTACTGTGCCACGTAAAAAGTAAGCGATTCATTAATTTGAGATCAATTATAATAAAATAAAATAAAAATGTATACATGTAAAAATGAATAATGCACGCAATGTTACATTTGAAAATAAACATAAGTTAAATGGAAACGCAAGTGTATACGGTATTTCACAAGGTTTGAGAGGACTGCATGAGTTAACAAAACACTGCATTCATTTAGAGAAAATTTTTCTAACAGCAATTTTAGACACTAACATTATTGTGTGGTTACAGTCTACAAGGCCTGCTTTTAAGCAGACATGAAATACCATAACTGGTCCAATTAATTTTAAATACGGGTTTGCATGCACTGCCTGTAAGTTATTTCATAACATTCAAATGAATGATGTTTTCAGTTGTGAAGATATACACCACACACACAGACGCATATTTTTTGGGAAATATGATCCAGTGGTCCCAAGACAAGTAACATTAGGCGGTCATTTTCCCGACAATTTTGGGCCATTTCAACTTGTCAACATCACACACATCTGTGGAGCAACAGATGCCCAGCTTTGTTTAATTATTCAATGACAGGCTGTTGAGCAGAGTTGGAATTTAGCAACAAGCACTATTAAGCAGAGGTGTGGACTCGAGTCATGTGACTTGGACTCGAGTCAGACTCGAGTCATGAATTTGATGACTTCAGACTCGACTTGGACTTGCATAACAATGACTTTGTCCCACCTCTGAGGTGTGGACTCGAGTCATGTGACTTGGACTCGAGTCAGACTCGAGTCATGAATTTGATGACTTGAGACTCGACTTGGACTTGCATAACAATGACTTTGTCCCACCTCTGAGGTGTGGACTCGAGTCATGTGACTTGGACTCGAGTCAGACTCGAGTCATGAATTTGATGACTTCAGACTCGACTTGGACTTGCATAACAATGACTTTGTCCCACCTCTGCTATTAAGCAATGTGTGTTAAACTATATTTGTATTGCATCAATAGAATACTAAAAAATGCCACAATGGCTCCAGTCCAAGACAAGGAATATTTAAACATTACTGCCCATAGGGTTGAGGCCAACTGGAAAGTGGACTTCCAAGGGTGACTTTGAGAGGCCTTCTGTAATCTGTCAATGTCATCATGGTTCATTTGTTTACTGAAAGGTTATGTGTATGATTATTAAGGCAGTCGGTAAGTTAAAGCTTACACAGCAATTACGATGTTGCACTAAGGTAAAATGCTTTTTTTTATAGTCTGTACCTGCCCATTTTTTTTTTAATCACAAAAAGCAAGACCCTCAGGACACAGTTGTCCAAGGAACTTTTAAATAAATAATTAAACGAGAGCCCTTGCCCTCATTCCAAATTTCTGAAAAACATACAGGCCTTTGTCAATTCACTGCTGGCACACAATACTTCCTCATGCTGTGTAGGACATGAGCGTTGTTTGACCATACGTCATCACAGAGGTCATTGTGGGTTAGTGATGAGGCCAACTTGTGTTCCAACTGAAGAGTTCTTTTAATGTACGACACTATTTTTTTTAAGGTGAGTTGAAGGAAGAACAAATACCAACGCCCAACGAATGTACAAAACAACCGATCTGCTCCCAAAAATATTTCATCAATCTGCCATAGCATCAGTGTGATCGGGTAGTTATGACTGCTTTGAAACATTGTAATCATAAAACAGTAACCAATATCTTGACTTAAAGCTTTCGTGACTGCAGGAATACATATTCTATGGGTCTTTCAGTAAAGCCACGTAGATAGAAAAATAATAAAAATATCACGACGTTTCGATCGCAACACAAGCAATCGTCTTCAATTGCTGTTTGCTTTTAAATGTTTGTAACCTTAAAACTGGGAGCAATAAATAAGCAACATCAACAAATGGCTTCTATTTCAGGTTTAAAACATGAAAATGTAATGACTGTTAGACAAGCGGTGGCAGGGTGAGCTGATTACTCTAACCGTAGTGTCACCCAGTCAGATATAATATGGAAATGCAGCACTACATTTGTTTCTTTAAAAATGCATTGATCTATTTATTTGTACATAAATCCAGGTGGTGTTTCATGCTGACCCTTAGAAATTAGGCTCCTTGTCCTGGCGGACGGACCTACCCGATTGATATGGAAGGGAGCGGAGGCAGGAGAGACAGGGGATACAGGCGAAGGTGGTGGAGAGAAGTGGAAGAGCTCTGGCTTGAAGCTGGAATTGGCGATGATCATGCACTCCTCCAGGGTCTTTAGAAACGTGCCGCATGTGGCATCCAGCAGTGATGATGCTTCATTCATTTTCTGAAAACACAGGCAATGTATGAGTGCTGCGGAGTAGGACGAGGAAAACTCATGTTACTTTTGCAAAGCGAGCGATGCACAGCTTAGAATGTGTTTTTAGATAAACTTTATCATTGAAAAAAACCCAATGTTAAAAAACACAAACACCTCCATATAATTCAATATAGTTACATGGGGGTGGAAGGGAAGGATACAGAATTGTAGATGTAACGAGAACGGTAATATAGATATCCAGAGAAGGAATAATGAGTGTTGCACATCGGAGAACGGGGTAAACGGCTGCCATTGAAGCAGAGGGACTTTGTCTATGTTTATAGAGATGCATGTGCATGAGAGTAATTACACTTCTTAATAAAAATGAGAACATAAACAAAGCCCAATTATATGACACCGTAGGAAAGATGATCTGATGAACATTAACAGGTGTGCAGTCTTACTTCCATGTCAGGCCGTGTCCGACTCTCTCCTGGCTGGAGGGACTCCCGCACTGTGTTTATCTGCTGTTTTATCAGGTCGCTGTAGAGTCGCAACTCTGACATTTTGGTTTTGAGGAAGTCGCTGGTCTCGCTAATCTCTGCACAAACAAAAATGAAAATTAACCCTCAAAATGAAACATTACCAGCAAAGTCTTACAGAGTTCCCTCCATATGCTGAAAATACTAGTTCTATATGTAAAGTTTTTTATAATTTTAATTCAAAACCATCATCAGCCATTTGCTATCCACAAATCTCAAATTGTTGAAGGCTTCCCCACACTGTCACCATTTCTCACAGTCATGTGACGCTGCAATCCAGCTCATTCCTGCACACTAACTGATCGCAACGCCCCATATCTCCGCCATTCCATCACTAGTCTCATCCATTGGTGATCATTAATTTTTGCGATATATTCTGCCCATCAAATCAATATGATGTCAATATGAAAGTGAATAATTTACATTTGTTCCCTGGTCCATGCTTTAATATTACTGCTTCTCAGTTTAATTTTAAGAATAAATCTATCCATACTTCTTTGCACACTTTCCAATTTTTGCTTAATTTTCTTTGTCACTGTGGATGTTTACGATCCCTATGTCACACCGGGAAATAAGCACTGACTGATAATTAATTCATCAGGTACATAGATACACTGCTTTTCATTAACAAATTTGGTTTTCCAAAACCTAATGATGTTCATTTTCATAATTTTAAGACAGATAAACTATTAATAATTTTGCAGCTTGTATATATTGTCGTGTTTTTCAAATGTTGTCCTTAACAATTGATTATGCTTGGCAAACTTGTATATTACTTTTTTACTTAATATTTATTTTGAGCAAAAATTTTCAGGCTTCTATGCAACATTCATTGATTGTATGACTTCAGCAAATTTGAGATGGCTATACTCTCTCCATGAATGTTTATGCATGTATTTGTCAATTCTAGTTTTTTAAAAAATTCTTCAAATGTTTGCTCAAAGTAACCGTGGTGAGTATACCGCCTCGCTCGACTCCTCTTTTGAATTGTAATTTTCTACTGCCCTTATGCAATCTCAGTATAGTTGTTCGATGTTCATGAAAAGTGCAAATACTTTCTACATATATTTTATTAAGGCCTTGTTTTTTTATTCGGACTGAATTTGGTTGCATTGACTGAAATACCACATCAGTCTACAAAAGCTAAGAAGAATGGTATTTTAATGGTATTTTACATTAATTTGTCTTCTTTGGGTCTTTCGGTCTGTTTTTTTCCTGATGACAATCGCTTGTGTTGTGATCAAAACGTCGTAGTTTTTTGTTAATTTTATTTTCATGAATTTGAACCTATCTACATGACTTTACCAAAAGACCCAAGGAATATGAATTCCTGCAGTCACGAAAGCTTTAAGTCAAAAATTAATTTGTCTTTAAGAGCACCTGATTGATCAATGGTAAAAAATATCTCCAAAATCCAGATTGTTCAAACCATTGGTTGGCCTCCAAAATGTCAAATATTTGGTTCTCAACAATCTACATCGAAAACATTACGCACATGTGATCGGAGGCTAAAGGATCTGCAATCAATTATTGTGGCCACAAAATGTGAAAGGCTCTATGGCTACATATATGTCATGCATGAATTTAAACAGCCCCATTGAAAGATTATAAACGTATATCATGTGCTCTACTTTTGATTGTTATTAATATAATTAATATTTACATAAGCTTGAAATAATATTGCTACGCACCTCCGAATAGCATGGTTGGCTATGTATAGTACAGAAACAGAAAATTTCATGTAAAAATCGCAGTCAAGGGTTAGCTCAGTCTACCATCTCTTTGGGGTCAATGATGAAAAGTAATCTCTAGGAATTCAAAATCCATTATCTTGTGGAGAAACCAATATATGGCGAAAAGAATATCTAATTTCCATAATTGCCTGAAGAAAGGCAATGGAGATGACATCAGCCAAATGCTTATTTGAGAATGGGGACGCAATTTGATTAAAATAATTGGTTCGTTTCAGCCATGTTTTCATATCTCATAGGCTCGATGACATTCATTGTATTAGCTTAACGGTACCGTTTGCATATTACTTAAAATAATGTGTCTTTATGCAATATTTGATGTATCATAAGCATAACAAGTGATTGTATTTAACGAGTCGATCAGTGTGTATATCCCAACCTTTCTCTTTCTTGGAGCGGCTGTCATGCAGGCAGGCCTTGGAGCTGCCCAGGGCCACAAGCCAGGATTGGCGTTCAGCGGCGTTCATGGCACGCAGATAAAAGTGCTGCTCCCCAGGGATGACGAGATCCAAACGCGTGCCATCTGATGAATGCACTGCCCGCAGACACAAGACACGATGCCACCGGTTCTACAATGACCACTGCATTGTGCTCTATATCCCATTGATGCCAATTTATTAAACACTATTCAGCATCCCAGAGCGTTGTGGGATGCTGTTGGCATGAATGACGCTATATACAATTAAAGTATTATTATTGTTATATGATTTGGATCTGTAAAGTGTATAAATATGGCCATATCCCCAGATGCTTAACAAACATGTGCTTCATGCAGACATGGGTGATGGGAGGCTGTGATGAGGGAAATTCAGAGGAAGAAAAGTGTGAGTTAGACATATGCAGAGTAATGAAAACTCCTAAACGTGAACTTGAACATGGGGGAGATAGCAGAGACTGTTTAAAACCAGGTTTATTGCTCTATGTTGGCTTCTTAACAGTTCGGTTTCTCTCAAGGGATTATTTTTACTATTTGAATATGCAGACATTCATATTAACACATAATGCAAGTTACAAACAAAAGTAAGCCTGATTATGTTTACGAATTGATCAATAATATATTTTTTCAGAATCAGATTCTTTACCAATATAATCTTATTCCACTGCTTTCCCTTCAAAATTAATAAAACACGAAGTTAATTCTAAAATAATGAACTTCATAGGGTTTGTGCTTTTCAAAATTGTACATTAGGCTTCACCCCATCCACCACGCATACCATATGATATTGATAATAACAGAACATGCCTAAGTGTGCTGTCCTAATTATGTTCCCATTACTGTATTTCTTAGACTTCGGTGATGATCAAATGCATCACCTCGCCTTGCAATTGTGAAAAGCATTTGTGTACATAAGATATTAGCAGTTTGTGCATCGTAACAGAGCACTCACCTTGTATCTCGCACACTGCCATTTTAATGCTGCCCTTGCAGCCCTTACTGACATCATCCTGGGAGTCGTAATACGAGAGAATACCGCCATCCAGAACAAACCACCGTGGCTGCCAACCTGTCAATACAGCAATAACCATCAACAATACAACAAATCTCGCATCACTGCACCAACTTCAGTAATCCAAGTAAATCATTACTGTAACCAGCCCCTCAACACTCATTATCTACTATCTGTCATAAGTCATAGAACTCCTGATGGAAAATGCACCATTTACAGGTTATTAGAGGCTCGGTAGGATTCTTCCTTACAGGCTAATCCTAAATCTAACCTGCACATACACCCGCACAATACTATTGCTGCAGAGATACATATTGATTTTGTAGTGATAAACATTTTTGCTGCCAAAAAAACACAATGGATAATAACCCTATGGAAGACATTATCCCAACTAGTCTACAGCTTGTCATTATTTGTGATCACAGATTTTAGAACTAAAGTAGACAATGAGAATAGGTTTTCCCCTTTTATCTGGCAACAAAACAGGTGTTGAGATGTTAAAACACCAAACCGAAACCTTTTACAAGGAATCATGTATGCATTAACTACAATACTTGTGGTTAGAATGCAAACCAAAAACACACTCTGATAATATATGCATTGTCTTTGAAACTAAATTAGACCATGTAGTTTATGAAACAATACATATACAATTATTGACATTATACTATAGTAAATTGAACTCACAGAAAATCATTATTACCAAAAAGACCCACACAGACAAATATTATCATCACTGATTGACAACTCATCTATCTTTAGGGAATGTGTTATTTAGTTGGTCTCTTAAATTGCATGTGAACCTATAGGTCGCATTTTACCTAGTTATTTAAACCTGTCATAGAGTTACATTGTCGCAATGGGACCAAAAATATGGTGAAATAATGTGAAATGGGCACTAGTCAACCGGGATGATAAAAAGCTTATTTCACATTGGCCTGATATGCCAGTGGAGGAGGCTGGTGATAAACATTTCAAGAGCCATGGAGGGCAAGAAACGCGCCACTCGGGTTTAGGCTGATGGACCGGTTCGACGTTTTTAACAATCAGCACTTTGCCAAAGATAGTTTTCCCTGAGCAAAGTGATGCAACCTGTATTCTCTGTCAAAATTCAAAGACAAGAATCGAAATATACTGTACCAGCTTTGCTGGCAGATCACTCGGCCAGCCAATAGGTGGCATATCCGTATTGCCATCATCATCATCTGTCATGGTCAGTCCACTGCTGGATGAAGCAATTCAAAAGTTGTCGCTATCTCAGAATCCGTGTCATGAGAATGACGGTGCAGACACTGACACCTTGGTTGGACAATAGGTAAATGTGAATGCTGTGGATGCTGTGAAATGTATATGACGCGATGCAACGTGTGAGAATAATCACATGTTACTTGTAAATACAGTATATTATAGTTACTTGCACGTAACGTAAACCAGACTACTGTTAGTTATTTCTATGACAAGAATGTATTGTACTGTATATGAAATGATACCAATAACTTTAAACTGCCCTTGGCATTGTTGAAAAATATGTTACAAACATGAACATCACAAGTTAAGAACCCTAACGTTCTTCGGAAACACTGCCCTTGTACTAACCTACCGATACAAAACATTGTATACAAAACGCCACTGCCATCATTTGCTTGGAGCAACATTCTTGTATATACAGCCTTTCCACTATATTGTCTGTAAACTACCTTAAGCCGGCGTTAAAATATTCAGAACTTGGGATTGCAGCGTTGATTTTATCACCTACAGCACCACACGTCTGAGACGTCCCTGTCAAGCCAGACTGGACAGGGGGTTACCTTAAGCCTTGACAAACCAAGCAGCCCATGGGCGAAATATAAACAGTATCATATAACTGTTCCTTAGTTTCACAATGCATGCTGCTGGCACCAACCATCACGTTCAATGCCAGGCTATTTTCACGTGTCAAAGTTCAACCCTCATATGCCTGTCCTGGCACACCCATTGTGGACGTAAAAGCCACCACCACGACGCTCTGCTCACTTTAAACAGAATGATTGCCAATGGCCTAACATGTCATTAGAAAAGGTAAGGATTTCAAGACGTCAATGCTTGAGATGGCTATTGCAACGCCTCGAGCAGTAACCAACAAGCCAAGCCGTCTTACTTAATTTTAAAATAACCAATCTGACTTTGCGGTGTATTCGCACAGAGCCGCGTTACGCTGCCTCGAAAGTGCTTTGACCATCTCTACCTTGAAGCTCTACGGAATGTGGCCGTGTTCTCATTCACGCATCTTCTCGTTCGTACTGGATCTGAAGAGGGCACGAATCGAACAGTGGCACCCCGACATGTCGCATGTCTCGATGGTGCCACAAGCACCTCACATCCTCGTTATCGATCGTCTGTCCCGACTTCACAACTACACAGCCGTCGAACCACTCTTGGGGTGAGGTGAGGTGAGCCGAGGATGTGGTGACAGGGCGAGAGAGTCGGGCTGAGGGGGTGATGTAGTGGGGGTCGATGGTTGAGGATGAGAGATTCGTGGTGAGATTTCAGAATGAAGAGGTGAGTCGCGAGTGGTGACGGGTGAGACGTCGTGGGGAGTGAGGAAAGGGGTGAGGAGGGAGTGAGTTGGGTGAAGGGGTGAAGCGCTGACGATCACGACCCGAGTCGAGTGGCGGTGGTGGTGGTGATGCTGGAGGAGGAAGCAGGGCTGACAAGAGGATATGGAGGCTCAACAACAACAACAAAATCAGCGTCCACCACTTTCCCCGGGGGGCCACAACCACAAGACGGCGGAACCGTTACGACGACGAGCGGCGTCCAGACGATCCGCTCAGTGTCGGGGGGCGCCGCTTGCAGTACCGAGAGCCGACAGCTCCGTCACCCCACGGGTCTCCCTTCGCCTCCGCTCAGCTCCACTCGCGCCGCTCACCGCTCAGGTAGTTTGTCCATTTGTAGAGAGAACCCTCCATCGCCAGGCCGCGTCTCGCCGGCGTGACGTCACCGCCACCGACGCCCCGCCCCCCCCTCCCTGCGCGGTCACGTGCGCGCCACCGGAAAGCCGACGTCATCGCGCGCGCGAGCCCGCGCCGTGTGTCTCGTGACGTCATCGCGCGCGAGAGAAAAGCCGTGTCTCGTGACGTCATCGCGCGCGAGAGAAAAGCCGTGCCTCGTGACGTCAGCGCGCGAGAGAGATAACTTAGAGGTGGCGCGTGACGTAGTCGCGGGGGTGAGGGGAACAAAAACTTGTCTCTCGTGACGTCATCGCGCGCGAGAGAAAAGCCGTGTCTCGTGACGTCATCGCGCGAGAGCGAAAGAGAACTTACAGGTGGCGCGTGACGTAATCGCGAGGGTGAGGGGAACAAAAACTTGTCTCTCGTGACGCCATCGCGCGCGCGAGAAAAGCCGTTTCTCGTGACGTCATCGCGCGAGAGAGAAAGAGAACTTACAGGTGGCGCGTGACGTAATCGTGGGGGTGAGGTGAACAAAAAACTTGTCTCTCGTGACGTCATCGCGCGCGAGAAAAGCCGTGGCCGTGACGTCATCGCGCGCGCCAGAGAGAGAACTTACAGGTGGCGCGTGATGTAATCGCGGGCGTGAGGGGAACAAAAACTTGTCTCTCGTGACGTCATCGCGCGCGAGAGAAATTCTGTGTCTCGTGACGTCATCGCGCGCGTGACGAAAAAATTGGCTCTCGTGACGTCGACGCGCGCGTAAAAAAGAACCGGCTGCGTGACGTCATCGGGCGCGCGTTAAAACCCATTCGCGTGACGTCATCGGGCACGCGTGAGAAACTCGCGACGTGACGTCAAATCGCTTCTGAAAAATAGATGTACAGTGCAGCTCGGTGGGCTTTATCTGGTAAAATAATAAGTTTAGTCTATTTATTTTTAGCGATTTTGCTTACCCTTCCTATATGTTGCACTCGTATCGTTGTTGTGTTTTGTCTGTTGTGTAACTTTCTCATCCGCCCCTACTGGACATTTGTTAAAAAATAGCTTCATAGCTCATCGGATTTCTCCAGGATAAATACCGATGCTCATTATAATTGTGGCGTGACTTCACATCCATACAAGACCCTTGCGGGTCGTGCGGGTTCATTTGACCAAACTTCAGAATCAGAATCTGTATTGACACTGGAGGAATCCGACGAGCTGTAAAGCTCTTTTTTTAAAACAGACGTCCAGTAGGTCAACGTTACAATACAAAAACACGATATGCGTGTAAATTATAGGAAAAGCTAAACAAAGCACTTTTAAAATACACATGTAATGAGCGTCTCCGACACGATAAGAACTTGAATCGTTTATTAATAAATCTTCGGTACAGCTTGGGTTGTCTCTCGTCTCTTCTCACTCGCACTACGAATACATGCCGCCACGTGGCGCTTACCCACTCTCTAGCACGCCACGTGGCCGACGGAGATGGCCTTGCTCCGGCCCCCGCTTATATACCCTCCCGGCGACTAAACCACGCCTCTGGCCACGCCCCTCATGGAACCTTCGGGAGCGTTCCAAAGGCATCCCGGGTGGCTCCGTCCCATTGCCGTTGGCCGAGATGGAATCATACTCTTAGGTTTTTTTTCGGTAAAGTCACGTAGGTAAAAATAAATAATACAAATAATAGAAATAAAACAATATTATTTTTATTATTTTTATTATTTATGTTTATTGTTAATTTTTATAAAAATAATAGAAATAATAATAGAAATAAAATAATTGAAATAATAGAAATAAAATAATATTTCTATTATTTCAAAAAAAATTTTATTTATTTTTACCTACGTGACTTTATCGAAAAAACCTAAGAGTATGAATCCTTGCAGTCACGAAAGCTTCAAATCTAGAACGAGATGGAATCTTTCCCCTAGATCAAGGGTCCCCAACCCCCGGGCCACGGACCGGTACCGGTCTGTGGTCTGTTAGGAACCGGGCCGCACAGCAGGACGTGAGCGGTGAGTCCGCGGATGGCCCGCAGATTTTTATTGACCACCTCCGTCCGCGCCTCTTTCCCGCACTTGTCTCAGTCACAGTTTTGGTAAGCCCACAAGCTCTAAACCCTAGCCAAAATTAGTAAAAAAAACGTCGCTGGAGAGCTTCTTTGAAAAGGGGGAAAGACCCAATGATGAACCCCCCCCCCCCCCGGTCCGTGAAGAAATTGTCTTCCACGAAATGGTCTCTGGTGTCAAAAAGGTTGGGACCGCTGCCCGAGATAACCCATAACTGCATATCACACTAGTGACGGTGCAGACACTGACACCCCACATAATACAGGAGATGGCGCCCTCATCACACAAATAAAATATATTTTAGCAGTAAATCCCACGCATTAACTAACAAACCAGCCTCTCCAGGCTGAACTGAACTCCAACTGCCACCTTTCACCCCTTTTATTTGCTCTTCAACCCCCTTAACTCCCTTAATGGTCTTAACTGCCTGAACTGATAACCTCGTGGATGTCCGCTGATCAACAGCTGCCGCTGCCCACCCACGGCGCCTGTGCCAGGCTGGGTGCACTTTGGAGGCTATCACGTGAAGTGGCAAAGGCTCGCTGCTGGCAGGAGGCCACGGAACAGATCCAGCAAGTGCCATGGGTTTGACCGACTGAGATGACTGGCCGATGAACCACCTGTGCCCCCCTAACCTTATTACAGACAAATGCAGACCATATTGGTCACCCCGTGCCCTTATTAATCTCAACGTTCATCCTACAAAGTCTGTCAGATAAAAATTTTAAAGAACTCACCTTCAACTACTTTTTAACCTAATGGCTTGAGAGACGATCGGATGTATGGCTGATAGTGAATTACAATTTAAAAAAAACTAAAAAACAACGCGAACAGCTTCGCTGTACTTGAGGACTTTTAATAAGTCAAATAAGAGCAGTGTTACGCGGCTTTCACTTAAAACTTTCACTCTACATATCTTTTTTGATGATCCCGCGATGTCCCTTAAATGTGAATGAATGAAAATGTATCTAAACTTTAGTTGTCATCGTGACATTAACTTCTAAGAGCTATCACTTATTAATCAGTGAAAGAACTGTTAGGATTATTTGGGAGCTCTTAAGGGGTCTTAGGTTTCAAGTTTAATTGATTACGTATAGCCCTGTGAGCCATGCGGCTCTTGAGTCGGGTGCAACCGCAACAAACAAAATATGAACACAGAACATCTTAAAGCGACGGAGCGCACCCCGAGAGCGCGAGCCTCAGGCGGCCATCAGTGGAGAGCATGGGGCTCCCTCAGGGCAGCAGTGGAGAGAGCACGGCTCTCCCTCAGGGCAGCAGTGGACGGAGCACGGTTCTGCCTCAGGGCAGCAGTGGAGAGAGCACGGCTCTCCCTCAGGGCAGCAGTGGAGAGAGCGCGGCACTCCCTCAGGGCAGCAGTGGACAGAGCACGGCTCTGCCTCACTCTCACTCACTCGTCTCCTCACTTTCACTCACTCGTCTCTTGCTCGCGGTCACGTGACGCACTTCAACCAATCCGTGCCGCGTTAATCACAGACTCACAGAATGACAGAGCTGGGTGTTTATATATTAGTATATTTAATAACTTATAACAGCACTGTCAGGATGCTTTCCCAGGTAAATTGTTGCGTCGCAGTATCATGAGAGATTATTACAGCCTTCATCCATCAGTTTGTGCATTGAGACACATTCAATACGAAAGATAACGTAGAACATTTTACGTTGATGACAATAAACTTGCAGGTGTAATAATTTATTTTTAGTCACACTAAATGCATGTAAAGTACTGCAAGGTATGGTAATTAGTGATGTGACTAAGATTAAAAGCATAATAACCATGCATGTCATGATAATTTAGCATAATTAGAAGAGTATCTGGGTTAGTGCTTACAATTTCATGGTACCTAAAATTGTAAGCACTAACCCAGACACTCTTCTAATTATGCTAAAGCCGGTGTCTACAAAAGACGTTTTCTCTTTAATTGAATCACTTCATTTGAAGTCATCTCCACTCGACGGGCTCCCAGGTTCCTTGTTCAAGCAATGTGCTCCGGAACTCGCCATCACGATCAGGAACATCGCAAATGCCTCCTTCTCTTCGGGGTGTTTTCCGTCCAACCTCAAATCTGGCCTGGTTTCTCCCTTGAAAAGAAACCAAGTCTAGATCCGGATGACCCATCTAGTTATCGTCCCATCACTAACCTCTCGAACCTCTCTAAACTCCTTGAACGACTAGCCCTCGCCCAGCTAAAACCACACGTCACCTCCTCCGCAAACTACTACTGCTTCCAGTCAGCTTACCGTCAAAACTATTCCACAGAAACAGCACTCACTAGAGTGCTCGATGACATTTTAACGATCACTGATTTTGGCTCAACTGTTGCACTTGTAAGTCTGGATATTTCGTCAGCCTTCGACACCATCAACCATTCGCTCCTTACTTCCCTCCTGAAATCCGACTTCGGTATATGCGGCTCAGCACTCAAGTGGATAGCTTCGTACCTTTCTGACCGGCAATCTTCAGTCAGGGTGGGCATGTCCACATCGCCTGAAACAACAGCATTATGTGGGGTTCCCCAGGGCTCTGTTCTAGGTCCCCTGCTCTTCACAGCCTACACTTCCCCGATCGGCCGGCTCATTGCAAGCTTCGGTGTTAAGCATCACTCATACGCGGATGATACGATTCTATTCACCGCCATCGATTCTAGCAATGCATCTGGATTCGAAAGGCTCTCGGAATGTACCACCGCCGTGCAACAATGGTTCACTGCACACAACCTAGCCCTTAATCCGAAAAAGTCAGTGGCCATCATGTTAGGTACCAAGCAACGTCTCAATTCAGCAGCACTCCCCACACACATACACATCTTCGGTCACAGCATCAAGTTCACCGACCACTTCAGCTACCTCGGTGTCATCCTAGATTCAACTTTATCCTTCGACCGTCAAACCAACCATATCATCAGCTCATGTAACTTTCACCTGAAGGCTCTTAGACACATACGTCCTCTCATCTCTACTGAAATTGCCAACACTTTGGCATGTTGCATAGTTGGGTCTCGCCTTGACTATTGTAACTCCATCCTAGTCCGGACCTCCGCTGGCAACCTAAATAAACTTCAAAGACTACAAAATAACCGAGCACGCGTCGTCATTGCCCACACTCGTCCCCGTGCTCTCAACTGGCTCCCCATCGCCAGTAGGGTCACATACAAGACCGCCTGCCTCTGCCACAACGCCTTCATATCCGCCTGCCCGCCGTACCTTTCTTCATTATTGACAACTTGCAGCTCAGCACACGGCAGATGCCTGTGCAGCGCGACTCACGACCTCCTCTTGATACCAAGATCCAGGATGGTCATGTCTATGCGCCGCTTCTCGGTGGCAGCCCCAACAGTCTGGAACGATATCCTCTGCACATTCGCAGCATCGCCTCAATCGCCTCCTTCAAGAGACATTTAAAAACTCACCTACAATCATGCTTTTGAGCGACTCTGAGCTTGGCTCCGCGCCTCTGAGTTGCGGCCACTACGTCTGCAAATTTGCGCGCGTTACAAATTGAACTATTATTATTAATGTACTGTATGTCCTTTACTGTACATATTTTAGTCAAGCAAAAACAGGATGTATTGCAGTTTGAAGGAATATTACCAAAATAAACAAGGTTTAATTTCTTCAAGCAATGAGTATAAGAAATAAATTACACTATATATCAACCATCAAAGGTCACAGCTTAATATATTTATGCATATCTTTCATCCAAGGGTACATCCAAACCTGACAGGTGAAAGTCTAATCGCCAATAAGGTTATATTATAGGACCTCCTTTGCCAGAACCAAAATATGATAATAGGTTTTCCCCTTTTTCTAGCAACAAACAGGTGTTAAGATGTTAAAGCACCAAACTGAAACCTTTTAAAAGGAATCACGTCTGCACTAACCACAATATTTGTGGTCAGAATGCAAACAAAAAACACACTGATAATATATGCATTGTCTTTTAAACTGATTGGTCCACACCAGAGACAGCTTTCTTTTGAGCCAAGTCTCAAAACGGCGTCCTCTGGTCTAACACCGTCGCTTCAGGTGTGCCCATCACCTGCCCGCTCCTGGCAGGGGAGAGGTCCCCCTTTCTGAGGCCAAAGGCACGCCGCCCCTTCCTCGGGTCCGGGGGAAAGGCAGTTGTTGCGAGGCCGTGGCATTACAGCTATACTTTGCTAATTATTACTTTGAACATTCACTTAATGCCTCTTCTCAGCTAAAGCAGTCAAGATGAGACAAAGAACATGGAAAAAACACCCTCACAAATCCCATAATTCAAGGGTATCTAATGCATGCGACGAGGTAACATATTTAATCTTTACTCATGGGTATATTCATAGCACTTGTCTTGCATAAATCTAGCAGGAACATGCCCATACAAAGTAGAAGATTTAGACTATCATTCTCTTGGTTAAATCTTTAATCATAAACCACACCCTTATACAGTGAGGGAAAAAAGTATTTGATCCCCTGCTGATTTTGTACGTTTGCCCACTGACAAAGAAATTATCATTCTATAATTTTAATGGTAGGTTTATTTGAACAGCGAGAGACAGAATAACAACAACAAAATCCAGAAAAACGCATGTCAAAAATGTTATAAATTGATTTGCATTTTAATGAGGGAAATAAGTCTCCAGACCTTAATCCCATAGAAAATCTGTGGAGGGAGCTGAAGGTTCGAGTTGCCAAACGTCAGCCTCGAAACCTAATGACTTGGAGAAGATCTGCAAAGAGGAGTAGGACAAAATCCCCCCTGAGATGTGTGCAAAGCTGGTGGCCAACTACAAGAAACGTCTGACCTCTGTGATTGCCAACAAGGGTTTTACCATCAAGTACTAAGTCATGTTTTGCAGAGGGGTCAAATACTTATTTCCCTCATTAAAATGCAAATCAATTTATAACATTTTTGACTTGCGTTTTTCTGGATATTGTTGTTGTTATTCTGTCTCTCACTATTCAAATAAACCTACCATTAAAATTATAGTACTGATCATTTCTTTGTCAGTGGGCAAACGTACAAAATCAGCAGGGGATCAAATACTTTTTTTCCTCACTGTATAGCAAAACATAATCAGTCGCATTTGTCAGCCTTGAGCACAAAATGGGTACGAGGGTTGGGTCTGCCCATGTCGGCTGGGCTGGGGCGAGTGTTTTGGGTGGAGATGATAAATAGCCAGGCATGAACACGCAGCTGGCAGTGGAACACCACGCAGCCAGTATAGTTTCCACGTGAATTTACAACAATGGCAGACGTCTCGACAGCAGCAGTGACCCTTTCCGATGGTCACAACATGCCTCTGCTTGGCCTGGGCACATGGAAGGTACATCACACTGCACCCCACACACTCGATTATTTGCACCCATCGTCAGAACCTGCATTAAATTAAAATGTATATAATAAGATGAAAAGTGCATACAATGGACAGGAAAAGATGCACTTCACAAATGTGCGTGCTGTACAATCAATGGCGGAGCCAGGATTTTCAGGTAGGGGGGGGCGACCTATCCAGCAATGAAAAATGATAAGAGGAGTTGTTAGTAAGTAAGGACTTGTCCCTTGCTTTTTATTCGATGCGTGTGCGGCGATGGCGCAGCCATCGATCGAAGGTCGAATTCGAACTGCGTTATGTGATCGGCATCGCGCTCACTGAAGGTGTTGATGCCTTCAGTCGTGTACTGTATAAGCAAATGCGCACAATTCTGAGTCACTTATAACTGCTTTGCCGTTAATTATTGCCCATTATGGACTCAAGACTATTGTCCTATCATTTCATAGAGTCCCTGGCACGTAATAATATGCTGCACAGTGGCAGTGGGGGTCGCAAAATGCGATGTATTTCTAATAAACCACAATGATCCGATCGAAATTAGGGATTTCGATCGGATCATTGTGGGGGCACGTGCCACCCCACCCCCACTGGCTCCGCCAGTGTGTACAATGGTTATGTCAGATATCGTGAATATTCTTGTGTTTCGATTAATTTTGAATGCGTGGCTCTGCTGTAACTATATATTAAATTTAACAACACGTTTTTTTTCTCCAACTCATAAAATGAGAAGCATAGTGTACGGATGTTATATATAGTAGGATTTGAAAGACTTCTTTAGTGAAAAGTTATTGTAATAACAATGTACATTTATCTTTGAACAGGTTTCACAAGTGTGGGTTAAGTCTGTACTTGACATGCAATTGCATTCCAATCACTGTGGAAAAGTTGTCCATTTGATCATGATCCTCCTATATCTCTTACTAGCTGTACTACCCGGCTTCGCCCGGGACTTGTATCTACCACGGCCGGCCGCCTTTGTCTCCCCAGTGGCGATGTTAATACGCTACAGCAGTTACTCGTTTGAGGCAGAGTCGACCTAGGGGAGGTTCAAATAATCGTCACCGGTGGTGGCCGTGAGCGGGAATCGAACTGGGTTCGCCGGGTTGGTAGCGCAGCGTAGCGTTAAGCACTACACCCACCGCTCCTCACACACCACACACGCACAGACACACACACAGACACACACAGACACACGCAGACACACACAGACAGAGACACACAGACACACAGACAGCACGCTAACCACTACACTACCGCTCCCCACACACCACACACGCACACACACAGACACACACACAGACACACACACAGACACACACACACAGACACACACACACAGACACAGGCAGCACGCTAAGCACTACACTACCGTTCCCCCTACACAACACACGCGCGCGCGTCCATAGGTACACATACACGCGCTTGCTGCAGACACACACGACTTTCAGGGTGCGTACGGCAGTAAACGACTGAAATAATAAAGCGGCAATGCTGTGTAAGGAACGCCTTAGACCCGCATTACACATTTGTGTAATGCGAGCGTAAACACACAAACACACACAAACACATACACAATACACACACACATACATGCAGACACACAGACAGACACATAACACACATACATACACACACATACAAACACAGAAACACATACACACACATACATAGACACACACATACATACACACAAACACATCCACAGACGTACATACACACATACATACAGGCACGCAGACATACACATAAACACATACAAAAAAACCCACATACATACACACACACATACATACACACAAACACATGCACACACATACATACACACATGCATACAGACACACAGACATACACATAAACACATACACACATACACATGACCCGGCTTCGCCCGGGACTTGGATCCACCATGCCCGGCCGCCTTTGTCTCCCCAGTGCCGATGTTAATACGCAACACCAGTTACTCGTTTGAGGCTGAGTGGACCTAGGGGAGGTTCAAATAATCGTCACCGGTGGTGGCCGTGAGCGGGAATCGAACTCGGTTCGCCGGGTTGGTAACGCAGCGTAGCGTTAAGCACTACACCCACCGCTCCTCACACACCACACACGCACAGACACACACACAGACACACACACAGACACACGCAGACACACACAGACAGACACAGACAGACACACACACACACAGACACACAGACAGCACGCTAAGCACTACACTATCGCTCCCCACACACCACACACGGACACACACAGACACACACACAGACACACACACACAGACACAGACAGCACGCTAAGCACTACACTACCGTTCCCCCTACACAACACACGCGCGCGCGTCCATAGGAACACATACACGCGCTTGCTGCAGACACACACGACTTTCAGGGTGCGCACGGCAGTAAACGACTGCAATAATAAAGCGGCAATGCTGCGCGAGGAACGCCTTAGACCTGCAACACATTTGTGTAATGCGAGCGTAAACACACAAACACATACAAACACATACATACACACACATACACACAAACACATACACACACATACACACACATACACACACACAGACATACACATACACACAAACACACACATACATGCACACAAACACATACACAATACACACACACATACATGCAGACACACAGACAGACACATAACACACATACATACACACACACACATACACACAAACACATACATACACATACATACACACATACATAGAGACACACAGACATACACATAAACACACATACACATGACCCGGCTTCGCCCGGGACTTGGATCCACGATGCCCGGCCGCCTTTGTCTCCCCAGTGACGATGTTCACACACGACAGCAGTTACGCGTTTGAGGCTGAGTGGACCTAGGGGAGGGCCAGGTCCGTTTCAAATAATCGTCAGCGGTGGTGGGCGTGAGTTGGAATCGAACTGGGGTCGCTCAAGCAGCTTAATGACTGTTTGTACAAAGAACATATAAAGAATCGATTATAATAACCAGGCAAGAGTCCACATTATAGACTGCCAGTACACGCACTCAGCTTCATAAGCAGGCTAGAGTGTACATGATAGAGTGGCAGTACGCTCACCGAGCTTAATAAGCAGGCTACAGTGTACATGATAGACTGGCAGTACGCTCACCCAGCTTAATGAGTATTTGTACAGTGAACATTAAAGTAATCGATTGTTGGCGCGTTGGGTTTAAAAGTAATATTAATAGCACACATTGTGGTGGGGGTGTAGTGAAGAGTAGGAAAAACTTTGATGAATTTACCTCAGAGTGGCGTGGTGGGTGTCGAGGCCTAGTAGCGTGCAAAGCCTGCGGCCTCGCCTAAAATTGTCGGCTTGGAAGAGGCAGGGTACGGGTGGCGTGCCTTCCCCCCCCCCCCCCCTCAGCGCTCCAACAATACTGTGTAATGGCTATTATTTAATTAAATACGGAGATTATGAAAGTGGCGAAGGCGTGGCTAGCCGTTGGCAGGGGCAACCGCCGTCCAATGAAACTGCAGCCCTTGGCGAAGGCGTCGCTAGCCGTTGCCAGGTCCAATGAAAGCGGTGAAGGCGTGGCTAGCCGTTGCCAGGGGCAACCGTCGTCCAATGAAAGTGCGTATGGGCCGAAATCCACACACACACACACAGACAGACAGACATTCACGATTTTATATCTCTTATATCTAGGCATTTGACTAGGTGATATGTATGTTGAACTTCTTTCGCACCGTACGTAGCCAACTGTGCTAATCGGAAGTGTGGGGGGAGGAACGACAAACTAAACGCAAAAAAGCAGTTCTAAAAAATTCGGTTTCCAATCTAGATTTAAAAGTGCATAGCTCCAGTGGCTTCCTAATATCGGAAGGAAGAGCATTCCAGACGGTCGTAGATGCACAACCGAAGGGCGCAGTGACCATCTTTGTTGTGTCAGCCCAACAACTCTCCAGGCTCGATCATGTAATTACAGTTTTATGTAAGAGGTCAATGGGGAAATTCTACAAAGAACTAAAATACATGTTTTTAATCAGGTAAGGCCCACTGAGCTAGAAATATATTTTTCAGAAGCGACCTGGCCACAAATGATTTCTTATGGAAGTGGCTTATCACGTGGAAATGTACATGAGCCAAATACTCTAAAAGCGTGTTCATTCTAAATGTGGAGGGGAAAACCGGAGGACCCGAATAAAAATCCGTGCTACTCCAAATATACAGGCGTTAGGGATGGGATCGAACCTATGACCGGCAACCTGTATACCAGGCGAGGTAGGTAACATCTCGCCAGGGCGGCTGGAGATGTGGACCACAAACAGAATGTCGGTTGAAAGCCAAACTATGCTGTGTCCGGATAATAATCTTGCGAGGTAGATTTAACGCCGTTTTGAGCTATTGTACAAACTATAAAAAGACTTGTAGCTGGACTTAATAACGAGAACTTGCTTATGATCGAGTCGGTAGTTTAATATGTTGTGGTCTTCCTATGGGACAAAAAAAAATAATTCGAATAAAAATCTTCTCCTGGCCTGTATGTGTGAAAATAAACGACTCGTTACAATTTTAATGTCGATAATTCCTTTCTCAATAATTGAGTATGAAAACATGTCACAGTACAGTACTGCAATAAGAGACCACTGTACGGGACAGCCATACGTAGCTAGACAAAACAATCAATGGTGTAACTTAGTTTTATTTGTATCGTATATTTTTGAGCCTGGGTTAGTGTTTGGATGGGCGATTACGTTGTCAGAAGAGGGCATTGCAGCGAAACTCATTGCCGATGTGTACTTTGGCCCAATGTCGAAGCGCCCCACCTTAAACACACTTCACCAACCAGCGTCGTCAGACTGCGTATGGTGAAATAACCCGCACGACTGAGAGTGACTGTTCAAACACAAGTCCACTGTCTCGGCCTCGCTGTGCGCTGCGTTGCACCACTATCCGAGTAGATAACCTCGCATCCAATAAACTTTCAGAGCCAGGGTGAACATCCGACTCCAAACGAATTTATTGAATTGAACGAGGTAAAACTGATGGAAAAACACAGCACAAATACAGCATATGTTAATACTTGGTAATATCAATACAATGAATGAACACTACAACATCATAACATTGTCTTAGATAACATGAACTCAACAATAGATCCTGGATCGACCAGGCACCTACATTAGTACTGAATAGCTATACAAGAGAATAAGCTGTGTTAAGGGCACATCGTGTAATCAACATGCTGCAGCCTATATGTACAGTACTACACATAACACTGAATTGTGCATGAGATATTTTGTCATCCTTGCTCTCAAGATCGCAATAAGGTTACATGGATACAAGTCTGACTCGACTTATTCAATTACAGGTAACATTTACAATAAGGCAAGTTGCAGGCTTCGTTGTTAACTAGGCCTCGTATTTATCATAACAATTTAACAGCATTACATATCCATTTACAGCATTATAACGGCATTCCCAGTATTATAAGAACATAAACAAACTTACAGACAATGCTTCTTAAAGTCCCACAATGTACAGTTACAGCTGACTTCACTGGGACGTGATTTGTGCCACCATCTTGAACTCTGTGCAATGGCGGACGCCAGCCTCGTGGCTGAAAGACTGTCAAATCGTAACTTCCTGGTCACGTGACCAAACTCAACCTCAAAACAGGAAATTCCTGTATACACACACCCCCACTTCTGGCGTGGAGCAAAACACCTGCCGTGAGGCAGAACATCCACCATCAGCCACAAACAGCTATCGTTGCACGAGATTGACATTCTTATGGGCATAGGTGTGGTGGGCGCAATGCTCGGGCCCGCACCAATTGGTGGGTTAGGGGCCGTCCATAAATGACGTCGATTTTGGACGATTTTTTATGACGTCACAAAGCTCTGCCCCCCCCCCCAAATAAAACATGCTTCAAATCGCTTTAAACTATTGTCATTGTAGTGCGTATTTAATGTGGCACTCTGATGTTGTAGTAGAAAACATGCATTAAAAAGTCAATTTAATTAAGTAGAACGTATTGTCTATATTTATTTTAAGTTACACATTTTGATGTGACGTCACATTTCTCACCCCCCCCCCCTCCCCTTGTCACACATCGTCACAAATGTCTGACCCCCCCCCCTCCAGGTGCGTGGCATCATTTATGGACGACCCCTTATATCATAAACAGCGGCACATTTTTTTTCAAAATCAACAATTTAATGCGCTGTGCGGAATTGGTTATTCACTTGCTGTATATAACGTTGAAAAACGCTGTACAGTATCCTGATAAAGAATAACCATGTTAACCTGTTCCCACTCCAGTTGCACAATTTAAGGCTGTCCATTACGCCTTAAACAAATAAGCATTGCTCCCACACCTACACGCTCCCTACAATAATGCCAACTCACGCAACGACCGCTTTTCAATTCTACGTAATTAATCAATCTGTGGTTTGGTTGGCGATCGCTTGTGATATTGCACAATCAATCAATTCCCCTGTACAATCACAATCGTCCCACAGTAAACATGCAAGGGTGGGCCAACGTGCAACGTCAACATTTGCCCAAGGTTGCATGGCTTTGGTGTTGGGGGTATAGATTGTAGTGGTGAAGTTGGCGTTATAAGCTGTGGTGGTGGTGGTGATCAGTGTTGTGCAATTGCCTGTGTATGACAGCAGGAGCCAGAACTGCCTCAATGAGTGTGGCTTTTAGCAGATGGGGAGAGACCGAGATGTGAAGACACGAGAGACACAGACACCTGCTTAGATCAAAGGCCGGCGACCTTTGAAAGAAGAAGAGACATTCTTTAGTTTTTTGTCTTTGACCAATATAGTTCGAGAGCTGCATCACACGCAGAGCTACTTTGACACAAACACAGCAGGTTTACGACAGATGACAACACACATTCTGACTTAAATAAACTAAATGCGTGATGGAATAAACTGCGTTTATTTTGTTCCCCCCCCCCCCCCCGTTAGTTATTTTTTAACAGCACAGTTTGACTGTTGTACATTTTGTTGTCACCAGGACATAACATAGTGACCCATTCCCTGCAACATTTACTCAATCATCTTTACGCAGCCAAAGAGCCGACCCCTAGGCTAGACAGAGATAAAGAGAGAATGAGACATATTTTATACACACGTACAGCTTATGCAAGTCGATTGAATACAGATGTTCATAAGTTCAAGTGTAAAAGAATAAAACTGATTTGTTTGAATGTAAAGGTGTGCCTCAATGCCATTCAAAGTGAGGACTGGGTTTAGCTGTAGTGAAGAAGATGGTGCTTATCAGATGAGTTAACCATTTAGTCAACATGTTATTCCTAAAGGTGTGACTTACAGAATGTTATCTTCAGGTAGGTATTACTTTTTTAACCTTGAGATTAAATTGTTAAGGAAAACAGTTGACTAAATCAATAAGAGTTCAGTCGAAATGTGTGCTGGGTAAAAATGCTTCTCGGCCAAGTGCTAACCCATCTCTGATCCTAATCTCATAATTGCTCGTTCAAGACCGGCCAAGCATGATTCACAATTGCTCATGTCTCGAATACTGTACCACATTTAATGTACAATCATGAATATCTGTACAGTATCTTCCAGCTCGGTCAGAAAGTGAATGTTGATTTTTTTTGTGTTCTTCCTGGTTCAAGCAGTTCCATTGCTGGATTATTTTTTCCTCCTGAGGACGACCGCTTGTGTTGCGATCGAAACGTCGTGATATATTATTTTTTATTTGTTTTATTTTTCTACCTACGTGACTTTACCGAAAGAACCAACGAGTATGGATTCCTGCAGCCACGAAAGCTTCAAATCAAGATTGTTTTTTTTAATTGAATAACTGATGTATAGTCCTGTAATTATATAATTATCAGTTCCATTATTTAATCAAAGAGAAAAACCCCGATGATCTAATAAATGTTTACAAAGGTGGTGTTGATATCATGAACCATAAAGTATGGTGTCCAAGAATCATCTGAATGTTTTAATTCCGTGACCATCTTTTTTTTTCTGTTTGGTCTTCGTCTCGAAGGAACCTTGTCTGTGTTTTGGCTTGAACATATATTATACTATAAATAATTGTACGTTGTACACACACACCCCTTTCATCAATGCACTGCTAAATGAGGACGTCCTTACGTAACGGGAGTTATTTGACCTTACAGTTGTTCACGCTGGTCGGTGGGAACACAGGAGCACAGTTCGTACAACTTGGTATTTTGATGAACTACCCTATGCTGCCCACACCTTTTCACAGCCGCGCGTCCGCTTATGGCAATCTGGCATGCACGGTGGTCACCCACCCCATTGCATATATTAATCCCTGGTGGCTTAGCGTCCCACAAATGAAGAGAGCGGGTTCGCTACGCTTGCTGAATAAGATTGTGAATAATAGGAATAGGGCCACAGACAATAGGAGTTTTTTTCACAGACCCTACAGTTGCCGTGAATACCACGGATAATAGGGCCATGGGAAATTTCTTGATATGGAGATAAACAGTGAAAAAACTGTTACAGATATAGAGAGACACACACACACTGATAGGCACAGAGTAGGGGTCTTCATATTTTACATACTTAAAGCCAAAAAAATTCAACAAACACTGCAGTGTTTCATATCTGCTTTGTGCTGTGTTTCCATCACCAGTCCAAGCCACAGCAGGTCTGCAAGGCCGTAGAGGCGGCTATCGAGGCGGGGTATCGACACGTGGATGGAGCCTACGTCTACCAAAATGAGGATGAGGTTGGGGCGGGTGTGCGTGCCTGCATTGCCAAGGGCATCGCCTCCCGAGACCAGCTATTCATTGTCAGCAAGGTGTGCATCCTGTACTCTATTACATGAATCATAAAGTTCAAGTCCATTGTGTATATTTATGCTGAATGACAGACTTGACCATCAATAGGAAAAACAAGTTCCTATATGAATTGGGCCCGTCGCCTTCTTACTCCAAATTATTTAGAAATCCACTGCCAAACTTTTCATTCACACCTTTAAATTAAAACACGTATATGCTGTTTCATTAGGTTCCTTGACTGGTCCCAAATACAATCACGAATCAACTACAAAATCACCCTGCCTCAAAAATCCCCAAGAGACTCACCCCTGCATACCCTTTATCTTTCATCTTGATCGAGTGCCCCCTTCATGCAATCATATAAGGATTTATAGTAAAATGCCAGTTGACCTTCACTCAATGGGAGGTCAATCCTTCTCTGGAGCTGTTCCTGTTGTTTGGATCTCCATTTTGATTTCAATTATATTCCCAATATACTATTGGCATTCTTGCACAGGTTAGATTAATTTATTTTTGGATATCCGTGTGTCAGAAGATCGCCTTGAAATATTATATTAAAAACGACTTCTAATGTGCTTCACAGAGCTCTTACACACACTAGGGACACATGTTACATGCCTTGTAAAGAGATGTTTTATGGATGGCAATCACCCCAACATTTATATTTCTCAGAACTATAATATTTGACATTGAGTGAAGAACCACATTTAATATGATGTTATTTTCTGGTCACTAGGCTGAGACCATACATTCCCTACATTTTAGAACTTGGTTTGATCACAGGTGGCCCCCCATAATGAAAACCAGTAACTGAATGGTACCAGCTCAGGGCTCTTACATCTATAATCCCCAAACCCTATCCAGCCACCTCTACTAATTCTGTTGTGTGAAATTATAATGAATTGTGAGATCAGCCTATAACTGTTACTGTGCTTGTGTGTTGACTGTGAGTAGCTCTGGGGCAAGTTTCATGCCCCTGCCGATGTGAAGAAGAGTTTTATGAAGACACTGACCGACCTGGGGCTTGATTACCTGGACCTCTATCTCATGCATTCCCCCATGGGCTATCAGGTGTTGCATCAATAAAATATTACATTCATATTTCACTGTTATACACTGACAATATAAATTCATACGGACAATGGCAGCATGTTGTAAGCTCAGAGTAGAAAACGTACCCTGTATATTCAACCGTGAAGATGAAGTTGCGATGAGAGGAAACAGGTATTAGAGTGTTCAGTAACCAAGGAAAGATCAAAAGGCAAATGGTGGGAAACTAAGAGTAGACCTTGGAGGATTGATTGCAAGAGCCAACATATTTACGTTGATGCAACTGAATTATTGACAAATAATACTGTTCCTACACAGCCACAATTTATAATTAAGTAATATATTGTACATTTTTTTTATTTGTTGACTCTTTTCATTGCTGTATTGTATTTATAATTTTGTTTATTCATGGACATTGGCATATTTTTTTATTAATAACCACTGTAAAACCATTCATAACCTGTCCTTTATAAACATGGGTTGTGTTTGCTGTCATATAAAATAATTTAACTGGGAAAATGTATCCGCTTCCCAGTATCTCTTAAAATATGAATGCATTTAATTTTAATTATCTTTCAAAAATAAAGTCAAAGCGCTTGACACGAAGCAACAATTAAGCGTTTACGATTTCAAATATTAATAATAACAAAACTGTGAAGACTGAACACTGAACAGGTATGTTTGATGCTACTTGGATAAATGAGATGTGCATTCGTTTACCTCGAGGCATATGTTATGGTGCTGTATCATTTTAACCGTGACTTTTCCCGTTTCAGAACGTGGGAGAGGAATTATTTCCCGCAAAGGACGGCAGGTTTCTCTTCTCGGACGTTGATTACCTGGACACCTGGAAGGTGCCAAGTGATGCTCTCAACAAATATAAATACAACAGCATGTTTATCCCGCAAACACACTTCACCTTCTATACCCTGCATGTCTACATGGGCTCTTATCTACCTTAAAATAAATGTAACATCACTTTTGACGTGTAAAGCAGCTCAAAGGAACCCTTCAAATACGTGCACATGCGTGTGCGCGCACATACATGGCCATTTGGTCAATGCACTGCTCGGTCATGGGTGTTATTTGACCATAGTTTTCTACTTCCGTTTGTGGAAGTTGAAGGTGGGGAGCATATCGGTTTAGTATAACAATGAATGTTGCTGCACTGCCACCTGCAGTACACATCGTGGCACTGGGAGCCATAGCTCAACGAATTTGAGGACAGCGGGCACCAAATTAAGTGCACTGCTGGATTAGCACAGCTTAGCATTGTGGGAGATTTGGTCGTATAAACTTTACGCATTTTACTTAAATTTGCCATGAAGTAGCTTTATGCAACACCATATGCAAGGCACTTTACGATATAAATATTGTTTCATCGCGCTTTCGTCTTGAGTTGGTGTCTTCAACACCTTCAGTAAGAGTCAGGGTAACAACAATCAGGGTGAAATATATGTAATAAATTGCATCCGGCTTGACGCAGAGGACATTAATCTACTTTGGCTAGCCATCGAACAAAGACCGTCACTGCATCGTGCACTTTCAAAAGCGCTTATGTGGCCAAATGGAATTAGGGAGCCACTGGAGCAATGTACTTTTCTTCGTAGAATTGCCCCATTGACCTCTCACAAAACTGTAATTACATCATCGAGCTTGGAGAGTTGTTGGGCTGACACAACAAAGACGGTTACTGCGTCCTTCGGTTGTGCATCTACGGCCGTCTGGAACGCTCTTCCTTCCGATATTAGGAAGCCACTGGAGCTATGCACTTTTGAATCTAGATTTTTTTTTATTTACAACTTTTTGTGTGTGTTTAGCTTGTTGTCCTTCCACAGCACCTCCAATTAGCACGGTTGGCTACGTTTGGTGCGAAAGAAGTTCAACATACATAAGCACCTGTGAGCGTTTTGTAATAAATGATGAAAGTTAATTGTAAATGCCGTGAAGTTTTACAATGAAGCAGTGGTAATTCCGATTGTCTCAGGCAATGGAGGACCTGGTGAAAGAAGGTCTGGTTAAGTCCCTTGGCGTCTCCAACTTCAACATCCCCCAGCTCAAACGACTGCTGTCCTCTGCTTCGATCAAGCCTGTCGTCAATCAGGTGCGCAGTTGTGTGGGTGAACACAAGTTTTGATTTAAAGCTTTCGTGACTGCAGGGATTTATATTCTTGGTTCTTTCGGTAAAACTTTAATTACGTGACTTTACCAAAAGAACCGAGAATATAAACACAAGTTGTTAGTACGTACGCTGAACTTCTTTTGCACTGTACGTAGCCAACCGTGCTAATCGGAGGCACGAAATCGTGAATGTAAGTGACTGGACGCTGCATATACACCTCGCAAGCAACATGTGGTTGGTGTCGTCTGTGCTGTGAGGATGTCGGACGAGGGAAAATGAGGTAGAGGGGTCTTAAGCTGCTGATCGCTGGTTCAGGGCATCTCAAATCATGTTGGGACGACATGTCATTTGTATTGATCAGGTCACTGTGTAATATCCTCATGCTATGAGAGAATATCACAGTATGTGTGCGTTGTATGAACACAAGAAGTGTACATACATGGAGAGAACTGGAGTGGTCGTGTGTTCTTTGTGTTTTTATGTGTACTTATTTCTCTGTTTCTCTCTTTCACTTTGCTTTTCTCCATGTTTCTGTCTTCATACATTGCCGTGTATCTCTATGCATCTGTATCTCCGTGTCGCTGTCTGTGTTCTTGTTTGTGTATCTCTGTTTTTCCGTGCGTTTATCTCCACGTCTCAGTGTCTTTCTCCATTTTCTGGAAATCTCCACGTCTTTCTTTATGTCACTCTCCATATTTGTGTGTCCCTGTGTCTCTTCACATATCTACTTGTCTCGATGCTGTTTTTAATGTATCTCAGTCTCTCCACCTCTGTGTCTTTCTCCGTGTGACTTCATCTCTTGCGTCAATGTACACTCTTCTCTCTGTTTTTCCCCCATAGCACAGAGCTCCAATCTATGATTTGGCAGCTCTGAGCCTTGGGGATTCGTAGAATTGGTTAGGGGGGAGGGGGCTACAACTGCTCTCCGATCGTGCTTTTGCGCACGTGTGTACATGTGTGTTTATGTAGAAGGTGGTGGGGAGCGGTAGTGGAGTGAATTGTGCGCTGCACTACAAACCCGGCGAACCTAGTTTGATTCCTGCTCACGGCAAACACCAGTGACAATTATTTAAACCGGTCACGCGCCTACCCCTAGGTCGACTCAGCCTCAAATGAGTACCTGGGCGTGGCCTTGGCCACCCACCTCCTCGTGTGCCTGTAACAGCACTTGCCCTAACAGTCTGCTAAGGCTATATGGGGAATCCTTGTCTTTGTTGGTGGGGAGTGGTAAAGTAGCGGTTAGCACGCTACTCTACGAACCCATCGACTCGAGTTTGATTCTTGTTCATGCCAAACACCGGTGACGATTATTTGAACCGGTCACGCGCCTACCCCTAGGTCGACTCAGCCTCAAATGAGTACCTGGTACAATGAGTAAATGTCGCCAATGGAGGAGACAAAGGCAGCTGGGCGTAGTCTTGGCCACCCACCCCCTCATGCTGCGTCGGCCTTCATAGGTGCTCGCTAACCGCACTTGCCCCAACAGTCTGTCACACGCTTCATGGGGGTACTTTGTCTTTGTTTTTGTTATATATGTGGCAGGTGGAGCTGCATCCATACAATGCACAACCAAAGCTGGTCCAGTTTTGCAAGTCACAGGGCATAGTGCTCACGGCTTACAGCCCCTTTGGCTCACCCGACCGTCCCAGGTGAGACTCGGTTGATCCTATTCCCGAGAATTCTCAATTGCACGCCGAATATGTGTTCTATCTCTGCTAATGCTCTCTCCTTGAGTGCTTCGTTTGAACCTGTTCATTTGACCATGCAGTTTGGCTGCGGCGAAGAGCTCAAACGACAACGTGAAACTCGACAAAGACCCTGGAAATCTTCTGCAAGATCCAGTGGTTGCCGACATCGCTAAGAAGCATGGCAAGAGCAGTGGGCAGGTGACGTGGGATGATTTATTTTTATGTTCCGTCATCATCAGTCGCCATAACAACAAAAACCTCACCATTATAATCATCCGTCGTTGTCATCAACACTTACTTTTACCGTATAATGCATATCTCTAAGCAAGGTCTCATTTAGCGTCGTAAAATGTATGTATTGGGAATTATTAAAAGGTCAATGCCAATGCCTGAAATTGGGCGGAAAAAATACGTGACATCACAGCTAGAAGCAGCAAAACCATAACAAAGTCGAAATATCTCCACACTTGAGAGTGGAGATACATAACCGCGGTGTTGCTCTGCTTCCTTTGTAGTCCTATTCAGTCTTTTAAATTCCAAAATTTACGTGACGGGTCAGTTTTTATTTTTTAAAAATACCTCTCAAAAACGATTGTTATATGTTATACTCGTATTTACCAAAATGGGATTAACGACTGATTCGGCCCTTCGCTAGCATGTGCTAGTCAAGCACCCTTAGTACAGAACCACTTGCAAAACCAAAAACAAATACAAATCATTGTAATTTTTTTAAGTTTGCAAAATTATCAATACAATATTACAGAAAAGATGAGAGTTGCAATTTCAAATATTCTGGAGCAGACTAAGTAGCAGTTTGGAACATCATACTCAACGTTGCTTCCGGTTTGTTAGCACCGTGTACCACAAATGTGCGTCGCGAGGAATTCGTGTATATTCAGTTTAAATAAAAGCCAGCACGTATCCCTGCTTTAACGAACATGGGGAAATTTTCATCGCCATTGGTGGCACCGCCCAGTAATGCGGTGAGATCCCAAAGTGATCTCATTTTCGTCCACATTTCGGAGATGATGGGGGTGTCTATCTGCGTGATGCTGAGTGTTTTTTACACTCGCTCGACTTGTCTTGTGCCAACAGATACTGCTCCGTTACCATATTGAGAACAATATCGTCGTGATTCCAAAGAGCGTCACACCAGCCAACATTATCCAAAACAGCAAGGTATTGTGAAGTGAAGTACACATGTGCACGCGCTGCAAGCAATGCTCTGAAAGTTCCGTTGGCAAATTACCGCAATAACATCCCCAAAGGCACGCCCTTGTAATCCCATATTATATTTATTTCAGTGCAAAGTCAGATGTTACTCCTAAAAACTGTTTTCATCTTGAGTCAAAGTTTTTCAAGTGCCACCTGTAAACTTCCAGTTACAATATCTACACGTGGATCGCTGGAGTTTTGGAAATCTTCCTCACCCCTGAATATTGTATTGTGTTCTTGAACTTCCCATGTCTCCAACTCAGGCCCCTGGAATAAACAAACTCTGGGTTAACTATATTGGGCTTTCTGTTCTATGCAGCTTTGAGAATTTAACTTGTTGAATCTAGAATCACTCGTTGTTAGCGTTCCATAATCTTCACCCCTGTGCCAGGTCTTTGACTTCTCTCTGGACGAAGAGGACTTGATCAAGCTGGCGCAGCTAGACCGAGGATGGTCTTTGTCTAATTCGCTCTTCAGCAAGTAAGCAGCTGCATTGTTGATATATGATACACTTTAACAGATGTAGCTGAATCGTATGTTTAAAAAGTTTGAAACTAGTACTGCCCTGTAATTGCGCCGTATAACGATCACTACAGGTACATCATGTGAGCTCTGCTTATAGATAGAACAAAGTTAAATATTCAGATAAATCCGATGAGCTATGAAGCTCTTTTGCACAGATGTCCAGTAGGGGTGGGTCAGAAAGTTCCGGCAACAAACAATACAAAACACTTGACTTAAAGCTTTTGTGACTGCAGGAATTCATGTGATTTGAGTCTCTCGGTAAAGTCACGTAGATGGGTTAACATTTTTATAAAATAAACGAAAAAACTATGACCTTCCGATCGCAACACAAGCGATCGTCATCAGGTGGAAAAAGGAGGCAGCAAAATTACAGCAAAACATTCCCAGACAACACCAAGAAGACAACACACAGTCCCTCAATAAAATGACACGTAAAACATTAACTATCGATGCATTGGTAAGGATGAAAGTTACAAATAACATTGGCAAATGCAGTTGTATGCAGCACTAATCTTCTGCTTCAGAATATTTGTTGACGGAAAAGATTGACGATAAGGTTCAAACTTGATTTGAAGCTTTCGTGACTGCAGGAATTACCCTTTGGTTCTTTCGGTAAAGTCACGTATAAAGAAAATAAAACACATTCCTGTGGAGGGAGCTGGTAGGAACGTTGGGTTGCTCGGTCAATTGCGGCGTGGTGTATTCCGCAAATATGGCCGACTGTGAGGGCGGGCACAAGCCGGCGTAAGTAGGTTAAACGTTGAGTTTTATAGGAGCACCACGGGGTGACCAGCCCCTCCCCACCCAGCCCCACCCCTCCCATTTTTGGATGCACGACGGACGGACGGACACAATAATCCCCTGTGGGCTGGTGGAACCAGGTGGTTCCTACCAGTATTAAATAATAGAATACGACGTTTCGATTGCAACACAAGCAATCGTCATCAGCTAGAAAACAAACCTAGTAAACTTAGAAATGGAATGCAATACAACACAGAGAGTCGGCTAACACAACAGTCAACACCCCACCTACTCTTTGGTTCTTTCGGTAAAGTCACGTATAAAGATAAAATAATAAATTAAATAATAGCATACGACGTTTCGATTGCAACACAAGCAATCATCATCAGGTATAAATGGTAAAATTTTTGTTGCTATTTCATTTATACCTGATGATGATTGCTTGTGTTGCAATCGAAACGTCGTATGCTATTATTTAATTTATTATTTTATCTTTATACGTGACTTTACCGAAAAAGCCAAAGAGTAATTCCTACAGTCACGAAAGCTCCAAATTTAAGAACACCCCACCTGGTTGATTACGTTCTTCCAAAGATTGCTAAATTTTAGAGAGAGACAAAACACAGACACGGAGACACATAAACAGACACACAAGCAGAGAGAGACGACACTGAGACACACAGAGGGTGTCTATGTGTGTGTCTCTCTCTCTGTTTACCACAACTCGAGTGCTTTGGAGACGCGGTATGTGGATCAGATTCCATTATGTGCGTGATCAAACCACACCTGTAGAGCTCCACGATGATCAGTAGATGGCATTACAATAGTGTGCTATGAAGAAGGGCCGTGGCCCAAAACGTCACCAATTACAGCATATTGTACGAGGCAGGCCCCGACTTAACAACATTATAAAATGTGTTACGGTCCAATAAAAAATGGAAGCATTGTTAAACCCATAAATAAGAAGAAATAGTGTAAATTTACATTGAACACTGTAATAAATACTACATAGTAAAATACAATTTAACCTAAAATAAGTAACATAAATAGAAAAAGTCTGCTTTATATTCACATTGAGTCCTAATGCTGTCGAAAGGGGCGCAATGAGTTATTAAATTGCACATCCACACACACGGGGCACTCATACAAAGACAAAGATCCCCCGTATAGCCTTAACAGACTGTTGGGGCAACGGTACACGAGGGGGTGGGTGGCCAGCACCACGCCCGACCGCCTTTGTCTCCCCAGTGGCGATGTTTACACACAGACACACACAAAGACACACACACACAGACACCCCCCATGCCAAAGATTCCCCCGTATAGCCTTAACAGGCTGTTGGGGCAAGTGCTGTTAGCAAGCAGCACTTATGAAGGCCGGCACAGCTGACAGTGTCAATGTTTACACACCGTAGCAGGTACTCATTTGAGGCTTAGGAGACCTAGGGGAGGCCCAAGACCCATTTAGATAATCATCACTGGTGTTGGTCGTGAGTGGGAATCGAACTCAGGTTGGTAGCGCAGCGTAGCGCAACACCGCTACGCGACTTTCACACACACACGCACAGACACTCCCCGTGCAAGGCTGACCCGTTACATCTCACGGAGGATCGCTCCAATGAACAAAATAGTTCCACGTTTCAGGTTGCAAGCGTGAGTTGGCGTTCGTAAGTGAGGGTGTTCGTAAGTCTAGGACGATATATTCTTGGTTCTTTCGGTAAAGTCACGTAGAAGGGAAATAATAAAATAAATGAAGCCTCATTAATTAATTAATTGATAGAATATATATAAAACAATCAAAATTCTCACGACGTTTCGACTGCAACACAAGCAATCATCATCAGGTGTGAAATCCATAGCAAGAAAATTTGAAAAAAGTGTCGGTTTTTTCTAATATTAGCACCACTTTTTTCAAATTTTCCTGCTGTGGATTTCACACCTGATGATGATTGCTTGTGTTGCAGTCGAAACGTCGTGATAATTTTTATTGTTTTATATATATTTTTTCCCTTCTACGTGACTACCGAAAGAACCAAGAATATGAATCCCTGCAGTCACGAAAGCTTTAAATCGAAATTTAAGTCTAAGACTGTTTCTGTTTCTTTTAAGGCAGTGTTATTGATGGATGTGTTAAGCTTTATTGTTAACCAGCCTTTTGCCCGTCCTAGGACGGAAGCTTAATATTACAGATGTACATTTACGTTTTCTTGTGTAGCTGTAAATGATTTTACGAATTGTTGCACGTACATATTTTTATCTTAACTTGTAAAATGAAATTATGGACTTTGGAAGATTTCTCGGTATACGACATTTTGTGTGAATCTCTTATCACCGTTCAAAAGGTTTCACTGCGGTTGACTATCCTTGATGAGCACTTTGATCCGCTGAGGATGTTTAGATCTAGACAGAGCCACGTGCAACTGTACTGGGGAAGACTTACATTTTGTTGCAAGTGCTGAAGAAATAAATAGAGAGACCAAATACACTTTTATGCTGCGTAGACTTATTAATTTGATTAACTTTCAATAAAGAAACGTCACATTTAAAACGAATTTGCATTAAAAAAATGTATTTACGCTCGACCTTCTGCGTGAGTGTAAAAATCCACCCGCTCATGATTATTTTATTATTAATGACGGGGGGGTGCGGCATGTGGAGTGACGTCATGCGCGGGACACATTTCTGGGCTATTATAGTAGTAGTTGTGCTTGTGCACCACTGGCAACGTAGCATCACAAAATAAACACATTCCTCCTGCGGAGGGAGCTGTAGGAACATTGGGTTGCTCGGTCAATGACCAGGGTCAACGGCGGCGTGGTGTATTCCGCAAATATGCCCGACTGTGAGGGCGGGCACAAGCCGGCGTGAGTTGGTTAAACGTTGAGTTTTATAAGGGCACCACGGGGTGACCAGCCCCTCCCCAGCCAGCCCCACCCCTCCCACCCCCCACCCAGCCCCACCCTCCCCACCCAGCCCCTCCCCACCCTCCCCACCCAGCCCCTCCCTCCCCACCCCCCTGCACGACGGACGGACACAATAATCGACGGACGGACACAATAATCCCCTGTGGGCTGGTGTAACTAGGAGGTTCCTACCAGTATTGGAATAATAGTGGAGAACTGACCTATCGTACTCGCGTGTCCTCCGACATGCAAAGTAAAGAGTCGTGTTTGCAATAATCGTGAGTGTCCGTGACCAGTTGCACCTCCCTGTTGTTCACAGAGTGAAGGATCACAAATACTTCCCAGTGAACGATGACTACCCATCGTGCTAATGGACATACATCTCAACTTCAGAGGCGGTCTCAGCTGATGCCAATTGAGTTTTTTTTAATAGGGCCAGTGTTTTGCACCAATTAAATGTGCACAGCATGAGCTTTGAACGCTTTGCAAAAGTGTGGCGGTAATTTTTTAACGAAATAACGCAGTGATACATCTCCTTTATACACAGCGTTGGTGTTATGCTAAAGTGTAATCGCAAAATAAATCAATGGACGTTAATATGATACAATAAAACAACATTGAATATCAATTGTGTCTCTGTGTCTTCTATAAGGCAGTGCTTTGAAAACAATGTAATGTCAGCACAGCTGACCAGTTCTGCTCTTGTTTTGACTGATATCTAACAATCACAAATACCATAATTTTGAGGATATTTTTTTCTGCCTATGGTTTTGGTCAAATATGTACATGTGTTTGCAATACAATAGCCGTCCTTGGAATTAACTCGGTTTGTAGCAGGAATGTTTTATTCACCAACAGATACAGCAGAGGGCTCTAAATTTAGAAGGAAAAAAACTGCAATTCCATCTCTCCGATACACGACAAAGCACCACGCTCCAAGCCACAATGCAGAACAGTGCCTTCAAGAGTGATAATAAAATCTTGATCTGAAAATGTCCCAACATAACATGCAAATAATGTCGTTGATGTTCTGCATTTAAAGTTTTTCTCATTTTTAGTCGAGGTCAAACGTGCCCATCCTCCCATAAAGTTAAATTGTGAAAAGTCAGCAATAGTCTTCTAAAGCCACAGACCCCTTCTCTTAGGCAAGTAGATGTTCCAGCACTGGTTCAAGGCCACCGACAAAGATGACCAATTCCTCTGTGCTCACCGGCCAGGAATCATCATTTTGCCGTCACCGTGGGCTAGCCAGGACCACCGGGGCCACAAGACCAGCGGTTGTGATTTCGTGTGTGGCTGGAAACGACTTTTGTGTTGTCGCACCCAGCCCCGAAGATGTGTGGACATTTTTCCTCCTTCGTGTGCATAATCAGGATGAGTTTTCCACTGTTTCAGATTGATTAATTTTATCCATACGTAAACACATTTTCACGGATTATAGGAATATCCAAAAGTCTATTATCGGGTGGCTAAAAACTATTTCACTGAATTGTAAAATCAGGTGTTCTTTGCTGATAATCTAACAAAAAGTATACTCCACATTTTAATTATGGTAATTGGAATGGCTCTCAAAAGTGTTTAGCTTCACGATTCGGCCATGCATGTGAGATGGGTGGGAAACCTCACTGCAAGTCCAGGATATAGCCAGTTCCAGTGGCTTGTGTACATTTACATTTGGCACTGAATGTAATGGTACGCATACTGGCTCCGGGACAAAATCCATTGTTCCTCCACACCCTTGTGTAAACTCAAGTTTGTTTAAAGTTGCAGTTTATAGTCAGCACATTGGTGCTGTTTAAAAAACAAAAATGCACGTGGTTGAATTTTCTTATATTGTCCTAACTCAAAGCAATGTCTTTTTTTACAAAAAAAACTTTTTATTTTACCAGGAAAGGCCCACTGAGCTATATAGCTATTTTTCAGAAGCAACCTGGCGGCAAATGATAGCACAACGAAGTGGCTTATCAATTGTAAATTTATAGCAGCCATAATACTTTAAATAATCCACGTGACCACGGGGAGGACATGCAAACTCCAAAGATACAAACGTCCAGGTCACGACCTCCTGTACACCAGGCGAAGTAGTTAACTCCACTAACGTAAAATAAAAAGAATTACATAAATAAAAGAAACATCGTGATGCGCAACGCTCGATATATAATATATAGTACCGTAGATTAGTAAACGCTGTTTATTGATTAATTTCTTATCTGCCATGTTCAGCTTTCTGTGTGAAATAATTCTAAATAAATCCAAAGTTCGTTCAACGGAAACTTTATCAAATATATGCATATCGATGTATTACTGTACTTCCCAAGAGAATAAAATGAATACATGTACATTCTTTAACCAAATACTGTATCAATAGATATAATGTAAAAATTAGAATTCATGAATATGAGATGAATCTTTCAAATGGTTAAAATGTGATCACGTGGGTGTGCATGCTCAACTCCCACCAGGCTATTCATTAACGTCTCACAGTCACCCTTTTTGCATGAGAGAAAATTGGCGGTCACAATTTAATTTACTTAAATAAGTGGACTTTTTTCTTTATTGGACTGAAAAAATGAAGTCTTTCAAAAATTGTCTTTTAAATCTTAATCAGTCACAGACAGACTAACATTTTTGCAAGTGGTTTTGGCAAATTAATGGGTTTCTTTTCTTCAATGTATACACGATGGAACCCAGTTCATAATGATGTTCTTTGCCACTGTACCTGGCACCCCGAAACATCTTAAGATACCTAAGTAATTCACATTTTGTGCCTCATATCCTCTCGTGGTCTTTGATTTTCAATGACGATTCATGAGAATAAAGTGTATAATTCATGATTCACCCCTCCTATCACCAAACGCCTATGACTAAGTTATTTAGAATGTGCCCCATCCCATCAGACCGCAGAAACGAAGCATGGTCGAGCATTAACAGACCGCAATGCACACACAGGTTGTCATAGGACTGCAGGGTAACAGTGAGTAAGGTAGCAGAGAGCAGTGCAGCTCCGTCTAATGTTGGACTGTACTTCTGTTCTCACGTCTATGTTCCCTGCCTTCAATCCAAATGAACAAATTTCTTGGACTATCATAAAAAATAACCTGCATGGGAGGGGAGGCCCTCATCCAGCAGTGGAATGACCAAAGCGCTGTGCGTGTACTGACACAATTTTCGTGATTCAAGGCCACGACTCAAATCAAACCAATAATTTTTTTGATAATTTTTTTGTACATCTCCTATGTATTTTTTAAAATCTCATTTGCCCTTAGTTTTAACATCTTAAGTTTGTTTCAGATGCGATCAACTCCGACCAGACATGGGGTTCAGGGGAAACTTTCTCTGGTTCTGCCAAATAGCATAAAACTGGGAGAATTCAGCAACATGTTTGTCTGTCATTCAACGACTTGAGGTTCCACCCGGATGCATGCTGCTGACTCTACTTCGTCTTTGTTGGTTCCTCTATTCTCTGTGTTTCGCTGAGATATGCGATGTGTACACGTTTAAGCACTATTTGCTGACCTTTTAGTTAAATTTAGACCTCAAAACTACAATGTGCGCAGTGTTTTGCTTTGCATTTCATGTGCAATACAAACAGTTTCATCGCCAAAAATATAACTATTTACAATGAAATATTGCACATTGCATTCATCTTCTATGGTTCGATGTACATTTAACCACGATATAAGTCAGTGTTATAATAAAAATGGTTAGGTCGTTTTTAAATTAATCTTTGCAGCAATCGGCAACATTTTAAATGTTGGAGAGATTTCAGTCTATAAAAGCCAGGACAACATTTCCAAAGTATGCGAAAATAAAATATATGGTCTGAAATCATGGGGAATTCGTGTTACAGAACTCCTTTACACTTATCAATTACCCTCTGATCTTTGACTCCTGTTATCCACGGGAGCTCCATCGTCTAATAAACTCCTATTCTTCCTATTATCCACGATTATCCTGTTTTTTTTTCATCCTGCATTGTGGAACGGCTTCCTATTATGCGCAAGAGGAGCCATGTGAACAAATTAATTAAATTATCTGCGGATTTCCCCCCCCCCTTCACATGTTAGTAGAGTACATTTTCAGATAAGATTACGGATAATAGAATCTGTGATAGCCATCCTCCACATCACCGTGGTTAACAGGAGCTCTCTTGCACACATATTTCAACGTGGGCTTGTCAGCAAATGTTCATGAACATATATATTACGTACACCTATTCTTTGGTTATTTCGGTAAAGTCACGTAGATAGAAAAATTATAATAAAAATAAAAACCACGACGTTTCGATCGCAACACAAGCGGTCGTCATCAGGAAAAGGGGGTTAGCCTCTAAAGGCAAACTGTTTATAAAGGTTTAAGATGGGCGTAGTTCAAGTGTCAGCAGCATGGGCAGGGCAGCTAATGTTAATGTAAGTGATGACAGTAGTCGTGGGCAACGACAGCGCTTGGTGCTGCGTTTCCACCATTGAAAGGGCTGCCAGGTTGAGGTTTAACATGGGCGTAGCTCAGGTGCAGCAGCATGGCGGGGCAGCTAATGTTAATGTAAGTGATGGTAGTAGTAGTGGGCAACAACAGCGCTGGTGCTGGGTTTTCACCAATGAAAGGGCTGCCAGGTAGAGGTTTGACATGGGCGTAGCTCAGGTGCAGCAGCATGGCGGGGCAGCTAATGTTAATGTAAGTGATGGGCAACGACAGGCGCTGGTGGTGGGTTTCCACCAATTAAAGGGCTGCCAGTTAATCATTGCACCTCGCTTTACACACTCACACTGTTGACGGTGGAGGTTGCTGCTAGACGTGATGGTCGTAGTTGGCTGCCAGGTCTAAAATGGAAACATAACGGCCAGATAACGTCCTTCCAGTGATTGCTGAGTTTATACCCATCTTCTCGGTTGAAATTGTGTCTAGTTCATAAAGCCATCCATATATACAGACACAATCTTTGCTGATAGCTAGTGGGTTTGCTAAGTACCTTCGTCTTAGATAAATCAATTTCGTGTGAGCCAGCCGCATTAAAATAATGATCAGCTACGGCAGAAGTATTTGTCCTCCCGTGTTTCAAATCTGCCTTATGCTCACGAACACAGTCTGAGACATGTCGCTTAGTTTCCCCAATGTAACTACTGCCGCAGATAGAGCTTAGTTTGTAGACGCCGGGGTATTGCATGTTAGGGATCTTGTCCTTCACAGATGGGATCGGATCACGAATTTTATGTACTGTGTTAAATCGGACCTAGATCTTGTGTTTGCTCATGATTTTGGAAATATGTTTGGTTACCCCTGCTATGTATGGCAAGGTGATGGTTTTGATTGGATCTTCAGATGGCTCCTTCCTCACGGTTGGGGTGATGGCTTTGCGGATTGTGTAGTCAGAATATCCATTCGCCTTGAAAGCTTGGTGTACGTGTTTGAGTTCACCGGTTAGGTGTTCATGGCCGGAGATACATTAAGCTCTATGGTGTAAAGTTTTGATGAGGGAATTCTTCTGGGATGGATGGTGGTGGGAGTCAGGTTTTAGGTAGGGATCAGTATGGGTTGCTTTCCTGTAGACAGAATGGCTCATTGAGCCATCTGGTCTCTTTTTAACGTATACCACACAATAATTTGAAAACAAAATGAATGCAAAAAGCTTTTTTTTAAAGGTGAGACATTATTGTTCATGTTTATCTTGAGGATAAACTGCTTCTTGCTAAGGACATTTAGCATTTATGCCACTGGCTCATCGGCCTAAATGTGAGATAGGGGCAATTTCACTGCTCACTTGTCTTCATAGAGACTTTATAATTTTGACTTTTGAACTATGTATTATTACTGTAATTGTGTTTGAATGAAAATAAATTGGAAAAGATCAGTATAGTAAACTTTTTTTTAAATGTACTTTGAAAACTCTTCCAAAATAACAATGGATGCAAAGGAGTGAAATGAATCTATGTCAGGCTCACAACAGCTGACATTTTAATTTATCTACAATTGTCTAAATTCAGATTGATATACACGAGTGCACATTGACATGATATAGGGAGGTCTTCATCCAGCAGTGGATTGACAAAGGGTTATATATTACACGCCACTAAAAACAAAATATGTCTAACCACTAAGCTACACAGTCACGAGGGTTTTCCGACTAAAAAGGAGAAAGTGGCCTGAACAAAACAGCATGCAATGTGATGTCATTGACGCAGTCATTCACATCATGGTAATATATAAAGCCCAGTGCTTTGTACAACCTCATCACAAATAACGACACGGAAATCATTCCTACGGCATAATCATATTTCGACAAATCTGCATTGAATTCTTAAAGTTATTTCAAGAGAATCTCAAGAAACCCTGCAGAATTCTTGATTGGTATTTTAAAACTTAGATCATGGTTTTAATCGAAGTGGTTTAAATTATATTTTTTCAGCTATTCGTTATAAACAGTGACGTTATTTTATTTGATGAAGAGTTTATATATTTAAAAAAAAATTCTAATCTGTAATTTTCTACATTGAATCTTAAAGTGGAATTTGTCTTTAACGTATAATTGTATTTTTTTAAATCTCAGATGAGCGTGCATTTTTGTTCGTAGCCATTATGCGCACGTGGCTATCGGGGACGCTGATGCTGCTGGTGGTGTCGGCAGGGACCTTTGCCGAAGAGGGAGAACCAAGATGCGAGGGGCAGAAGGGGTACCTAGGAATCCATGGCAAACACGGGAAGCGTGGGTCCGACGGCCAGGATGGTGAGTGACATCTTCCTCTGACCTCGCCAGCAACGCTTTGTGAATTACACCGCCACTATATTCAAAGTTAGACACGAGCAGGTGAATTTGAGCATTGCTTTATATCGCTGTGCTATTTGTGATACGTGTGAGGCATGTTTAGGTCACGTACAATTCAGTCAAAGAATGAGAGAATTAGTCGATAATTAAACTTTCAGGGCAGAATCACTTCTCACAAGTTGTATCTGGCACAGTATTTGTTGCTATTGTTCTTTGTATAATACGGATATTTTATTGATGTACAATAACGTAGTTTTTGTTTAACTGCATATGTAAAGATGAAACATTTATTACATGACTACATAGTGGCCGGCACAGGGCAGTGAAGCAAAACCCATAGTTTTTACTGTGTGTCTATGCTCCTGTCATATGTGATCCCCGCCTTCACAAACTCTCACCTTGTCAGTGTGCTGCAAAATGGTCAATTAACCCCCATGACCAGCAACATGTGTGGAGGCCCTCATCCAGCAGTCGATTGGCAAAAGGGCTGTATGTGTACGTTAAAATTTTAACTTTTAACTGTAGCATAAATGCTGGAAGAAAAAAAGAAGAAATATATATACAAATATTAAAATCTAAACCACACACATTTTGAAAATTAAATAAGTAAAAAAAACATATGTGTGGGATAAACAAATAGAATATAGCAGAAAACCAACCGCGTGCATTTAAATGTGTTTGGTTTTCAGCAACAAATGTGCAGCAAATCTATCGTCTGATAACAATACTGCCTAGTTGGAGTATTTAATCGAGTAAAGCTTGGTGTGAAAATGTGCATTGCTTCTGTATGTTCAGGAGCAGACGGAGCAAAGGGTGAACGTGGAGATCCAGGCGAAGCTGTGAAAGGGAATACAGGTGTGTGAAACCATTCATTAGGTTGGTGCAAAAATTGTACAGCTGTCAGTTTGTGGTCTCAAGTGAACACTGGAACCTAGAAATCTTGAAATGTGAAGCTACAAGTTGCATAAACTTGTAATAGCATATGTGTTTTTGTTCAGGCCTCCCTGGCATGCAAGGACCCAAAGGACAGAATGGACTCAACGCACCGATGAGTGAGAATGGGCCTCAAGGGAACAAAGGCGTTCAGGGTGCCAGAGGTACAATTCACACTTCCATACCATCCCCTCTGTTCCCTCTCTTTCGACATGCATGCCAACTCCTACTACTACTTCTCTACACCTTGCCTGGGTAGTAATCCACAGACAATTCATCCCCAGAGACGAGCATAATATTAAACACTTTCTTCTTATTATTCTTGGGTCTTTCGGTAGAGCCACATAGATTGATCAAATAAATAAATAAACTATATCACGACGTCTTCTTGGTTCTTTCGGTAAAGTCACGTAAAAGGGAAGTAATAAAATAATAAAAATAAAACATAATAAAATAAAATAATTCTCACGACGTTTCGGCTACAACGCAAGCAGCCGTCTTCAGACGTCGTGAGAATTATTTTATTTTATTATGTTTTATTTTTATTATTTTATTACTTCCCTTCTACGTGACTTTACCGAAAGAACCAAGAAGATGAATCCCTGCAGTCACGAAAGCTTTAAATCGAAATATATCACGACGTTTCGATCGCAACACAAGCAACCGTCATCAGGTGAGAAATATCGCGGGAGAGCTGCTGAGAATATAAACACTTTGTTTTAGGCGAAGTTTTGGGTTCGAGCAAGTAAAATTACAATGAAGAGACTTTGATACGCTGTGAATAGGCCTGGCAACCTTCTGAAGTTGTTTGTAAACAGATTCATTTGAGTGGGTTTTTGTAACATGGGGTAACTTTTAACCCATTACTTCTGAAACCTAGACTCACTGTAAGTACAAAACCATTATTAAAATGGTAGCCTTGATATATAAAATTTTCAACATGGTGGAATTTATGTATTTAAAACACAAGCACCAACTACTATTGTTTTATCAATCAAGAAAAGTGTCAGCCTGCTTCAAAATGCTACATTTCTATGGCAATGATTAATCTCTCCATATACTGACGATTTTAATTCCCACGAAGTAATATTCATTCTATCTGCCTCAGAAGGATTTAAACTTGTTTCATTGAGATTGCGAGTTGAACACTCTGCTACAGTATTCTCTCCTACATATGAATACAATACATAATGTTAGAGCTTATATTGGGGCTGTGTATACGATATTACACAGTGTAATTTAGATTGAAAGGTATAATAAGTCATTATATAGTGTAGTGTATACCCAGTTACTTAATATTAATAGGTCAGCTTAAGTATATTGAGTACATTGATTATATTGATGTAATTTAAATTACGTTTTTTCACATCGGTTTATTGTATGGTAGTAGGGTATTTGCAGTTCTTTAGAATTATAAAAAAATTTCCCTTCCTTTATTACTGCTAATCCTACATAATACACGAGCATAATATGAATTTGAGACACCCCACCGCCTACACATTCCACAAGGAGCGACTAACCCCATATCTGCATTTGTCATCAACATGCCAAATACCTCTGTTGATATGTAAACTCCTTTGTCAAGGTGCTCTGCTCCTTCCACCCAGCTTAAAATACAGTACGCTGCCAAGCAGTGTTCATTAGGACGCTGTCTTTCCGACAGCTCTGTTCTTCACCTGAGGACGGCTGCTTGCGTTGTGGCCGAAACGTCGTGAGAATTGTATTATGTTTTATTTTCATTATTTTATTATTTCTCTTCTACGTGACTTTACCGAAAGAACCAAGAAGATGAACCAAGAATATATTCCCTCCTTATTCGCGAGGGATATGTTACTGATATGCTCGTGAATATCACATTTTACGGATAATCAATTACTTTAAATAAATGCATAGGCTTATAAAATGCATGAACATTATCATAATAAATAATTTATTTGCCTCATCACTTTCTCTCTCATCACTTCATCTCATCACTTTCCCGAATCACATTCTCTCTCATCACTTTATCTATTCATTTTATCTCTCATCACTTTCTTTATCTCTCTCTCGATGCAGTCGTGCGGAGTTCCGGATGCCATTTGCAGAGAGCCAAAAACGCGGATAGCAAATTCGTGAATAACGAGGGAATTCTGGATGAATATCTAAATCTGTGTCTGTCATACAGGAGACCCGGGACACGTGGGCACAATGGGTGCAAACGGAGACCGAGGACCCAGGGGACACAATGGAAATGACGGGGCAAAGGGCTCCCCATACATGTTGCCGAGATCCGCTTTCTCAGTCAAAACCTCCTACAGAAAAAAGAGCACGGTTGGAATACTTAAACACGACTTGGAAATTGCTAACTTACAAAAGCATTACAATACTCAGACAGGAAAATTCAAATGTGAGCATCCGGGGTATTACTACTTCACGTTCTACCTCTCAGTTTCTGGGAAAAACTTAACAGCCTTTCTGAAACGGAATACCAGAACCATCCTGACTGTTACTGACGAACTAACAAAAGATTCTGGGGCTGAAAACATGGGTGGGAGCATCGTGCAACATCTGGATAAGGGAGACACGGTGTGGGTCGATATTGATGCCACTAATAATGGCATCTTTGTTGACCATGCCCGAGACAATGTGTTCTCTGGGTTTATATTGAACTTTTACAGCTGAGCTACTTAAAATTTTATCTAATTTTGAGAACACACGATGTTCAATTAAATGTCACAAACAATGCTATTAACTACCACACTTTCTGTCAGCTAGATTGCACGTGTAATAAAGAGACGACATGAGACTTTGCAGGCCTTCTCTTACAGTATCCAATAATTAGCCTTTGTCTTCTTCGCAGTCATTGCCACTCTAAATTGCCACTCCGATGCCCGCATCAATAACGTATCTCCCTCGATCCTCCATATGCCATACCATTTTTATTACATCGCAAATGTCTCCTGTGAAATCAAATTTCTATGTAATTAGATATTTTTATATTCGTGTCTTACCCAATGCTGAGATTAAATTACTAACAACGTCTGAATCAACTTTTACTCAATCGCCAGACGTTTATATTCTTGTTACATTTGTATTAAAGATTATTAATTTCCCCGACAGAAGTGGTGAGTATGTTACTGATCTGATATTATATCAACGGCAATGTATTGTTGCATGTCTCTTACCCAATCTGCTGTCTGTTTCATTGGTGTATTCCTATTATCTTTACAATTAAAATCCTTGCGAAGTATTACGTGGTATGCAATTATTTTAATTCTGAATCATTAAGTCATCAATGGTTTCAAAATAAAATTATCTGTTCGCAATAAACCGTAACTCTTCTACTTGGTTATCTTATCTATAAATGATGTTGTCTCGTGTGTTTGCTATATTTTTCACATGATTTGCGTCAAACTCACAGTACATTTGTAGGGTTGTAGTGAATGCATTCATATTTGCTGGGAATGGTTTTTGTTTTGTTTCCCCCCCCCCGCCCACCACCACCAGATATGTTTAAGAGGAGAGAGATTGTCTTGGCAACTGACATTTTTAACAACAACAATGTGTTTCATGCACCCAGAGGAATGGATGAGTGAACACGAATTCCTGGGACTGTGTGAAACCCAAAAAAATTAACCCGTAAAAACAAAGTTTTTCACTATAAATCCTTTATATGCGTGGCGGCTAGAGTCCTCTCGTCCTCTGGCTTGAGATGGCTGCCACCCATGGGTCAGATGATTGCCTGCCACCATTAAGCAATTGGTAATTAAATATAATTTATTTTTTCCTAAAAAGTGTAAAAATTTTGAGAAAAAAATTCACGAAAATAAATTGTCACGCACAACGAGTCTGTGTGCAAAATGTCAGCTCGATTGGATCACGGGAAGTGGGTTAAATAACGACCGAAATATTTGCACGGTCCTAAGCAAGCAAGCAAGTGAACTTAATATAAAGGATTTAATAAAAAAAAGCCACCAGCGTGATCTCCGGATCAGCCATTTTGCATTCTGGCGGACTTGTCGCTCCCCAAGAACATTTTCCAAAATGGCTGGTCAACCACACCGTCCAAACGCACACTCGAGAACAAATGAGTCTATACTGTATTCATGTTTACTTATTATACATCAGCACTGTTTATTTGATTAAGAAGACACAATCAGAAGTACAAATGTGTATATATATATTTCATTTATTAGGAATAACCCTGTGAGCCATGCGGCTCTTGACTCGGGTGCAACCGCAACAAAAACAAAAACATGAACAAGACACATCTTAAAGTGGCTACGCGCAACAGAAAAATCCTGGAAAAAACAGCAACAATATACATAAACACTGCGTTGGTGTTTAAATCAAAATCTTTGCATTACATGCAATTTAAATAAAGAATATGTACATTTTACATAAACTTCTTGCACATTACACCAATACAATAAATTATGCGAAGACCCAATGATCAACATAATACGCAAAGTGGTTAACAAGCTACCTTAAATAATTAAATTACGTTAACCCATATACAGTAGACATAATGATCCATGTGATGGTGATGTTCATGAAGGATTTCCAGGTCGTCGGATCACAAAATCCACCTCTGATGCCTTTGAAGGCGGCTGGAAAAAGATAAACAGTCAATTGCACATCCATTAATCGTTTGAAAAATGTAAAATGGTGTTTAAGAGACTATATTTGTCTGGGCAATCGAGTGAACTGTTGAACTATTGAGAGGAATTTACACCATTGGAACCTCATTTGCCAATAAAAAATAGATGACGCCAAAAGGTGCACCTTTTGGCGTCATCTGGTCCAACCCATGTGAGACTAGGCTCTAAGGAAAGCTGTCTCGGGTGTGGACCAATCAACTTCAAGGACAGTGCATACATTATCAGAGTTATGTTTTTTGTTTGCATTATGACTGCAGGTATTGTGGTCTATGCAAACATGACTCCTTGTAAAAAGGTGTCAGTTTTGTTGCCAGATAGAAGGGTAAAACAATTATCATATTAAGAGGAAGTTAAACCCGCCACCACCCTAGACAGCCATTGAGTAAGGTTTGTCACGTAAACAAAACGTGCCATTTGGTTACTACTTCAGCACACTGGTGTGTTGGAGAGAAAACCCACAACATTTACAATTCGGGTACGACGTTTCGCTGGTGATTACAACCAGCTTCTGTGGCGATTAGCCAGAATTGTGAACAAGTCTACGGTTTTAGATAGAGGTGAGTAAAGGAGATGTCATCACTGTTAGACTATCAGGGCCAGAGGGCGGTCAATGTAGTCATATAAATTGCAATGCATCCTGTTAATCTGAGAATATGCAGGACCTATTATTGGTTGGGCTATTCACAGTTAATGAATATACAGTGGAATGCTTTTATATTATTGGTTCTTTCGGTAAAGTCACGTAGAAGGGAAATAATAAAGTATTACAAATAAAACAAAAACATTCTAACGACGTTTAGATTGCAACACAATCAATCATCATCAGGTGTGAAAACCACAGCAAGAAAATGTGAAAAAAGTTGTATTTTTATTATTTTATTATTTCCCTTCTACGTGACTTTACCGAAAGAACCAAGAATACGAATCCCTGCAGTCACGAAAGCTTTAAATTGAAAGAATGCTTTTATGTTTAGCTTGTCCCACCCAGCACGATCTATATTGATACGCGATCTAACCCAAAACCTTCAGTACGGACTACATTGGTCGCGAACGCATATGTGTTAAACTCTCGGTGTAAACTCACCAGCAATAGATGAGCAGACCGATGGAAATGAGGAGCACCAAACCCAGGACTGTGATCAGGATGGCAGCGAGCACCTTCCAGCCTACACCGTTGACACACGGCACATGGCATACAGCTCAAGCATCGAGAACTGCCTAAGACAACCGGAGGCATCCAAAGTCAGCAGGAGACTTTGTGCTTCGAAAGGGGAATGTCTCACCTGGTTCAGGCACGTTAGTAGGCGGCGGGGTGCTGCTCAGCTGTGACGTGGAGCTGCTGGGCTGTGACGTGGAGCTGCTGGGTTGTGACGTGGAGCTGCTGGGTTGTGACGTGGAGCTGCTGAGTTGTGACGTGGAGCTGATGGGTTGTGACATGGAGCTGCTGGGCTGTGACGTGGAGCTGCTGGGCTGTGATGTGGAGCTGCTGGGCTGTGACGTGGAGCTGCTGGGCTGCGACGTGGAGCTGATGGGTTGTGAGGTGGAGCTGATGGTCTGTGAGGTGGAGCTGGAGCTGCTGAGCTGTGAGGTGGAGCTGATGGGCTGTGTGGTGGAGGTGGAGCTGATGGGCTGTGAGGTGGAGCTGGATCTGATCGGCTGTGAGGTGGAGCTGATGCCCTGTGTGGTGGAGGTGGAGCTGATGGGCTGTGAGGTGGAGGTGGAGCTGATGGGCTGTGAGGTGGAGCTTATGCCTTGTGTGATGGAGGTGGAGCTGATGGGCTGTGAGGTGGAGCTCATGGCCTGTGTGGTGGAGGTGGAGCTGATGGGCTGTGAGGTGGAGCTTATGGGCTGTGTGGTGGAGGTGGAGCTGATGGGCTGTGAGGTGGAGCTGAATCTGATGGGTTGTATGGTGGAGGTGGAGCTGATGGGCTGTGAGGTGGAGCTGATGGTCTGTGAGGTGGAGCTGGAGCTGCTGAGCTGTGAGGTGGAGCTGATGGGCTGTGAGGTGGAGCTGAATCTGATGGGTTGTATGGTGGAGGTGGAGCTGATGGGTTGTGAGGTGGAGCTGATGGTCTGTGAGGTGGAGCTGGAGCTGCTGAGCTGTGAAGTGGAGCTGATGGGCTGTGTGGTGGAGGTGGAGCTGATGGGCTGTGAGGTGGAGCTGGATCTGATCGGCTGTGAGGTGGAGCTGATGCCCTGTGTGGTGGAGGTGGAGCTGATGGGCTGTGAGGTGGAGGTGGAGCTGATGGGCTGTGAGGTGGAGCTTATGCCTTGTGTGATGGAGGTGGAGCTGATGGGCTGTGAGGTGGAGCTCATGGCCTGTGTGGTGGAGGTGGAGCTGATGGGCTGTGAGGTGGAGCTTATGGGCTGTGTGGTGGAGGTGGAGCTGATGGGCTGTGAGGTGGAGCTGAATCTGATGGGTTGTATGGTGGAGGTGGAGCTGATGGGCTGTGAGGTGGAGCTCATGGCCTGTGTGGTGGAGGTGGAGCTGATGCCCTGTATGGTGGAGGTGGACCTGATGGGCTGTGAAGTGGAGCTGATGGCCTGTGAGGTGGAGGTGGAGCTGATGGGCTGTGAGGTGGAGCTAATGGCCTGTGAGGTGGAGGTGGAGCTGATGGACTGTGTGGTGGAGCTAATGCCCTGTGTGGTGGAGGTGGAGCTAATGGGCTGTGAGGTGGAGCTGATGGCCTGTGTGATGGAGGTGGAGCTGATGGGCTGTGAGATGGAGCTAATGGCCTGTGAGGTGGAGGTGGAGCTGATAGGCTGTGAGGTGGAGCTCATGGCCTGTGTGGTGGAGGTGGAGCTGATGGGCTGTGAGGTGGAGCTCATGGCCTGTGTGGTGGAGCTGATGGGCTGTGAGGTGGAGCTCATGGCCTGTGTGGTGGAGGTGGAGCTCATGGGCTGTGAGGTGGAGCTCATGGCCTGTGTGGTGGAGGTGGAGCTGATGGGCTGTGAGGTGGAGCTCATGGCCTGTGTGGTGGAGGTGGAGCTGATGGGCTGTGAGGTGGAGCTCATGGCCTGTGTGGTGGAGGTGGAGCTGATGGGCTGTGAGGTGGAGCTCATGGCCTGTGTGGTGGAGGTGGAGCTCATGGGCTGTGAGGTGGAGCTCATGGCCTGTGTGGTGGAGGTGGAGCTGATGGGCTGTGAGGTGGAGCTCATGGCCTGTGTGGTGGAGGTGGAGCTCATGGGCTGTGAGGTGGAGCTCATGGCCTGTGTGGTGGAGGTGGAGCTCATGGGCTGTGAGGTGGAGCTCATGGCCTGTGTGGTGGAGGTGGAGCTCATGGGCTGTGAGGTGGAGCTCATGGCCTGTGTGGTGGAGGTGGAGCTGATGGGCTGTGAGGTGGAGGTGGAGCTGATGGGCTGTGAGGTGGAGCTCATGGCCTGTGTGGTGGAGGTGGAGCTGATTGTCTGTGTGGTGGAGGTGGAGCTGATGGACTGTGAGGTGGAGGTGGATCTAATGGGTTGTGAGGTGGAGCTGATTGCCTGTGTGGTGGAGGTGGAACTGATGGGCTGTGTGGTGGAGGTGGAGCTGATTGCCTGTGTGGTGGAGGTGGAGCTGATGGGCTGTGTGGTGGAGCTGATTGCCTGTGAGGTGGAAGTGGAGCTGATGGGCTGTGTGGTGGAGCTGATTGCGTGTGAGGTGGAAGTGGAGCTGATGGGCTGTGTGGTGGAGGTGGAGCTGATTGCCTGTGTGGTGGAGGTGGAGCTGATGGGCTGTGTGGTGGAGCTGATTGCCTGTGAGGTGGAAGTGGAGCTGATGGGCTGTGTGGTGGAGCTGATGGCCTGTGTGGTGGAGCTGGTAATGGTGGTGTCGCGGGCTGGAAGATTGTAGCAAGCACCACATATGACAGAGACAAAAAAGCAATGTGTGTCAGTTATGTGTATATATAAAACTCGATTTACCCACATTCCTGATTTATTACAGGCAATTGCTTACTATACCTACCCACTGCCCTGTACGCAAAATAACGACAAAACACAAAGAGTCCGTGATCGGTGGTGTGATCAGCACCACAATCCCATAGCTTTGGCTAGCCAGCGGCGATGTTTCGACACTGCACCAGACTGTCACGTAAAGACGACTCAAATCAAAATAGCCATATGATAGGTTTCGTTTGCCACGTTCACATCATGTCAAATGACCAAATCGTTTGGAACGCACTCGATCTTGTCAGATCATGGGAACTAAACCGGGCAGAGCCTGGACGATGCTTGCTTGAGTGACCACCATGGCTGTAACAAGCTGCAGGTCTATGTGGTGGGCAGTACGATACAATCCGCTGCTGTACTGTAAGAAATCCATCCTCCATCGTGTATGCTACTCTCCACCATCTGAAACCTAAATTGACCGGCGTGGTTAAATCTTGACTTAAAGCTTTCGTGACTGCAGGAATTCAAATGCTGGGGTCACGTAGCTAGATAGATATCTACGTGACTTTACCGAAAGACCCAAAGAATTTGACCAGCGTGGTGAAGTATGGTCAAATGACCCCTACAAGCCACAAGGTGCGGGGAGGCCATCATGCAGCAGTTAATTGACCAAAGGGCCGTGCATGCAAACTGCCTTTTCTGTTTGGTTTGTTGTCCTTCCCCCACACCTCTGATGAGCACGGTTGGCTACGTAACGTACGAAAGAAGTTCAACATACAATGTCGCAAATATGGGTGGCTCGAAATCGGTTATTGGAATTGCAGGGCTACTGCTCTTCACGTGAATAAAACTCGCACATTCGTCAATAATACTGACTTAACAGGTAAACGTATAACATTTTACGACACTTCGGGAGATGACCCTTCTTTATAGCACACAGAGAAGTCACGCATACACACCTCTGTTATAGCAGTACGCATCAAACTGCCGAGGCAGCAAGGTGGTGACTTGAAACAGTCCAACATAGCCTTGCGCACAGGTCATGACGCGTTTCACGCGTGGGAGCACGTAGGAGTTGGGCTTGGAAATCCATCCATACCTGCACGAATCCACACAGAGCAGAAGGGGAGAACAGCAGCGTTTAACAGCATTCTCACTCGCTTCCAAACCAAACACACGCGTGGATGTGTTAGTGCTCCGGTGTCGACGTCGGTGGTTTTTAAAAGTAAATATGAAATGGGCAGCAAAACGTAATTCTGCATCGGCATTCACGAATTCAGGTGGCATCTAAACAGATACAAAATTATAACTAGCACAAAATAAATACGAAACTAGGGAAGGCACTGAACAAAGTATTGAATGGAAAGAGATCAGTAACAAAATATATATTAAAACATCTGATACAACAACAACAAATGCATCTTGACTTAAAGCTTTCGTGACTGCAGGAATTTATATTATTTGGGTCTTTCGGTAAAGTCACGTAGATAAGTTCAAAGGTTATTTACTTTGAACCTCTCTATCTACGTGACTTTACCGAAATACCCAAATAATATTTTTGTTTTATTTGTGCCAGCTTTGTCGTATTATTGCGAATGCCCTCTTGGGTTGTAAATGTCGGTTTTGGGGCTCTAAACATGGACTACTATGAAGCCACCGGACAAAATTGTGGTGTTTGCTTTATCATTAATCGGTTTTTATTCCAGCTGACGTTTCACATTCTCGGACAAGACTGTTGAGTCAGAGTCCTCCGCGTTCCACGAAGCTTCGGCATATGTTCATCTCTGTGGGAGTCCCTCAAAGTGGGAGTCCGTCAATGGCATTCCCACCTTCATACCGCCAGTATTACATAAAACCACGACGCCTGCTAGTTAACATGTGACTCACAATCTAAACGATTGTGCGTTCACATCCCGCTGAAAGGAGTCGACTTTGCCCTTCATCTCTCTAGATTATTTTTATTTAAGCGCCACTATCTGGGGAACTCAACTGCGATTTAATTATGAATATGGTTTTAAGTTTGGCATGACGAGACTTTGACTTGACTTTGAACCTTGTTAAATTATTGAGCGTCATTACATTGCATACACGGTGTACTGCCTACGACAAAGTAATGTGACAAATATCACCTCTCAAGCTTAGCAGGGTTAATCCTGTATCGACATCCACCCGTGATTATCAAATGTTATCGGCCTGCCACGGCGCTACATCGTGGGCAGCAGAGGTGTGTGTGTGGAAAAATCCATTGTTGTACCATACTTCTATGCCCCCCGTACACAATGTGTTACCTGCATTGCTCGTATTTAAGGGCAAGGGCGTCCTGTAGATTTCCCAATGTGGCGATGGTGAATCCAAGTTGGATGCAGGCGGCGCGCGCCTGGTCCTGCGTCAGCTGGTACCGTCCCAGGTCTGACGCCACCAGGACGACCCCGTTCAAGCTGTATGGAGGTATGATCGTTGGGGCTGCTCGCTTTGCTCGGACCGCTCCGATCGCTATATCAGCACAAAAGAAGTGAACACAGACAGTGCGGTTAAGTCAGTGGGACAAACGGTGTACATTATTCGGGTAATATGTGGAATGCACACTGTGTGCATTGTATTTGATAGGACATCACCGTCAATCTACATCGTCGATGTCATTAACTAGCGTACCATCGTTGGTCCCCGCGATGTCATATATCAGGTTGAATAAACTGTGTGCAGACAATCTCTAGACTGAGTAGGTGACTGATGTACATTTTTCATGATACGCTAGCAGGGCTAGAAAACTCATTTTGGCACAAATAATACTACGTCTATTGTCATATCTATAACATTCCAAAATCAAATTCACATAAAGTTATAAATTATACAATTGTTACTATACCATTACAATCACTTGCCAGCACGTACAATACTTGTTTCATACTTTATATTAAGCAGCAGAC